GGTACGCTTTTTGGATCCATCTTAAAAGGCGGTCACTCCCCTCCTGGTCCTCGTCGGTCCTTATTTCGTCCTCAGGGAGGGGGCGTTGGCACTCGTGGTACAGGGGTGAAAGGATTTCACTGAATAGGCGCGATTCCTCATGTTCGGCGGCAATGTTGACGGGGACGGTGAAGATGCGTGCGAGGATGTCGTCGAAGTCTTGGATGCGGGTTCTATACTCCTTCAAAACTCTCGCGCTCCCTCCACCTCTTTTTCGCTTCTGGTCATCGTATGCATCGAACAACACGATCCTCCAATGGATGAGCACGGTCAACAGGCTCCGAGGCAGACGTCCATTCCCTTTGTGCCCTGCCCATTCATCCCAAACAGGCCACACGACGTAGTCGATCTCCTCCCGGACCTCATAGGCCAAATTTTCGTCGTCCTCGGGGATTGGGTCTTGAATCATGATGTCTTCGGGTTCCATCGCCAGCCGACGCGCCCTTTCCGCCGCCCACTCGTCGTGCCTCGCACGGTCCGCTTTCCCTGGCGCCTCCAACCCGTCAAGCTTGGCCTGCAACTGCCGGCGGTATCTTTTCTTCAGGTGGCCAAAACCCTAATCAGATCAGATAAGTACATAAACAAAGGTTTAGCCGAATTCCACATATTTTGTATCTGATCTCCTGGGAAAGCTGTTTAGCACTCACCGCTTGGACCTCACGGTCGGTACCGATCAGCTCAAACGCCGCCTCGTTGCATCTGTACCGACTGTCGACCGTAGACGGATTGAACGTGCGCTTGTGTATACGAATGATATGTTTTTTCAGGTTTCGTTTGGCCTCATGTGCATGTTCCGGTGCTACAGTTGGGGCGTCGAGTGACCTGTACCCCCCAGGCAGCTTGTAGTGTTTGTTGCAAAGTTCACAACGGACACGCCATTGGCCGGACTCGTCACGGATGAGATGCGAGTCGATGTCGAGCCAAGCGCGCTCGCCCTCGGTGGCGCGTGGTGCCATGTTGGACTTGGAGTGGGGGTTAGGGGTGAGAAAGAGAAGTGTCCCACTGTGTACCCCCGGGGGTACACGTCGCGCCTCGCGTCACCGAGCGTCACCGAGCGCGCGCGCTCTCCTCTCACAGCATCACCGACACCGTCGCGTCACAGCCGATCCGATGCCCTCAGCGACTCGATTCATACCAAGTTACAACCAGCGATTCTGTCTGCGGGACACAAAGATCAAGATCATCGAGTATTTGCACGAGACGAGATATAGTGGCCACCTGGCACATTGCCTGTCCCAGGCGTGAAGCAATACGTAGTCGGCACCGAGCGCGACCTATGAACGCTAGCGCTTGTATGCAAGCGACTCGGCCAACAACGAGAATTGCTACTACGAAGTCATTGACGCCTCAGCACCAAGCTGCCACTATATCGATGCCGACTTTACGCCCCCTTCCATTGACAATTCAGCAGAAAAGGCATTGATTACGCGTAATGCAGCGTCGTATTTCCCTGGCCCTCAGCTAGAACACCGTGGTCAGCTAGCAAGCTCGGATACCTTGCGATCTTGCGTCTGCAGGTCAGAAGTGGTGAACTACCTTGTTCCCTGCTTCTGTTTTATATCTATTGTTCCAGCGCCAACGAATAATCTCGGCTCTCCTTCTCACCGTGGGCACGCCGTTTGAAGAACCCTACGCGAAGCGTGTTATTACGGACATTCTCGACAAGGTTCTGCTGTCACTTCGCCGGCGTCTCGGGGGGTCCGAAGGGGTAGTCGAAGAAATTTGGGTGCTTTGCTGTTGGTCACCCCCCAAGCTCTGGGACGAGCTTAACTGCAGTTTGACATTAGGTAGGATGAGTGAGTGCTTTATTTGAACATCCATTATTTGCCTGAATCTACGGAGTAAAATCTGAAACGTTTAGCGCGGGTAAATCTATTTGCTTTGCGATTTGCTTTGCGATCAAAAATGCGTCGCATAATTGATCAACGGACGGACAGTCAAGCTAGTCAAGATGCGTGGAAACTTGTTGAATACCTCTTGCCACACAGGTCGATATCACCTCAACGACTACAAAAAGTTTGGCAATCTACCTCAACGCGCGATAGGCGCACCAACAATATACTGAACAACAGAAATGTAGTCGGATTCGGAATCAAAATGTTGCAGCTCCCAAATCAGAATCAGAACCAGAACCAAGATCAGAAGCAGAAGCAGAATCAGAAGCAGAATCAGATCCAGTGTCTTGGTCTTCTGGCTCCGTTTCCGACTGCTCGCTCATCAAAGTACTCTCGGCAGGAGTGCGGTCAAAAGAGACCTGGCCGATATCCTCTTTGAGCGAAAACGTAAGCCCACCCTGTCGCATCAATGGAATAATTCTTCTCAAATTGTTAACGGTCGGCTTCTTGCCATTGGTAGGACTGCGGAAATCACGCTCGTGAAGACCGTTTCCGAGCTCGATAACAAGGGCGGTTGGATCCTTCGCAAGAGTTTCCTGGTTGTAGCTCGTAAGCTTGGAAGGCACGTAGGGCTGAATAGACTTGTTTCTGTTGTGGCGACGACGGAGCGCTTGATCTGCACGGCCACAAAACTTCAGTCATGGGCTGCCAAATGTGGGCGCAGAGCGGTGGAGTGATTGCTTACTATAGTAATCGTCAATGATAATGCGATACCATGTGCAGAGCACTCGGTGAGACGCCTTGTCAACATCACCATGATGAGCTGCTCATCAGTTCTTGGAATCAGCACCAATCTATCGCCGAGCACAAGGTCCGTTCTGAAGCTTGTCTGACAGACCTTCCATCTTGAATTGCTCGTCTCGCTCCTGATTGAACCGGGTGCCATTTATGCATTCCGTGAAGTTAACGAGCACATCGTTCTTTTGAGAACCCCAGCTTTGGCGCCGCATGAAAGCTGCGCCGCCAAGCGTCGAAACGATGAAACGATCATTTTTATTCTCGAGCTTGTTCGAGCCGACGATGACTAACGCGTCGAATCCGTAGGTGTCAGCATGCTGATGAACCTGATGCAGTGCCAAGCTATCTAAGTCAACGGGAGGATCATGAGAATTGAGGAGAGCCCAACGAGAAGAGCTGAATTGTCACGGACCAGTTCGTGTATCGTCTTTTCGTACTTGTGACTCAGTTTAGTGATGGCAGCAGGATCGATTCGCCATCGCTTGAAGGGACGAGTGGTCTGCTCGTGTTCACGCGCTTCGGCTTCACTTGCTCACGCTTCCTTCCATTGTTCATAAAGATCTGGCGAGTCTTTGACTTTTTCCCAGTAGCGCGATCCAATTGTGTTTAGCGTAGAAAAATCTTTCGAGACTTTGTAGGGGTACAGAGTGATCAATTTATGAGTCAAAGAAGCGTAAAGGAGCGTCTTGAAATGCCAAAATGAACGATCTCGGGATGAGCTAGAAAGGCAGACGCCGCGCTCACCTTCGAGTCCGTCCTTCTCGACGAGACAGTGGAAAAAGCGGCTCGTCTTGAAAGCGTTCCAGTCGTTTGTGTCATTCCCTCGGATCGCACGAGGCATGTACGAGTCGAGGTCGTCGTCCCGAACGCCATGATGCAGACAATACTTCATTGTCTCGAGGCGACGTTGCAAGCCATAGAGCACATGGGGCTGCTTCTGCGACGACGACATTCGCGAAGTTGAAGGCAACGCACGAACGGCATCATGGAGAGCTCGAATCTCTTCCTGAATCTGTTTGATTTGTTGATCAATTGAGTTGGACGAGGTCGGCCTTGAGGCGAGCGGTGTGCTTCGTCCACATTCGGGAGTCGCGCCGCTGGGCGCAGGAAGGTGGTTCTGTTGGGTCTGAACCGTAATTGGAGACAGTACGGACCCCATGTCTGCGCTGTTGGTCGATTGCACCGAAGCAGCTATGCAGAAACAGCGAGGAACGGTGGTGAGCAGAAGGACCACCCATATCACAAACACGAGGACGCGTCTCACGGGTGGGAGCGGCAAAGTCTGACGCGTTGCTGGGAGCAGACAGGCTGGACATATCGGATCGTCGGATGGCGTCAAGTATAGATATATGACGAAGAGCGTAACGGCGACAGGAAGGGGTAAGACCAGGACTGCACGTGGTCGATAGCGGCGCGTCAAGCGTGAAGAGGCGTCAAGTCGCTCGTTGTCACTCAGTGTCGCTTTGCGTTTGTTAGCGTGGTGAAAGGGCACGAGACTCTATCACGTTCAATAATGCCATTTTATCACTTTAGTAATGATGTTTCCTAATCGAACCTCTCCTCGCTGATAGTTTACCGAAAAAATTGACACTGAGTGTTCCAAATACGAATTACACACTACGATGACTAGAATAACCTGATTTGAGCACGCACGTACATGAGATGAAACTGTTGGAGCCCACACAAGCCTCCGTGTGCCCCTGGCCTCGGGCCCTCAAGCAACCCGGGTTGCAGGGAGAGCAATCTGTATGAGTACGCCGCTTAAGAGCGGCGCTGGGAAGGGCGCTGCGCGCGCCACTTTTTGGTGTGCTTAGAAATATAGCCAGAGGTGCAAGGTGCACCGCCTTCCCTTTGCGAGCCCGCGGTTTTTCTGCGCCCCGCCCCCCCGACCCGCACGCCATCGTCATACCCGTCTTCACACACACACACACCTCAACTACGTAAGCACCCACACCCTTTGGTTCAGTGTCGTCGTGTTCGGGACGGAGCTGTGGACGCTGGAGTCGGCTGTCCAGGCTGGTGCAGTCGTGCGTGGCAGTAATTTGCATGCTGGGCCAGGGGGGCGGCGAAGCTCGTGTGCTTCCCGGGGCTCGCGTAGCATTTGAAGTAGCCGTTGTGGGAAAGAGGGTGAACGATGGCTCACGTACTAGGGAGGGTGATGGTGGGCCTTCTTGGGAGTGCGGGGCGGGTGATCTGGCTGACAGGCCAGTGGGACCCGAGCTCAGGCGGGGGTCGGCACGTCGACGATCCACACGCATGCGCCCAGCCACGAAACAAGCGCCGTTCACTGACATTCCTTACCGCCACACAGTCTTTTATACTCAAATCATGGCCTCCGGAACGATCGCCTCGCCCGACTTGTTGTGGTTGCTAACGAAGAAGCACACCTCGTTCCAACACAAGCGAGTCGGTACGCCTCTCGTCTTCTCGAACGAGAAGGGTAACCTCAAGAACATCAACGCGTTCAAATACTCCGGTCTCGCCAACGCCAAAACGCTGCACATCGAATCGCGCGTACAAGGCGCCGGCGTTCGTCTCGTTTCTCGTGACCCCAAAGCTTCCCCTTTCGTCAACGCCTCGGCCTACACCCACCAAGGCGTCAAGACCAACTCGGGTCGTAAAGTGGCCGGACGAGTGGCCAAACATTCCGGATCGGAGGCAGGTCGTTTGGATTTGAGGTCCGAGGCGCAGTCGAGGGCTTCGGCCGTGTTGCAGTCCCAGAACAAGGACAGGAAGGCCCAGCGTACCCGAGCGACGCGTGGGAACAAGAAGGCCGCCGTCGAGGCTTAAAAATAAAAAAAGGAGGGGAAAGAGACCTTCTTTCGGTTTGAATCGAACTGCGTAGGTGAAGTGGAGGAGGGGAAGGCAAGCTCGTTCGGTAGGCGAACGTCTGCGTATCTTGGGGGTTTTGTAAATCGAGGGAGTTTCCTCGGTGGATGCAATCTACCCCACAATACTCCGGCAATACAGTCCTCCTTATTGAAGGAGTAGCATACGAGAGAGAGTCGCTTGCCCATCCTCGGAAACGGCCACTCATTACAAAACTGCCCGAGTCTACCGGAGCCGAGGCTCAAACGTCCCAGTCATCTCACTCGATTGAAGCACTCGGGCGTCTCTCAGAACAAACGCCAACGGAATCCGTTCCCAAAGGCAAGACTCTTTTTTATTTACACCCATTTTTCTGTCCCTATACAAGCACAAGCACGAACGTCAACTTTCCTAATTCCGAGTCTTGCGAACTTTTTTTTTATAAATGTTCTCCTGCGTCCCTTTTCTACTATTGAACCCTTTTGGTTTTCCCTATCTGTCCCTCCCATCTTCCTACCAACCCTTGACCCCGGCCTTCTCTTCACCACCCACCACGATCCCTCGAAGCATAAGGTGGTGGTGGAGGAGGAGGTGGAGGCGGCGGTGATCTCCTCCTCTCATTCCTTAAAGAACTACTCCTCGGAGGAGGAGGTGGAGGAGGTGGAGAAGGAGATCTTCTCCTCCCCTTTCCTATACCCCCATAACCACCCCCTCCTCCTCCTCCGTTACCATTACCATTACCATTTCCAGCCCCAACTCCCCCCACAACCCCACCCTCACGTCCCCCCTTAATTTCCAAACCGATCCTCCCCTTCTCATCCAACCAAGGCGCGCACCACGACCTATCCACTTCATTCCTCACTATATCCTGCACCATCGCCAGTGCGATCCTCATTTGTTGTACCGAACCGGAGAGACAGAAGGTTGGGTTTCGGGTAGGGTCATCGGCGTTGACGCGACAACGAGCTCTGGACAGGTCGTGGATTTCTCGCATTCTTCGACCGGCTCGGCCGATCACGGCCGGCGCGGCATCGAAGGGAAGTCTAGGGGGAGGGGGTTTTTTTTTTTGAGAGAGAGAGGTTCGGGTTAGAAAGGTGGTTAGGAAAGGGGGGTTTCACGAGGGGGGGGGGAGAGGGACTTACTCGATCAGTACGTCGTATGACTCGTTGCGGACTGAATCGGGGACATGTCTTGCTGGAGGAAGAGGGGGAGCGGGGATCGCGTCGACACGACGTTTTTTGACCGATTCCGAAAGGTCGTTCGTCGAGAACGAAGGGGATCGCGCTCGACCCCAACCACCAGTAGAAGTTGGAGGAGGAGGAGGGGACGCGGCTCGACGAGGTACGGGGTTGGGTTCGACGATGGGTTTCCAATTCATCGTATCGACGCGGTTGTTCAATTCGATTGAGAGCGGTTGATGGTTCTTGGGCAACTTGGTTCGTAGTAGATCGGACATGGACGAACGATCTGAGGGACCCGAAAGGAGGACCAAGTGACGTGGGTCGAGAACGCACCAATCGTCGAGATGCAAGGTGCCGAAAGCGATGTCGTCGGCTACGGAGGCACTAGCGAGCGGTGGGGGACGAACGGTGTCGAGTACGGCTTGACGCACGCCTTCGACGGCCTTGTGCACCTCGGTGAGGGTGCCTCGGAACTCGAGAACGGGGACGGGCCGGTCGCGACGATCGGGTAGGGGGAGATGACCCGAGGCGATGCGGGCCACACCGGAGGCATGTTGGATCTGGCGAGCGACGCGGCCGGACTTGCCGATCAGGCGGGGGACGAGTTCGTCATCGGGGAGGGGGAGGGTGTAGCCGTACAGGCGGGGTGGGGGAGCCAAGGAGGCCGGCGGTGGCGCAAGTGGGGCCAAGACGGACGACGACGAGGCGGTCGTAGGAGCGAATCGACTGCGCTCATCGTCGATGTTGGACCGCGGGGGAGGAATTGCGGAGGAGGACGACGACGACGAGGCCCATCGGTCATCGCGAGGAGGAGGAGGCGGAGGCGGAGGCGGAGGAGCAGCAGCAGCAGCAGAGGAAGTCGGCGCAGGAGCGAATCGAGGGCCATTACGATCACTTGCTCGTTCTCGCACACGTTCCCGTTCGCGTTCGCGTTCTCGTTCTCGTTCGCGATCTCGTTCACTCTCGCGTTGTCGATCACTGTCACGGGGTGGTGGCGGAGGGGAGTGCTCGACCGCTGTTCGGGACGGGTAGCGATTCTCGCGCTGATCACGGTCTGTTGCAGTGTGCCTCGACCTTGGAGGAGGGGGAGGAGGAGGAGGTGACGGAGAAGGAAAAGGAGGATCCATACGAGTCGTCGTCGATTCGGAGGAACGAGCCGGAGCCGGAGCCGGAGCCGGAGCCGGAGCTGGTGGGGGTGGAGGAGGTGGTGGAGGAGGAGTGCCATCATCGTCGTCGTCCCGGAGCAAAGACAGGGAGCGTGAATCGCGACGACGACGGTCTTGCTCTTGCTCAAGTTGTTGGTCTGGGTCGGTCATGGTGCAGTCGTTCTCGATCTCGACCGATTGCGGCAATCGGCGCACGGCGCACGGCGCACGGCGCACGGCGCACTACGACAGGCGACAGGCGGCGGCTCCTTTTTGGGCGACAGTGAGATGACAAGAGAGGGGGAGTGGCAAGACGAGAGTGAGGGTGAGGGGGGTCCCCGACTGGGCAACGTTCGAGGTATGGTCACAAGCTGTGCACGCCGGTCCGAGAGGGAGAACGGAGGCAGCAACGTTGAGACGAAGAGCACGAGAGGAAGCCGTCTTGCCGTCCAGCAGGCCATCGCCGCCCAGCCAGACTAAGCCAGACTATAAGCCATAAGCCACACTGATTAGTAAAGCCAGGAAGCCGCCTACTAGCCGCCACTAGTGGTACTAGTAGCCGACGCCGATGAGAAAAAAAACGCTTGACTGATTTTTGTTTTGGTGTTGCGCCAGACGCACTTGGCACTGCTTCACGAAAATACAAATCTAGTCATGCGTCGTGAGCCTTGCTTGGCCTTCCTTGCCTGCAGTGGCGCAGGCGAGTCGCGCTCGACCAGCCTGCAGCAGCCAGCGGCGTCACCACCGAGCCGGCCAAGCTGTTCCGAGCATTCTCGACCTCGTCCTCCTCTCTCTCTACGGCGCCGCGGTCCTCTCCAACAGCATCCACGCACGTGTGCATCCTCGGTACTCGACCCCGTTTCAAGTTCGGTCTCGGCTCGGCTTTGCTTCTCGTTGCCCTTGCCTCCCCTCCTCAGCCTCCGCTTGCCTCGGCCGGCAGCTTGGCACGATCCACACCCCTCCCTCTTCCCTCTCGACCCCAGCCCCAGCCCCAGCCCCACCCTTCCGAACGCTTCCCATGGCCGTGCTCGACCTTTCGACTGGCGACTCGACCTCCGCCTCCGCCTCGAGGAGGACGGGTTGCCGAGCGGACGACGACTGCGCTCCCTGCGCTCCAGCTTCCCCGTCGACGCTGACCTCGTGCCTTCCGAGTCGTCGAACCGCACCGTGGCCTCCCCCGATCCCTTCCACCTCGACTTGTGACCCGGTTCCTGTTCAGCACGAAAACACGAACCCGATCAGGAGAGGTTCGGCGGGAACGGGGTCGGTTAAATCGACGACGAGTTCCAACGGCAAGGGTAAAGCCGCCTTACGATCCGGTAAATCCAAACCCACTCGACGACCGAAAACCTCTTTGAAGAGTGTGCCCTCACGCACCGAGCACACTGGCGACGAAGCGCACGATCATCATTCGGCTGACCTCCTCGACGCCGCTGCTGCGATCGAGCGTCCCGACCCTTCTTCCGTTCATCGGACCACACCGACGAACCACCACCCCGCCCCCGCCGATGCGTCGATCAAGACCTGTCAGGCTATAGATCGATGGCAGGAACAGTGTACAGAGGTCGTCGTAGGCGGCCACAAGGGCAAGGTCAATCGCGACTGGTGCCACGTCCACGAGATCGAACAGGCCCAAGTCAAGCACGAGTTCATCCGTGCGTGCGAAACGCTGCCGTACTGACCCTTTTCAAAACCGTGCATCTGACACCCCGGAACCCCCCTTTTTTCTTTGCGAATGACCAGGATGCATCGCCGCTTTACCCGCCGCTGCGAAACAAGTCCCCTTGCCCGACGCGAGCGACATCACCAGCTGCGACGACCTCGACGACCTCGAAGCCTGGGAAAAGGTCGCTCGCCAACTCGCGGCCCTCTCCGACAAGGCCCTGGCATGTCGAGAGTACTATGCCGTTCATTTCGCCGCTTCCGGCCTCGATCTGGCCAGTCTGATGGGCAGGATGAGTCTGGAGGAATTGGCGCTCAGATCGAGGGCCGCGGACGGCGTCATGCGCTTGGTCACCAGGCGCAGTCATCTCTTGATCTTGACCAGTGAGGACGCGTTGTGGCTTTTGGAACCTCAATCCCATTCGCCGAATGCACCGACCACTCTACCGAACGGGGAACCCGCACCCCCCGTACCCAACTGCCTGTCCGGATCGACGCCCAACTCGACTTCGCTCCCGCTGCGACCGCCCTGCGCACCCTCGCTCCAAACCGAAGCCGAAGAACCGGACCCGATCGTCGCTCTCGAAAGGGTCAAACGAGCCGAACTACTCGAACTCTTATCGCTCACCGGTTCCCACGCCTCCTTCATCAAGAACTCGACCAAGTCCGTCCAAAGGGTCCGCGTCATCGAATGCCTGTTCAGGCGATTGATCTCCCGGGACGAAGAACTCTTGGTCAAGGCCTATCGAGGCGGTCACGATCACGTCCTTCGCTTCTTCGAAGACGTCACCTGTTGTTCGCTCGCGGCCTTGACGAGGTTACACGCCGCTTTACAACAGACCTCTTCACTCTCACTCAAGGAAGCGATCATGGATGCCTTTCGCGCGATCGCCTGGGAAGAATCAGGAGCGGGGGAAACCGAACCGGGTGAAGAAGGACTCGGTCTACAACTACTGGGTGGATGGTCTTACAAGATCCAACTTGCGAGGTCCATGTCGCCCGTCGAATGGTCCCACTTGTACGACCTCTGCGGATGCCCCGGATGCGCATTGAGGTGTTGCGTTCGGTTTTCGGATTGGACCTACATTCGTAGACTATCGATCGTGTCCCCTTCTACGAACCCAACTTCGACACCGCCTTTCGAACATTGGGCCGATTCGAATAACGAGACCGACGCGTCCAAGATCTTTAAAGCTCTCTCGGTCGTCAAATGCGCCGAATCGGGTCCGGGCGCTAGCGAACCCGAGATTCGTCGAGTCGCGGGTGGGTTCGTCGGTCCTAAAGGGAAGGGGATGTGGTTGGAACGAATCGAGAGGAATTGGATCATGATCAAGTTGGGTTTCGGCGATACGAAAGCCGATGCTAGACAATCCCTTCGCTTGATCGATGCCGTACAAGCGAGGCATCCGTTGATCATCAGGATCTTCCCCGATGGATTGTTCGGTGGTGAGAGGTACCCGACCCCACCGCCGAATCAACTTTGGTATTCGAGGTACAGGTCCGCCAGTTCGAAAGCTTTGTTGAGGCATCAACCTTGGGCGATCGACCAAAACGCTTTCGGTAAGGACAATGCCACTCCGTTGATCACGTTCGATAGGTTGGATTCACCCGAAAAGGCGCAAGGGATGGCCAGTTTCAAGTACACGTTCGAGGTCGTCGTACTGGACGGACATGGACGCGATGGACCCGGTTCGGGTAGGACGGCGAACGAGAATCAGAATCGTTCGTTCGAACAGTTCGAGGCTGAACTGGGGCAATTGTTTTGTGAAGCTTTGGGCGTCGAAGACGTCAAGGGCGCTATTCGGTATGCGAGGGAAAGGGGAATCGAAAGAGGTGACTTTGTCGACTGGGGAATGAGTGCGGCTCAACTTGCCGCGATGGAGGAAATGGGCGCGGGGGCGAACGCGGCGAATTTGGCGATGGTCAAGAAGAAGGCCAAGGGTGGAGGCAACGGAGGCAACGCCGCGTTGGAGAATCTGAGGGACGATGCGTTGGCGCTCAAGTTGAGTCGGAATTTGTTTAGGTGATGGTAGGGAAGAGAAGGGAAGCTTGCGGTTGAAGGAGATGTGCAATCTGTCGATTGAAATTTTGTACAGAATGAAGTGGATTTGCGAAAAAAAACGCGAGTCTTCTACTACTGGCTGAGGAAAGGAAGGGGAATGATACGTCTATGAACTGAGCCTCGACTAGCGAGCTACTTTCTTTGGGGGCTGATCAAACGAGTGCCGATACCGATCCGATGAACGATTACATTTTCCTCAAACCTCGGGCCATCCTGGGCTAGTTACATCATTGCCCCTTGCTTACCTGTCGCTGTGACGGGTGTTTCGTACCTTGACTTCCAAAACCCTTCTCCTTTGAAGCGATCGAGTTTCGTTCGCGTTTCATCCGAGAATCACGCCACGCGGCTTCAAGCAAGATCACGAAAGCCTGCGCTTCGGGACTCTGATCCGTTCGTTGATACCAACTCAGGGGATTCTGGTAACAAGTCGGGAAATGGAAGAAAGAGTGAGTGCGCAGCCAAAAATAATAATAAAGGCATTCTCGCGTGCGCGTTCGACTTGAAGTACTCACGACGCAACCTCTCAACCATCCTGTCTTTGGGTCGATCTTGTCGTTGATTTTGGAACGGATCTTTTCGGCTGTCGCCAGCGTTGTCGAGGGTTTCCTGATCATCCCGAGTTGATGGAGACGAAAGGTCGTCGAGGCGAGAAGAGCGCTCGAGGCAGAGTCGGAAAAGTCGTACGGATCGTCGAGGTGATTGGGCAGAAGGCCATCCTTCTGTACTCGACTCGAGATGAAAGCTTATTCAGTGAGACAGAGGGTTCCGAGGACTTTGAGAGGAAAGCTTACTTTAACCCTCGCGAATCCGGCTTCGACGATCTCATTCGCCCAAAGAGCGAGGTCCCTTATCTCATGCGAATACGTCTCCGCATGAAATGAGTTCGTCAATGTAGCAAGTACTCGAGTAATCCCCGCGGCGGCCCAAGCATTCCCTATAGGTATCGGACAACGGCGTCATTTCAGCTCGCTTTTCAAACCTAGTTCACCGAACTCTTTTGAGTCAAGGAAAGAGGCAATGACTCCGAACCGACCTGTGGCCCAAAGACTCGGATCTTCCCAAGACCCGTAACGAACGTGTCTCCAGAGATGGGTCGAGGGATCTTGGAGGTGGGAACGGTAAAGTTTGATTTGTCTGTAGGATTCGAGGAGGAGGGAGTGGTTGGACGTGGCGATGCCGCGGGCGGCGAGGAAGGGGGGTACCATGTCTGTGATGGGCCGGAGATCGTTAGCTGTGGAATTGCGGAGACCAGTAGGTTTGGTGAGATGGGAGATTTACAAATGAAGTCGGACCTGCGAACGACCGAAGATATCGCAAAGTCAAAACTTAGTCGTCCCACTCGGCCCGGAGAACGCCCGCCGCACTGTGCTCATCAGATCGAACTTACCAAAGCTGCGTCACTTCCTTTCGATGACTGATCGCTCCGTCCGTCGTCCTCGGAACTTTTTCCAATAACCACTCCACCTCAGCCTCGATCATCCTCTCCAATCTCTCCTGCGTCCGTTCATCCCTCGTCGTCGCCTGCGCGATCATCCAAGCATACCCCAAACTCGCCGGATCACCCGCAGCGCCACCTTTGATCACTGCGAATTGCTTATCATCAGGACCTAACCTCTCCAACCAATTTAAAACGATCCGATTGGAGGAATTTGGGAAAGATGATTCGAGTATTCCCCAGTTACGGGAGGATTCGGCAAAGGGGTTGAAGACGGTGAGTTGAGGATGGTCGAGTTCGAGATAAGCTTCGGTTTGGGTACCGGAGACCCAGCTGGGAGGGAAAAGATAAGAGTTGGGTCGTAGCGTGGGATGAGCGATCCAGTAGGCATGTGAAAGGGGGAATTCTGCGCAGTCTGCGACGTATTGGGCTCGGACCACCTTCATCACGCGGGCGAGAGCCAGGCGCCGAACTCACACATCACGAGCGACCGAATCAAGCCTCTCCCTCACTCTTGCGAGAGTTCGGGAGTCCAAATCAGAGTTATATAGTGAAGAGTGGGAATTGGGTATCGTGGCTGCGAGGACCAAGCTCAGAGGGCTCCACAACAAACAGAGAAAACCTCCCCACGAACGCAAGAACGGACGACCTGTTGACTGAGAGAGCATTTGCTCCGAGGCTGGGTATGAAGTGGGGTGCAAGAGAACAAGAGCCACGCCCGGGGGTACTGATTAACTTTGGCGACGCGATCTGTCGAAGCTCCGAATAAGATTGGCAATCGGGCGTCGATCCCCCCCCCCGCCCCTCAATGTCTCCTGTCCGGGAAAGCGCAACCGACGCGATGTTTGTTCCTCCCGGTGGCTGTTTGACCTGCTACAGGCGTTTTGTTGGCATTAAAGTGGCACATTTTTGATACCCAACTAGATGAATGGGGTACAGTCCGAATCGAACGTGTGAGTCAGTGCACAGCGTGCAGCCCAATTAGTACATCATGGACAAGCAGCCCATTCGCACCCCTGAAAGCCGGGCGATCCTAATAGGAGGGATCGAGCGTATTCTAAGATACGTTAGCCCACATTCTCAAATCGGTAAAGATCAACAAGCCCCCGGTCATGGGGTGAGGTTCAAGTGAAAGCAAGTATCAAAGGGGTAATGATTTGAACTTTATTTCATCCTTCACGAGTGTCAACAAGCTGTAGAGAGGAAACGTTTCCGTGACCCCATGCTGCCCTCCCTTGAGCAGGATGTACGTACATCTCTCGAGGCTCGTCGCGAAGCACGGTATTCTCCCATTCATTACACAAGGAGGAAGGCCAAACAATCCAGCAACATTAACCTCTAAAAGTTAGAGGGGACTACACATGTCAGAGGGATAGGGAAGACAAAGAAGACACCGAGTGGCGTAACGGGTTCGTTATGTTCTATTTAGGGAAGGGGCCGATTTTTTGGGAAAGCAGTGTTATGGATAGCATTCACACGAAAGCGATGGGCTCGCCCTTGTGGCCTTCCGAGAGGAGGACAACGGCGTACTGCAAGTGAGATGGAAGAATCAGTCGGTCAGTGATACTGCGACGGCGGCAACATCAAGCCTAGATGAACACACCTTGGCCGAGATCTTCCATCCGGGCTCCTCCTTGTCCAAACGAACGCCCTCCTCAGCGGGGATACCAACGACGACATCACTCTTGATCGTGCGGAGCGTCAGGACGGGAGGTGCGCCGGCGTCAGAGCCGAGAGGACCGATGGCGACGTCGAAGGGGGTGTCGTGAGGGGCGTGGCAATCGTAGGTCAATTTGCGGTGGTTGAGATCACCCTTGAAGATGACGAGATCCGAGTCGGCGAGGTGGAGGAAAAGATCAGGGGCCTCGCGCTTCAAGTGCCAGTAGGTCCACTGAGGATCAATGGTGCCCGGCGCTGGTCAGCTGGCGGTTCGGGAGGCACGACTCGGGCCAGTAGAGGAGAATGCTTACGCCGGAGATCCAGAAGGGGTGCTGCTCATAGACGAAGATACCCTCCTTGACGTACTTTTGCCAGCGCTGACCCATCAAGCGCAGCGAAGCGACTTGGTCCTCGCTGGCATCGGGGAAGAGGTGACCGTAGACCGTCTGGTTGATGAGCCAGTCGAAATCGGGGCGAGTGACGTCCGACACGAACCAAGCGAAGCGCTGCAGGTGGTACAGAATTAGGGTTCAGTCTTTGGGCTGTAGAGGAGAATCCGTTCAGAATCTGCACGAACCTTGCCGTGGAATCGGACCTGCGAAGCAAGACCAGATTGGATCAAGAAGTCGGCGTAGACCATGTCGCAGTGCAACTCGAATCCACCGTTATCGAGGACTGGGACCAGTAAGTGCAGCACTCGTCAGCCGACTGAACATCGTTTGCTGCCCGCTCTTCTCTCCACTCCACTCACCGATGTCAATTCGGCCACCCTTCTTGCCGTTACCAAAGTTGGGCGACGAGATCAAGTCCCAGACCTTCTCGAGGTGGTTGCCGAGGATGTTCTTCTCGGTCGCGGCGAGGTGGTCACCACCGGTCGACTGTAGGTTCTTGATGTCGTCCTCGGTCATCTGTTGAATTGTCGAGAAGGAATCTGCGTCAGTGCCTCTCCAACATGTGGACCTGTCCAGCATTCAAGCAAACTCACGTTGATGAGGAGCGACAAGTCGGTGGCGTTACCCCAGAGGGCGACTTGGGTCAACTCGTGGAAGATGAGCTTCTTGGCCTTGAGCTGGTCCTCGGCCGAGAGCTTCTCGTCGATGACGTAGGGATCGGCGAAACGGGTCGACAGCTCAAAGACGGCGTCACCGGAGCGAGAGAAGGTCTCGCACTCTGTCAACGTAGACGGTATGGTGAGCGTTCAGTCTCGACTGCATAATTGAAAGGGCGAGCACTAACTTTGACGGAAGAAAACATCGTAGCTCTTCCAGAACTTGGAGAGAGAGAAGCACTCATGCAGACTAATGGATTGAGCAGAGGCGCCGTCAGCTCAATGCCAAACGTCAAAGATTTGCGTTGATGACATACCGACGGTACTTGTAAGCCTCGGCAAACAACCAGGGGGCGTTCATGAAGTCCTTGCCTCGGAAGTACTGTGGGTCCACGTCGAGCTACGTGAGCACACACAATTTTCTGTCAATGCTCCGGCATGGCGACCAAGAACATACCTTGGCGATCTCCTTGTTCCACAAAGGAATATCTCCCTCGCCGTCATCGATGATGGGTCGGAGGGTCGCGTTGCTCTGCAAATCGTCCATCAAGTCCTCCATCCTCTCCATGCACTCGACGAGATCCACGATCTTCTCCTCATCGTACTGTGGGGATACTCGATATGTGAGCAGTCGGATGCTAGAATGTGCAGCTTGGGAAAAAGACTGACCTGGTCGTTGAGGGTTGTCCTGACATCATCGATGGCCTTGGCCAAGATGGTGGGGAGACGATGGCTCATCGTGGCCTGAAGGAAGCAAAGTAAAGAGTCAGGATCCTCTTCAAACTCTTGTTCCTGGCCTGATCGCGGTAAGTACTCACGTGAGCGAACGAGTACTCGTGGTACCCTCGGTACGCGGGCCATGGCGGGTTGTCAGCCGAGACCATGGAAGGCGTTCGGGGGTACTATAAACGCGAAAAGGAGTGCTCAGTACGTTGCGCAAATCGGCAGCGATAGGTGAGACGTGATGGAGAGGGTGAAGCGAACACATGTGCCCGAACGGAGCTCGGCCTCGGAAAAGTCGACTAAACTGCTTCATGATCCCCAACTCTGTGCATTTCCGGTCTTCATCTGCCGCAAGAGTTGAATTGCTCCAGTTACATACGCTTCACCCCTGCTTCCAGATGAGCGGGCACTGTGGAAACCGGCGACGATAGATCCCGGGCACAGGCTCCGCTCCGATGCAGCTGCGATGGAGCGCGATGACGTTGTCCCAAAGGCGTGTGCGCGCGCGTGGTGCCGGGGCAAAGCGATGGAGCGACAATGGAGCGACGATGGAGCGAAATCTCCATCGCGGAGCAAACGATCACCGTCCTACGACCCGCTGAGCAGGTACGATAAGAGGTATGACTGGCGGATTGGATATGGAAGCCGGCTCCAAATCTTTTGCGAGATGATTTGACCCCCTTAATAATCCTGCGGCGTCGAAGACCAGCTCGCCAACGTGCGATCTCAATCTCGCTCCGTGAACCACCGCTCCGATCGGTCCGATTCGAGGGGGCACATGCGCCGAGCACAGACACACACCGCACCATCAACGAATACCGACAGTCAGCTTTCCGAAGAACTCACCAAAGCTTTGCCGAAACCCGTCTCGTTCCTAGGTGGCAACGACTGCAAGACGAGGCCGACCTTTTTGGGAACGTTCGCTCCGGCCGAGTTGCCCGATCCAGGGTTCCCGGAAGGCACTTGCAGGGACATCTTTGTTGCTGGTGTGCTCGAGCCGAGTTGTTTTGTAAAGGGAGGTGTCTTTGGACTGGAAGATTGAAGGGAGAGCGAGAGGGTCGACGTGTGGAGTTTGCGCGAGGAGGGAGGAGAGAGTTCGGTGAGTCTGCTGAGTGACTGGTGCTGACGCGGCAGGCGGGCAAGAGCAGGCAAGAGCTGGAGAGCGCTGGCAAGGGCGGGGGCAAGCCGCAAGGGCCTCCCGATGGGCGGGCAGCCGAGCTCAAGCGTGCGTGCCAGCGTGGCCCACCCCCTCTTCGCATCACGATCGCCCCGGACTTTTTTTCTCGTTCTTTGCATGCACCAGAATGTGCTTTCCAACGCACTTGTACCGACCGGCTCGACTAGTCGAAATACCGCCCACTCATTATTCATAGCATTTCACAAACCTCACAGGTAAAGTAGTTGTCAGCTCTGTCGAACTTGACCTAAAGAACACCCGACGCCGCTCCGATCCTCGATCGAGGTCCGTCCGTCTCATTCGACACCCCTTTGCGTTCAAATGCCCCCGACCGCCCACGGACGATAGAGGGTCCGCTCCCAAACGCGGATTCAAAGACCCCTCAAACATGATGTGAGACTTGTATACAACTCCCTCCAGTTGTAAGACCTGGCGGTGAAGATTAAAAACCTATCGTCCGGGGCGGACCGGGTTCTGGAATTTCCGAGATGGGTAGGTTTCAAGAGGAAAAAGTCAATGCTAGTGCTTCGGGGTTACGACATGTGAAACATTGGCTAGCCGACGACTACCGATGAGAGCCGACGGAACCTCAACGCTCCATGAGCTCCATGGGCGCGGCGCTAATAAACCGGCGCGCGCGATCGTGATCGCCTTCGAACGATCGAGAATGGTTTGGGTGCAGTGCACCCACCCATTGAAGGCAACTGCTGGATCTTCTCAGAGCTTTTTCCTCGTGTAGATCGATGGTGTGGTGAGATGTTTCAAAGAAGGAAAGGCAAGGTTTCACATATAAAAAAAAGATATTGTTCCAAAAGGATGAAGGGAAGACGTCTAGTACATCCCATGAAAGATATATAATAAGGAACTACACACCAGGCCCCGAAAGAGTGAGCACAGCTTCACGCTCGGAGGCGAAGAAGAGGCACCAGACTAGCACCCCGAAGACAACAACAACAATGCGAATGCGACCGAGAAGAACAGACGACCATAAAAAGTGGACCAAAAGGAGACAGCGAGAGCGAGAAAGTAAAGGCGAAAGCTTTGAATCTAAGGGCCGATCCGGCTAGAGATCAAGACGGCGTTGCGCTTGGTGGATGTTGCGCCGCAACCAGGACTTGACATCCAACTCTGGAAATCGAGCTTGCGTTGGAGGTGTTGCATCAGGTCGCTCCCGGTGGTCATGGCCGATGGTTGTTTTGGGATGACAAAGACGTGCCGTGTCGTGGGGGGAGAGTAGGTCGGCGACGAGGAAGATTCTTCATGGCATGAATAGTCCAACGAGGAAGCTATTGTCGATGCGGATCCGGCTGATGACCATGAGACAGGACGAGAAGCACCACCGGAGCTACCGCACAAGAGATCGTCCTCCTCATCCTTGTGCTCGGCCTGAGGCGAATAGGATGATTCCGAACTGGCACTCGACGTCGTGAGTTGGATCTCCTGAGTTTTGGCGACCAGTGTCGATGATGAAGGCGAGATGGTCGATGAAGGAGCAGAAGAATGAGAATCTCCGTCACTATCCGAGTCCATCTCGCATTCAGAGGTATCGTCGCCGTCCGAATCGAAGTCCGAGTCCGAGTCGGAGGCTTCGGCGCGTTGGTGCAGAGGTCGGGATTGACGACGGAGGAGACGCTCGGCCATGCCCGCCTCGATAGGACCAAGAAAGGGAGCAAAGGTCTCGATCAACTGTAGTAGAGGAACATGAGGTAAGCACTTTGATCACAGAAGGGGCGGTGTTATGGCGGGATGTGGCCTACCTCGGGCTCGCCGATGCGAAGATCAAAATCAAGAAGGCAGAGGAGTTGGCGCTCCATGAGGTTGACCTCCTCAAGGCGGAAGTGGCCGGCGTATCGGACCCAGTGCTTATTGTAAGGGGACGAATCTGAACGAAGGAAGGTAAACAATAAGTAATTTTTTAAAAAAAAAAACTAAAAAAAAACTACTACAACGAAGGTGTTGGGGGCAAGTGTGACTCACCATTGAGGTACTTCGCGGCGACGATGAGGGCAGCCACGAAAACTCGGTGTCTTGTTGATGGCGAGCCACACGATCGAACGGGCAAGCGATCCTTCAGTCGATCGAGGTACACGAGCGTGCACAATAGTGTGGGGACATGACACCTCGACTTGCGGCAGATGTCGCGGATGAAGTCGTCGAGCTCGGGCAAGGGAGCGGTGGAGGATTCGGCGGAAGAGTTCAGGGGCTCGTCACGGCATCGGATCACACTCATGGCTTTTTGGGCAACATGTTCTGTGGGAGTGAAAAGATGCTGTGGTTAGTATCACGCGTTTTCAATCTCCTAGTGTACGTTGCTTGCAAGGGGTGACAGCCAAGGGATGGATAGCAACTCGGAGATTGAGGCACGGGCCGCCAGGCAGAAGTTGCCAAGCGACCGACTCGACCGGCGCCCGCCGGGCGGGACGAGTGGGCTTTGGGAAGCGCCAAACTTACCGACGATAGTATCGGTGAGGGAAGATTTCAACAACCTGAGCAAGGCAGGACTGTGTTCCTCCTTGGGCACAAGGGATGCAGCGTGTCGACCAGGCATGATGATTGCGAAGGTGTGTCAAGATGAAAAGAGGGTGGAATCGTGGGCGCAGTTTCAGAATTAACAGATTTAAGCCGAAGGCGCGGCGCGGGCTCGCAAGAAGATCGCAATGGGCCTGAGCGGGCGGGCGGTCGAGCTGAACGATCGGCAGGCAGCGGCGCGGCTCGGAGGATTCTGTCGGCGATCGATCCAGCTAGGGGTTCGAATTTGGGGTTCGAGAAGGGCTTTGTCGGAATGGAAACCGCAAACGACTCCAACGACGGGTGAGACGGAAGGGGAGGACGTTATCCAGGTGGTTGTTGAGGGTAGATGTAGGTGGAAGAGAGGGGCAGGATAGAAGGCACGATGAGATGGATAGCAGCTTCGAGAAAGTTCCCGGCCTTTGACATGCATTAGAGCGCCGGATGGACTCCCTGACGCCCGAGACCGATCAAAAAAGCGCCATCTTGGAATTACACTTGCTTTTTCGCAAACCCACAATCGGGACCGGCCTCGAACATTGATCCCCCCTGGGTTCCCATCGGCTCTGATCGCTGTAAGCGGGAGCATTAGACGCCCCCGGCTCGAAACAGTCTCAGGAGCAGCCTCAGGCCCAACTCGGAAGGCGCGCGCCAAGGGAGCGGAAGCCCTGCCTGCCGCATGAGCAAGCCGCGCCTGAGCGCCTGCAGGCTGAGACTGGAAGCACGCCAAGTCTTTAGTTTCACCGCCAGCCGGCCAGCCGTGGCCCGTGGCGGAGGCGCCCCCCCCCACGGCTAAACGATCTACTTAACCTTTCCATCGAGACGAGCCCTGATGGCGCTGACCATCATCAGCCGGCCAGTGAGAGCTAGGGCTAGTCGCACAAAGTCTCACTAGCGGTCATAGCGGCCTGTCGAGCTGGCTAGCAGTTTGCCTTTGACTGGGTTAGAATAACCTGAAGGCCACTCGCGACCACTCGCTTTTCACAGACTAAGAGCCGAGCCCATTTACTAATGGCGCCGGATGGGTTTCGTTCCACCTGGAGAATAATTTCCTTCATGTGCAAAATGACCAGTTATTTCTCGACATTCGAAAGGCGGAACATTTGTTCGCCAGGGCTGTCTTCTCTGTAAACTGGGTCGAACCGATAATGTCGGCATGACCGCCGTTCCAAGAACCCGGGTACATGTCTGCGGCGCCTGGCGGCTTCGATGTACCTCGTCGAAGTGGGTACGGCCGGCCAGGAACTCTGTCATCAGGCGAATGCAATTTCTTCGTCCGAGGGTACGCACCACTACGCAGGCTTAGCCGTGCCGTGCGCCTTTCCCGGCTGCCGCCTCGAGCGAATGAGTCTGGCCTTCTCTCTTTCGGCGGGCTCGCCTCCGTCCCTTGATGTTTATTCGCCCAATCGTTTCCTTGCCGATAACTACTCAGTTCAAGCTTCATAATAGCTGATTTCTGGTTGAAGGAAATGAATTTGATGAGCAATGACTCGGAGAAGCGAAATTTGCACGGCCCGCGGCTATTGAAAAGGGATCAACTTTAAACAAGGTTGGCTGGACATCATCGCCCCGAATTCATAGCCTAGATGCACGTGGCAAAGAGCTCTTGTAGGTACTAGCACTTGGATTTGTGTGCACGCTACCTAGGACAATCACCTGGAACTTCCGCGGCGGACTTAGTCGCCCGCAGCCCTCACTCGAACCGAAGAGGGCAATCGAATGAAAAGGGGCTCCGTGGAACTCGGGGCGAGAGAAGAGCACTTGCCACCCCCACCCAAGCGCCTCTGCGCGCCTGCACCCGCACCTGGGTCGCCCGATTCTTCGAGCCTCCCCGAAGAGCCATGAGATTGCTCGTGCGAGAGCTCGAGAGCACATGGTACCATAGATCACCTGTAGATCCCCACGGACATCTGAAGATCGACAAGAAATCTCCGAGTAAGGGTGTTGCTGTACAACCTCAGAAGCTGCATCATGGGGAGGCGCGCAGATTCTGTCGAGGTCGGGCCGGCGCACGTGCGCTCGGAAGCGATTCACTGGAGGTGCAGATGCGAACGAAGATTCTCATACAAAGTGGCTTCCGAAAGACCTGCTGTTGTGGATGCAATACTGTTGTCAGCGGGTGGGTGCTCTCGTCGGGGTTTGGAAGCGAGGGGTCCGTGCGCGCGGGCCTATGCTGACAAAGGGTGTGTGAAAGCGATTGATTAGTCGCGCCAATCTTTCCGAGCGGTCGGTCTGTTCGGCTTCGGCAAGCTGGTGCACACCACACCACAGACCCCAGTGAAAGCGCGACACGCAACGCACCGTAGAAAAAACGCCTACCTGGCCGACGACAACTAGGGCAGTATGCCGTTCGGTGTGGCGCACCCACTGCTGCGTTACATCGCCCAGTTCGCGACCACGTCCTTCTACTCGCGCATCGAGGTGATCAACGGCGACCAGGTGCCCGAACATGGGCCGGTGATCGTCCTCAGCAACCACCACAACAGTGCCGTCGATGTGAGTTGGCCCATCTGGATGCGAAGAAACGCTGAAGGCGATCGGCTTTCGACGACGGACCCAAGTAGGACCCGCGATGATGTAGTGTCACCAGTGCACCACGGCGTCGCGCTTGCCTAGTTGGTCGAGGTGGGGGTCATCGCGCAGTCCGCGTCCGCAGTATACCGAACATGGCTCAAACACATCGCAGGACCGCATGGGCATGCCCTAGATAGTGCATTCAATCCACCATGCCATGTCCGGTGTATGATCGGTTGATCGGGATCTTAGGATCTCGCGGTGGACCGGGCACGATGAGACGACGACATTTCCGCGGCGCCAGGTGCTTTGACCCCGCCTCGACACATATCCGCGTGTGAACACTCATCAATGATCTCACATCTACTATCTGACACTTTGTCTCACTTTTGTACTCACAGCCTTCAGTCCTGAGCATCAAATTCGTAAGCCGAGCACGCGGCCGGATCCCGAGCCGAGCGATGCTAAATTTGTTCTCGTAATCCGTCAATTTGCAGCCCCATGGTCGTATGCTGCACTACTGGGCCAAGTCCACCTTGTTCACCAACAAGATTGCTGGATCGATCCTCCGATCAGCTGGCAACTTGGCCGTAGACCGCAAGACGAGGGTCAGTTCATTCCAAGTCTCACTTGCAAAGGCCCACTTCGCGTCGTATCACATTCGCTGATTCTGATCGCCAACCAGGACAATGCGTTGCTGTTTGCGTCGACATTCGACGTGCTCAAACAAGGCGAATGCGTCGCCCTTTTCCCGGAAGGCACTAGTGCGACCCTCCCCGGTCTCTTGCCTCAACTCAAAGACGGCGCTAGTTGGGCCGCACTCGAATACCACAAGAACGTTCGCGAAAAGGGTCGCTTGCTCAGCAACGGCATCGATAGCGTCGATGAGGATCCTCAAGAGCTGACCATCTGCCTCGCTGGCATCAGCTACACCGACAAGAGCAAGTACCGGTCCGCGGTCGTGATGGAATTCGGACCGAGTTTCAACGTCGGACCTTTCCTCGACGAGTTCGAAGTGGACCCCAAAGCTGCGGCCAAAAGGATGACGAAGCATATCGCGGAAGCGTTAACCAAGTTGACGGTCAATGCACCTGATTGGGACTCGCTCCACGCCGCGACGATGGCGCGCAAGATGCTCTGGGTCGACGACCGCTCGATCCCGCTTCGCCATCTCGTGCAGATTGGCCAAACGCTCGTTGACCTCTTTGCGACTCGAACACCTTCACCCGAACTACGTCAATTGACGAACCTCTTGTTGGCCTACCACAAAGCATTGAGGGATACAAGCTTCACGCATTACTCGCTCTCGGGTGTGCCCTTGCCGGACAAACTCGACCCCAATAACAAGCACGACTTGCCGACGCGCATGAGGGTCCTGGGGCATCTCTTGTTATCGACGGGTAAAGCGATGCTGCGGCTACCGTTCTTTGCTGCACCTTTGATCGTGCACATGCCGATCTACTTGATGGGCAAGTACTCGTTGAGGTTCAGCGATCTGCAAGAGGATCATGCACAGAACAAGGTGGGTCGCCAAATCGGAGAGGTCTCACGAAAACGCGACGAGCTGACCGTGAGCCGTGTCTCCGACGAAACTCCCCGCAGATCGCCGTTTGCCTGGTTTTGTCCATGGCGACCTACGTGACCTTGTTCTTCCTCGCGTGGGCATTCTTGTTCATCGCTCCGTATGGATTCATCCTCGCTGCGATCTTTGTATGGCTCTTCGCGGTCTACCATAATAGTCTTGTCGATGATAATTGTGAGTCGGGCACCTCCAAAGCCTCAGTTCCTTCTCTCGCTCTCAAACAGACTAAGTCAATGGGCTTCGTCACACAGATCTCGGAGCCAAAAAAGTCGTCGCTTCCTGGCGCGTACTCGTCGGGATCTGGTCCGCGCATGCCAAACACGAAACCTTGCACCAAATCCATTCCCTGCAACGTCGCTTCCCTTCCACTTCCATCTCCAACGGATTCTCTTCGGAAACAACCTCGACAAATCAACAACGGACTTCGACGGAAGCCATGTCCATGCCTTTGTTGCATGAGGATAACGTCTCGGACGAATCGAATCCCATTCGAAGGGTCTTGAGTTTAAGAGTCGAAGCCTCGGCTGCGTTGGGGGAATTTTTATTGGGTGATGAGGAGGGTAAAAGGGTTGCTAGGAGATTGGAGGAATGGGGCGCCAAGGTTAGGAAGGTGAGGAAGGAAGTGCCCGCGGGTCAGGGGGCGGGAAGTGTAAGGTTGGAGTAGAGGTAGGATTGGGAGTGTGTATCTCTTGGGGGGCCGGGGTCTCTTTTTTTGATGCTTGTTTGTATTCTTCGCTTAATTGTTTGGGGGGTCGATGATGAATCGCATAAGCATGTATGTCGTTCTCTGCTTGTATTTGAGAAATCTAGCCGTAAAAAACCGGCGAGGAGCAAGTTCTTCATGACGAAAAGGCAAAAAAAAATGCAAGATTACAAATCAACGATCCATCGAGATGTATGCGAGAGGATGGATGTGATTAAGAGAGTCTATGTCTATGATATCGGAGCACGCCGGAAAGCATTGCCTCTCGCTTTTGTCCACTGATCATGTTGTGGATGTCGATGGTCGAATCGCCTGTGGGTACCTGAACACCTCCGTCGGGTCATACTTCGCACGTAGAGTAGAAAGACGTTCGTATTGCGAGCCCCAGTAGAGTGTTTTGACTTGATCGGGGGTTAGGGAGGGATCGACTGGAAGGGGAGAGGGAAGTGGTGGGGGTCGATTAGGATTGGGGAAAAGGGTTCCCAGAGGTGATTAGGAGCGACTCGACGACTTACCATAATTGACGTAAGCCCCGTAGGAGGTGCCCCAGACTTCCTTCATTGGATTCAATAGGGCGTCGCACATGCTGGAATACGAGAGAAAGACCAAGAGTCAGACAATAGAACTATGGGAATCAGCGGGTACTCCAACCCTCGACTGACCCAGAAACAAAGTCGAAACCATCCTCGGGATACGGATTCCCATACGTCTTCGACGAAGCGTACATTTGGAACGTCAACAACGACGAACGATGTGCGAATGAAGTTTGGTTAAGAGGGACAGCATTGATTGCTGATCCTGCACCACCGTAGAGATCGATTTCGACGAACCAGTTTGTCGTTGTGGCGGTGTTTTGGAGGTAGGTGAAGAAGGCGAGAGCGGCGTCGGTGGTGATGAGTTGATGCGGAGAGTCGGGGGTCATGAGTGATTTGGCGTAGAAACAGTCTCGCTAGAGAGAAAGCACGGCTTGACTTGATAATCAGACGAGCGCTCAAATCGGAACTCCACCGGGCCAGGGTAGAAAACTTACGAAGCCGGTCTTCCCCTTCGTCGATAAAGGCTGCGAATGCGATAGGGCTTGTAACGACTCGAGCCACGACATGGCTTGATCCACCTCGGTTGAGAAACCTTCCGGTAGATTTTCCTCGAACGGCGCCATGAGCTCTTTGCAAGCGTCTCCAGTACCATAGTAGATGCCTGTAATCTCGAATGACCCTCCACCTCCGATGACGGCGGCCAAACCCAAGTTTGGCGGTGATGACTCCTGTCCCCATGTTTGGAACGCTAGGAAAGCCCGTGTCATCATATCGGGTGAAGCATTGGAGTAAGAGTACTTGAATCGAACCACGTTGTTGGGTTTCTCATAGGCTCGGAAGTGATACGCTGTTTGGATTCCGAAATTCGGAGCGGCACCGCACAATGCCCAAAAGAGATCGGGATCCTGCTCCCTCGTCAGACCTTGAAGGTACGTCCCATCCGCCAAGACGACGTCACAAGCGACGATATGATCAAGAGTAAGGCCCCAAGCTCTTGAAGCATATCCGAACCCGCCAAAAGCGGCATGTCCCCCCACGCCAACGAACGGACAAACACCATGAGCGATTGCTAAACCCCATTCATCCAGTTGAAGTGCCATATCACCAAGTCGAACACCGCCACCTACGACGACGGTCCGGTTATCGTCTTTCAATTCGATGTTGGAAAAGTGACCGAGATCGATGACGAGGCCTTGGGCGTTGCCACTGCCGACGCCGTAGGCGGCATAGGAGTGCCCTCCCCCGCGAGCGGTCACGGGTTTGTTGTACTGCCGGGCGAAAGTGACTGCCGAGGAGACGGCCTGTGCGTCTGTTGGGGTCACGATGGCCATGGCGGAGGTGTAGAGACGTTGATTGAATGCTCCTGGGCATACGACAAGAGCATTGGTCTCAGTCAATGGCTACACGTCCTACGACAGCTTCACAAAAAGGGGCGCCGGTGCATTCGCCAACTCCGTGACCTCGTCCAACTGACCGGTCAAACTGTCGAACTGCTCCTTGTCTTGCGATGAACTGACGAGATTCATCTTTGGGTTCGATGCGAGACACGCCAAAAAGTCGTGCCCATCATTGTGACCTTGGACCGGGGTCGCTGAGGTGGGTATAGCAGTAGCCATGCACTGCGCCGGCCCTCCGGTTCGAGGCGAGAGACGAAGCGAGAGGACATGGCTTCGTTCTTTGGGTGTGGGGGGGGGGGGGCCGAGTGCCGGTGGAATCTAGCCGAGGAAGCCGACTGCCAGTGGCCGGGCGAGAATTACCAATCCAAGGCAAGGGGCGAGGTGGAGGCGAGCTTGTGTACGATGAAGAGTTTGATACGCTAAAAGTGGAGAGCAACCGTCAACTCAATTTCGAGCCGGCCGTGCGCCAGTCCATAACCGGACGCGTACGGTTCATCCAAGTGTGCAGAATTTGTGCCTCGCTGAGTGTCGGGCGAAGGATGATTATCTTGGAATGGCACAGTCATCAACATGGCTATGACTTTATGTTACTTATCGCGAACCGGTGTCCCTGAGCCGTGAAAATATTTGGAACGTTTCAAATTGGAATGAAGTCGCCGAGCGTCGTGACACGACCGAGCACGACTGCAGTGTGGGCGGCTCCTTCGATCCACCCGCTCGACTTGCCGAGCCTCACGACTCAGCACCAACTCTGTACCGCGTCGTCCGAATCAGCCAGCAGTGCGACGGGACTTGGGTCATCAAATTCAAGTAGGAGAGCTTGGCTGTCTACTCGCGCACGCACCACATTCGAGATCTATCGATATCCATCCCGGACGTTGGCCGACGCGCGGTGGTGGGTGGACGTGAGCGTGAGCCCGTCCGTCATCGCGTCATCTTCCACGCCGAGCAGCGCCGAGCAGCGCCGAACGCCGACACATCGTCATCTGCCTTCTGCGACCGCTAAACGGGTTGCTCCTCTCGCCCTCGCCCTTGCCCCATTCCGACGTCGACCAACACGTCTCTAGTTTGTTGCGCGTTTTTTTTCGTTGGAGTCGATCTTGGGAGTACGGGCACTTACGGGGAGGACTGGGCGTGGGGCGTGAGTACTGCTCGCAGCTCGAGGAAGCCGCTCGTGCTTGGAATCGATTCGAGGAACGAACGAGACCGCCGGTCGCTTGTTCTGTACGCGCCACGACGCATGGCAGCGAGTGCACCTGCCCCGTCCGAAAGCACAGTGTTTACACAGCCAATAAGCTAACTAGTATAGCCCCGAACTTTTTCAGATACGACACCGGTGGCCGGTTCCAGTTGACGAACCTTCGTCTAGAGCGCGCTTCGAGAGGCCGACCCGGGAGCTGAGCTCGATATCGCGGGTACGTCGGCTGTTGACATATTCATGGCATTTGGCCCTGCTAATAATTTTCCTAGTCTGTGCTATACAGTTCCTCCCGCGAGGCCACACACGTTCACCCGTGCACCGCCATGTCGACTCGATCACCGGCGATGCCCCCGCCGCCGCCCGTGCCTGCCTCGTATCCGAAACCTTACCACCTCAACGGACCGTCCGCAGCCTCCTCCCCGGGCTCCAGTCCGACCGCTTCAAGTCCGAATCGACCCAACTACCCTTCGACGTTCAACGGACCGTCCAACCCCGCTGGCCCTTCAAGACCAAGCGGAGCTCGATCCTCGCTCTCGCAGCATACTCGACGGCCTTCCAGGGCCGAGCGGTACGAAACACTCGTCGAGAACGCGAGAGCACTCTACAAAACTGCCTCAAGCGGGACCGAAGCACCCATTGCGGAAGGGAATGTTGGGTTGGGATTCGAAGATTCGCTCCGTCAGCAGGATGGGTTCACGATCGAAGAATGGAGGGATACGGTCGGCGATTTGCTCAAGGTCGTGGATGGGATGGTACGTTCTGGCATCGGAGAGGAAAAGTTGAACACCCGAATGCGAAACCGATATCGTTCCTCACATTGAACCCCCCAACACAGAGTCGGCAGTTGGCGACCCATGACGAACTCGCAGCACAACTCAAGATCGCTCAATCGAACCTGACGCTCGCCGAAACGCATTCCGAATACCTCGAAGAAGAACTACGACGGAAGGAATCGCGTCACTCCGCTTCGTCGACTATTGCGTCGACGGTCGGGTCCACCAGCCAGGTTTCGATGGTCGGCGGGGTCCTACCGCATCGAGCACATACCATCTCCTCTCATGAGGGGCGACACGAGAGCAACGGAGCTTCCTCATTATTTGGTGGCTTTGTCAACAACCTGCCCGGGAGCGTGTCGAGGGCTCGAAAGCAGACGCCGAGCGTGAGCAGCAACGCGAGCGCTCAATCGAACGTCCCGACCAACTCGCTCTTTGCTGGGCATTATCGATCCTCATCGGCGTCACCCCAACCGGGAGACCTGACCAACGGCGACTCGCGATCTTCGGAAGAGCGCATCGATCGCAACCACCTCCCCACCGACGTTTACGCGCTCCAGAACCAAGTCGCTTCGCTCGACCAAGCTCTCGCTTCCTTGCGCAACTCCAACACCGGTCTTCGGAAAGCCCACGACCAACTCGCGCTCAAATGCGCCGAATTGGAAAAGACCAAGGAGGATTTGATGGGCGAACTCGAGTCGTTGAGCGTCGAATTGTTCCAAGAGGCGAATACGATGGTCGCTTCTGAGCGCAAGCTTAGGGCTGCGGCAGAGGACGAGGTCACGAGGGTCAAGGGGGAACTTGCGAGGTTGACGAGTGATATTGACGAGTTGAGAAGAGGGGCAATGATGAGGTCCGGAAGTGGGACGGGTCTATCAAGTGCGGCTGTTGGGGCTCGACCGGGTTTGCCTGCACGAGCTGCGACGGACGAGGGCTATGACGGCCGGGCGACACTTAATCCCATCCTCACCGACACACCTGCGGGTCTCAGTCCCGAACTTAATTCGCCCCAACTCGATTCAGCAACGTCCAAATCAAAATGGTACAGCTTTGGTCGCCCCTCTTCCGCAGCGGGCAAGAAGGCCCCCACCCATCGAGGTACGGCATGCGATTCAGAGAACGAGGCGCAGTACGCGATTGTATCGCCCCCAGGAGCACTTGGCCCTCCTGGTCCGGCGCCTGGCATGCTAAGAGCTGCATCAAATAACAGTGTCGTCTCGTTCCCGAGTCCTCAGTCGAACTACACTTCGGCAAACGAATCATCACCTCTCGTTGGGTCGTCCGAGGCGCAGCTCTCTCGACGTGGAGACGAGAAGGGGCCCAGTCGAGGTTCGCCTATGAATGGATCGGCTTCGACGTTTGGTGATGGAGCGGGTTCTGATCGACTACGAGCACCGCAATCACGAGGATCGTCTGCGACGAACTATCAGCCCCATGAGCCAAATTCAACCGACGGGCTGAATGCAACCCCCTTTGCGCCGATCCATTCGACCTCGTCGTTGGCAACACGAGCACCCCGACCAATACCCTTGCACGAACCAGCAGCGCGAGAATTGGGTGCCGGTCGACCCGTTGCGATCTATTCCTTCGAAGGGGAGAGTACGGCCAAGTCCCCTCGCACTCCGAACGAGATGAGGTGGAAGGACGCAGCGAAGGAGATCACTTCCCCCATCTTACCCTCTTCATCACCCTTGGCGACGAACGCCCCGACTTTCCCGGATGTACCGGTGAACCCGTTGGCGAACGCGCCAGAGCTGGACGAGGCGCCTAAGACTACGATGACTCGAGTTAGTCAGATCCCTCTTTCGGGTTCTGCATCCCCTCAACATAATGAGGTTCCGATCGAGTCAGGGCAAGCGGGATTCAGGCGTTCACCGGCAATCTTGAAGCTTGACACGGCAGAGGGGACCACCTCCTCGTCAACTTCCACCGCGACGTCCTCGGCTTCATCCTCCGTCGTACCAAGCCGAAGCTCGAGCGGCGACTTCCACAGCTATCCCCTTTCCGCCCGATCGAAATCCAACGACCCGCGACTCCTCGCTTCTTCTTCATCATCCTCCCCCTCAAACCACCTCATCAACCCCACCTCAACCCGCGGTTCCAACCCCAACAAACCCGTAGGGAACACGACTCAACGTCCCACCTTCTCCCGCTCAGCGTCCCACGGTCCTTCGTCGAACGCATCGACGTCACCACATACGTCCTTCCGCTCCGATTTACCAACCTCAATTTCGAATTCCTCGTTAGCTTCAACGTCAACTTCGAACCGAACGGTGGAGGAACTGGATGATTTGATGAGGAATATCGCGGATATGCAACTTTGGGTCGACGAGTTGAATGGTGCTGGTGGTGGTACAAGTGGGACTACTACGGGTGTTGGGGAGGGTACGAAGATGGGGTAAAGAAAAAAGACACTTGATCGGTTCAGCGGAGGTACGCACATCAGATTTTGTTCCCTCTCGACCTCTTTTTTTCCCTTATTTTTATCTATCAGACCTGTAGTCCTTTGACGTTTTTATTTTATTTGGCTCTTTGATTCTTCACGACTTTTGCCACAATGTGCCGACCATGAACTTTTTTTTTTTGATTACCGTCCACCCACTTGCATCGGTCTCGGTGCCTCTCTGCACTAGCTCTCGTGCTCTTTTCTTGATCGAGTATCGAACGGAGAAAAACGCCAGCGATAGAGCAGTTCGGATTACGTGAACGAGAGAACGAGGTGGAGAGAAGGAGTAATCAGAATGAAGGAAGGGTTTAAAGAAAAGGAAGAAGAAGAAAAATACGAGGACCCCCTAGAAAATGATGACCAACCAAAGGATGAGAAGCGTATAGAAAACGAAAGGGACAGCCATACGAGACCCTTACGGGTGGGGAAGTCAAGTATATTAAAAAAAAAAAAAGCAAGGAGAGGGGTGCGTGGAGATAGAGAGGCCATGAGGGAGGGAAGAGTGCATGCAATAAGTGAGGGTGAGGTGGGGAGTGCAAAGACAGTGGTGGTCTTCCAAAGGAGACAAGGATGGATTTTAAGTTTTGTACATCGTCACGAGTGGGTTCTCCTCACGAAGGCCCCAACTCCAGCGCACCGAGCAATTGATCATAAACGTGCTTATACGACCACGGAGAACCCTTGACGCGCTTCAAATCGACGCAATACAATCGTTCGAGGTGTTTGACGCGCGTGATCTCGACGTGGAAACGGACCTCGTCGCCTGAATCGCTCGAGCCTTCCCCGTAGATAGGTGCCGGCTGTTGGGATTGTGTACCGAGCATACCACCGATTGGACCTGATGACAAGGACGGGGTCATGGCGGGTGAGAGTAGCGGGTCAGGGGAACTGAGCGCGCTCGAGGCGGCGGCGATGGTCGTACCCGAGTTCTTGCGAGCAAAGAACCCACGGAACGTCATCGAGGGGCTTTGCGCGAGGTTCGATGACATCGAAGGTGAGGCCGACATGCGACTCGACATGCTCGAGTTCAACAACTCGCGAGGATCGCCGTCGGTGCTGGATGCGGCAGGAGGTTCGAAGCCCAGACCGGCGAGTTGGAGCTGCTGCGCCTTTTTGCGACTCTTGCGAACGCACTTGACTCTGAAATCGGTCTCCATGACCATCTCGACACCCATCTTCCACAAAGCGTTGCGGATGTCGACCATGACCTCGGGAGGGGAACGGTACGTCAAAGCGTGCTTGTCCAAGGCTCCCTGGTGCACCCTGAGACGACCTGGCACGAACTGGGGTTCCACGACGGCGGGAGCAGGCTTGGCAACGGCCATCGTCGTCGTGTTGGAGGACACCGTCGTCGCCTTGGTCGAAGTCGTCGTGCTGCTCACGAGGCTTTGTGCGCCACCGGAAACCGATCTCGACGATTGCGGCGAGCTTTGTTGCTTCGGCGGAGCAGTCGAAGGCGTGAGCACGACAGCGGGGGGCGGTTCGATCGTAGGTGTCGCGAGCGGCGTCACGGAAGGACTGGTCATCGACGTCGTCTGACTGCTCGCGCGACTCGGCAGGGAAGGCATCATCGACATCGGTCGTGCGCGACGAGACGAAGTTGACTTCGCTTCGCCATCCTGCGCGCCATTTGAAGTTGTCGAAACAGAGTTGGACGATCCAGCATCGGAAGGTCCGGGTGCACGAGTCGAACGACGACGGAACCAATCCATGACGGACTTAGCTTTACTTCCGGGAGCGGAGGAGCCCGGAGTATTAGAGGAGGCCCACGCCGCTTCGAGGTCGCGAGAACGACCGCTCGGTGTAGCCGGAGCGGCGGCGGACGAGCGAGTGGAGGGACGACTCGTATTCGACGAAGCAGGGACCGGTGGTGGGCCCATCGAACCTCTTCTCGTCGACGACGATGTCGCAGCTGGCTTCGGAGTGGTAATTGCAGGTCGACTTGTGTTTTCGCTGATCGTAGTCGAACTGCTCGGTGCCTTGGACGCCTTGCTCGAACTGCTCTTGAAGGGCTGCAGACTCATCGCCTTCTGTCGCCGACTCTTGCGTCTTTCAGAGTTGGCCGCTTCGCTGACCGCGTTCGAGGACTCCGATCGCTCAGAGGTCGTGGATTTGCGAGGAGACGGCACGGGTGATCCGGGTGTCGAACCGGGCAGAAGGCCGCGCAAGGAGAAACGGCCACTACCGGATCTCGAACGATTCGTCTCGGCAAACTCGGTGAGAGGTGTCGGCGCCGATGTCTTTTTGGCCCGAGGCGTCGTATCGGCATCAGAGTTCGAGCGTGTCGGAGTCGAGGGGACCGCAGAAAGTGTGTCGGGTTTGTTTGCCGCGAGTGCAGGGACGGACGGTAGTGACTTGAGTTGATCGACTTCTGCAGCATCGGCAGAGCTTTTTCGCTTCTTGGGCGTGCTGACACGCAAAGGCGCATTCTTCGTAGGCGTCGAGGGTGTCGCAGATGGTGTGGGCAGAGGAACAAGTGGCGGTGTCGTGGGCCGAGTGGCCTCTTTGGGCTCTTCAACCAGGGGAGCCGAGGGGGTGGGGGGAACTGAGAGGGCATGTAGAAGACGTTATCGTCAGAAAACTCCGGAAAAAATTCAGGCGACAGCAACACTCACGTTCCGCCGTCTTGGCCTCTGGCGCAGATACCATATCCACATCTTCAGCCGGCGTCGCCGGAACCGATGGTTCAACTCGCTTCGTCGCGTTCCGGGCAGCCGCTTCCGAATCGTATTCAACCTGGACTGTAGCGCGATGCGATGCCTTGCGTCGTTGCGAAGCCGCTTCCACCGCACTCGGGCTCGTAACTGCACCGGCGGACGGGACCCGCGGAGTCGAAGCGGTGCTCGGCGTAGCCCCTCCTGTCGTTGAAGATCGCCGACTGGCGCGACTTGAAGTTGAAGGTTGCCTAGAGGTCGACGGTCGAGGCATGTCGACGACCATAAGATCGTCTTGGGTAGGGATCGAAGGTGGGTCCGGAGGAGCCGAGAACGAAGGTGTCATCGCTACCGAAGCCGGTGCAGGCCCACTCGCGCTCGAGCCGGACTTCGACCCCTTGGCTCCAATTCGAGGTTCGAAGGTGAAGTGGTCGGCATCAACGGTGATGCGCTGCGTTTGTGTTGTCGGCGGCGAGGAGGCGCCGAACGAGTTGTTGCCTGCTCGACGACCGACCGCACCAGGTAGCACGATCGAAGTTCGGTTTTCTCGAATGGGCACGGGAGCGCTCGGGGGTGTTTCCTCCTCTTGAACCGAAGTCGTGGGGAAGGCATGCATGTCGAGGCCCGTCTGCTGCGACGCCGATTGAGCCATCGCCGTCTTGTACCGAGTCCCACTCGAAGGTGGTCCCGTTGAAGTATGACTCCTCGTCATGCCAGTCGCCATGATCCCCAACCCACTCGTTTGCTGCTGCGCCGATTGTTGCTGCTGCTGTTGCGCCTGTTGCTGAGCGTACTGCTGGACAAGGAACTGTCGCTGCGCCTCGAGCGCCTGTCGCTTCCACAACTCCTGCTCTTGCGCCTGCTTCTCCAATTCGGCGACAGTCCGTTCGAAGTGTGCTGCGAACTTGCGCAACCACGAATGCCGCATCACGTCTTCGATCGTGCATCGCTTGATCGGGTCGGGCACAAGCATCAACAACAACAACTCGCGCGGCTCGGCCGTAATCCACTCGGGGAACGTCAAGGGCGTGTTGATGATGTACTTGTAGAGCAAGTTGATGTTGTCGCCCTCGGGGTTGGTCGGATCGTCATCGTATGGCAAGTAGCCAGCGAGCATGGCGTACAGAATCACACCGCACGACCAAACGTCCACAGCCGTACCGACGTATTTCCCTTCCTGCACGACGAGTTCCGGCGCAGCATAGCAAGGTGATCCGCACGACGTTGCCATCAGATCTCGACCCGCATCCTCGAAGCGATTTGCAAAGCCGAAATCGGTGATCTGAACGTTGCGATTTCGATCGAGAAGCAAGTTCTCGAGCTTGAGATCCCGATGAACGATCCCCTTCGCGTGCAAGTAACCAACACCGGAGATGAGTTGTGCGAACAATCGCGACGCGTCACGTTCTTTGAGGTATCGATGCGCGAGGATGTGGTCGAACAATTCTCCACCTGATGCGTATTCGAGAACAATACCAATGTACTTGTCCGTTTCGATGACGTCGTACAAGCGCACAATGTTGGGATGTCGCACAGCCTGAAGCGGATAACAAGAAGAGAAAAGAAATCGGTTTGTCAGTCAACTTCACTTGGCCTTCGCCCCCCCTCAAAAAAGCGATGACCCACCTTGAGCACCTCGATCTCCCTCCTGACTTTCTCACCACGCTGCGCCGTATCGACGTTCCCCCTTTTGATCAACTTGATCGCGACGTCCTCACCCCATCGCTCAGAATGCACGCCAAGCTTGACTTTACCGAACTCGCCCTCGCCAAGCGTCTGGAGGAGGATGTAAGGCCCAAAAAAGATCTTCTGTCTTGGCATTGGGTGGGGGGTGTACAGTTGTGGATAAGGGCCGAGGGAAGCGGCGGTGTTGGTCGTCGAGGTTGGCAGGTAGCCGACCGATTGGCGAACACGTTGCGCACTCGCGGATGGTGGCGCGGCCCCGCCCGACGTGCCAGACGAGTTCGCACCACCGCCGATGAAAGGTGCACTTGGGGAGGAAACGGGAGCGGCAACGGACATGGGACGTTGTCCATGGTATTGGCGGTGCGAAGGCTGGGGGGGAGGAAGCAATTCTTGCACTTGCGAGTTGCGCCGGGAGGAAGACAAGGTGGTATCCGACGACGGGACCGTCGGTGAAGGCGAGGGACTATTACCGGGCTGCCGCCGGTTATTAGGATTGAAAGGCGGAATGACGAGACTCGCATCAATCGAGACCGGCCGTCGGGTAGCAGCAGACCCGCCATGGCCCGGCGGGGGCGACGGGTAGCGTGTCGCGGCCTCCTCTCGTTGTCGCGTCGCACTCGCGGTTGATTCTCGCTTGCTCCGCCGACGCTCCTCGTTCGGGCGACCCGAGGGATCGGGCGACGATTGGGCATCCGAATAGATCTCGGGAGAGGAAGGCGAAGGCGAGAAGGGGTACGCGGCCGAAGGGGTCGTCATCGCGACAAGTTACACGCTTTGGGCGGAGGGAGGGATCGAGAATCTGACAGCAAATGGAACCACGAGAGTGCACAAGATGGCCAAAACTAGGAACGGGGTCAGCGTAATGAACTCGATCCGCGATGTTCCATCGTCCGTATCGATTTGGGGATCGACTGTCTTCTTCTTGCAGATCCGTCGTCGCGTGCGGCTTAGGAGGTGATGCGCCATCGCGCCCCCCCCCCCCCCTGATCGTTTCAAGCGAGGCGACAAAGACAAAGCGATCGCCTGACTTGGCAAGGCGTTCCTGTCTCGCTGACGATCCAGATTGGCTCGAAACCCAAACCATAGTCCGGGGTAGGATGTTCCTGCTGTGTGGCTCCTCTGGGCAGAACCACGTCGCGAATCGCAACAGCCAGGAGGCTCCCACGGCACCGCGAGATGAGGATGCCCAGTACGCCCCCACGCGCGAAATGAAAGCGATGAAGCGAACCCAGCTCACCTGTATCTGAGCTCGTTTATGACTCGGTCGCAACTACCGTAATCGAATCGATGGGGCAAATACAATCCAAAGTAGTCTATGTATCGAATGAGAGTATCGAGTCGGGCCAAGACGCGTTGTAGTCGATGGCAGCGACGTGTTTGCGTCGGGCTGGAGGGTTACCGCGAAACGAGTCTGAGACACACGAACACGAAGCGTGAGCGGTGCGGAGGTCGACGAGGGTTTGAGGTTGTGGAAACGCGTGACGAGACGCGTGGGTGTGGGATCCAAGATCATCCGATTCGGATTGACAGGACGCGGGGGAAAGGGGACAATGGCCGTCGACAAGGTGCGAAGCGGGAGGGGGTTTCAATTAGGGACGACGACGACGACGAGTAGTTGACGACGCGCACGTTTGCGAGCAGTGTTCCACAGCGAGAGAGAGGCGGTAGCAGAATAGACAAGGGTCAGCAAAGGATAGGAGCACCCAGTGTCGAGTCTTTGCTTCTGACTGACCGTTGCCTAAAGCGACTGTGTGTTGCGAGTCGGAAGTCACGCAGACCAGGGACGACGTATGCCGAAACACACACGCGGGAGAGCCGCCGGTGTTCGGTGCAGCGAGAGCGCGCGCAGGCAAAGGCAGGCTGCAGACGCTCGGGCGCGGTGGTCGGTGGTGGGACGACGCGGGAGACGACGCGGGAGACGACGGGCTCAGAAACTGACGCGACGCGATGCGCTCGCTCGGTCCAGCACGAGACAGTCGAGGTCTTGGCACAGCGCGAGTTCGTCCAACAACAAGCGGGCTGGTCGATCCAAGAGTCACTGTGTCGCGTCACCGAATCCGAGTTGATGCAGCACGACGCGACGGCCAGAGGGGGACGTGTGGCGGCCAACTCGATCGAGACAAAGCGAGGAGCGCTCTCACTGCAGGCCTCTGCAGGCCTTCAGGCGTACACCGCCCGCAGGCTGCGTCAATGCTGTTTGGCGCGCGCTCAAATGCCGAATTACCAAGGTTGGATGAATGCGCCGCCCAGAATGCTTAATCTGCGTTCGGGTAGATTACCACTCCACCATACCTTTCCAGTCGAGGCACCACCGGCCGCCGGCCGGGGCCCCCACATAACCGATCGGTGGTCGGCATTCGGCATTAACAAGTCACAGTCTCCCCTAAACAAGCGCAATGAGAAATCTTGGGCTCGGCACAGGAGCTCTTTGGGTCGGGCATCGGCACGGGCAGCGCCTGGCCTTGACTGCACCCCCTGTCTCGCTTCATGCGCCAAATCGTCTCGACTCATCGGTCTATCGGATCGTAGAACGGCCATCACGGAGGAGAGATGAAGACGGCTTGGATATTCTCGAGGCGTCTTTTGTGATCGACACGATGATACGAGAAGTGAGTGTAACCCATCGGGCATTGTCATCCGCGGGAAGACATCGGGCACCTGTTTGGGACTCGCACTTGAAGAACGTCGACGTCCCTGACCACCCGACGAGGAGGTGAGATCCCCGCGTGACCTCAATTTTGCTGTGTTCGATGGCTTCGACAGTCTATTTTCAGTTCGTAGCATACATCCAGCCTAATTTGGCTCTCATATTCAGCCCATTCACCTACCTACACAAGCTTCGATGTACTACTAGCTGCTCCAAACGGACGGACGCCGCTCGGCTCGCTCCGATTGGGACCTGTGCGACGGGTATGTGCTGTGCTCGAGCCTTGGCGCTCCGTCCTCTTTCTTTCCTTTCTCTTCCCTGCACTCCCCTTCTCTTCCACGAGCGTGAATAAGCCGACGTCCAATCTGGCCACTTTCCAACTGTAGCCATATCCCGGAACTCCGACCCCAGCTCCTCTTTGCTCCAGACTTCACAACGACGATGGCGCCCCCACATGATGGCGCCACTTCGAGTTCGCGACGACGTCCCCAAACTAGTCGAAACCTCCGCTCTTCCGCGTCTCAGACCAAGACCTTGATGACGTTATTGGCGGTCTCTTCAACCTTGATGGTGCAAGCTCAGAACGCTGTCTACCCTCAACCTACGGATATCGCAGGCAGTGAGTCCTAGTACAGCTCAGACGATTTGAGAACCCGCCGCTCGGGGTTTCGTTCGCGATGCTCGGAATGCCCTCTTGGAGCTGAGCTTCATCGGACTAGCTCGGCATCGCGGAGGGCGCTATTCATAGGCATCTTTTACATAACGCTTGACTGGGTAGACAAAGTACTGACGTCCAATTGTGTTTAAATTTCTACAGCTGGCCCCAAACCACCTGCCGTACAAAGTCCGGCGATCGGCACCTGGGCCACTCCAAGCGCGCCCGTGACGGATGGCAATGGTGTTCACGTACCACCGGCTTCGGAAACGGGTCTCGGAAGACAAGCACACGTTCGAAGTCCAACGGATTTCTGCGTAAGTCGTGCCGCTTGGCTTTCCCCAGAGGAACCTGGAGATGAGACTCGCCAAGATTTTCTCCTGCTTTTTGAACTGCTTTTTGAACTGACTTTTGCTCGCTTGTCCAACGTGACCACAGCTGTTCATGCCCCCAGACCCAGTCACCGAGAATCTCGTCGACGCCGAAGCAGATGCCGTAGCCTACTGCTTCAATGCCGTCAACGGTACGCGACCCATGCCCGACGGCTTCGTGCAAACGGCCCATTTCCGAAAAACGGCCGACTATGTCCAAGTCAGCGGCACGTACGATTGGCGCAAGATGAACCTCAACCCTTACGACTGTGGAGGTGAATACGACAACCACGGTCCATCAGGCAAAGGGAACCCCGTGGGAGCAGCGATCGATGGCGGACAGGATTTCTTCCAGTTCCTCGGATCGTGCGATACGGTCGGGGTAGGACAGTTCGTCATTCGTTCTTGCTTCGGATCAAGGTCGTATCCGTATTGTAGGAATACGTTTGATCTGATGGGATCGTTGTGGGTCGCTCCCGGGGAATATCGAGAACCTGGGTTCACGTCGTGTTCGGCCGATTCGGATCTACCCGTTGGGGTTTACAATTCATCGTACACGTTTGCGCAAGGGGATCCGTACACTCCTCCGGCTGTGACGGCGCCTTCTTCATCTATGGTGAGTAACACGGAAGCCCCTCCTAGAGCGCGAAGTTGCGAGCTGACATATCTTGCGCGCCACTCCGAAACCTCATCAGTGCTCAACCACCGCCTCGCCCTCCGCCTCGGGAGTGACCTACGCCTGGGCTCAATTCGGCTATCAACAAGCCATTTCTGGCGGTGCAGCATCGCCAACCGCCACTGGATCCGCTTCTGCTACGACAGACAGTGTTGCGGTGGCTTCATCGACGATCACTTCCGCACCGACCGTGTCCGCAGCGGCTTCGACTACGACCCGACCTGCGGTTGCTACGCCGACGAGCAGTACGAGCGGTGCGAGGCATCTCGTAGCTGCTGGATCAGCACTGGGAATGGTGTTCTTATTGCTTGTGATGGCGTTCGTGGCTTGACTTGTTTGTGTACTTTGAATCGGCGGACTCGTCTTTTTAACTTGGAGCCCCTTTTTGTCAATCTCGAGTCGAAGATCGACAGCACACACATGCAATCTATGTTTCTGTATGCAGCCTGAGATATCACAACATCACCAATAATTCGCACCCGAGATTTATCAGATGGATCCTCTGCTGTGCTGATGGCTACCGTGTCTGCTCCCACTCGATACCGCCAGTGCGAAGGCGGCGCCTAACGTGGGGGTAAGCGAGTTGGCTGCGACCCAGAGCTGAACAAGAACCTAGAACCTTGCTCAATCGTGGCCTCGGTCGGTATGGCAAACCGGTACTCGCTTTCTGTGATTGGTAAACCCTGGTCTATGCCAAGGAAACGCGAACCGCTCGGGCCTTCTCGTCAGCCCCGGCAGGAGCCCCTTGCTGAAGATCGGACCTCTTCTCAACGGTTTCTCGACTTGTCGGGTTCCGAGGAACGGGTCTGGCCCGAGACCGGGTGGTCCCCAGGCTTCATTTCAAGCCCGAGCAATAAATTGTTTGCCGCCACAAGAGCTCATGTGTCCCTTTCCTTCATACCTCCACATCAACTCGATAACATATCCTTTCGTGTTTCTTTCCCTCTCAATCTCGCTGGTCGAGTTCCTCTTCCCTCCTTCATTCAGTGTCCTCCACCGTCGTCTGGACGCGGGCCAATCACGCGGCCACTTGAACCGATATTCGAAGCTGGCCTTTGTTCATCACCTTAAAGACGACCCGTGCACGACTTTGAGTTTCCGTGATTTACATACAGAATATGCGAGGTTTGATTATGTTTGAGCTTTTGGCATTGATGATGGTGTTGGAGAAGGTACAAGGCCACATGGTGAGTACATCCGTGGATTCAGGGGGTGATGACTCCCCGATAGAACGTCGTCGTCGGACCTGCGCGTAGCTTGCGCCATGTGACAGGATGCTGACTGTGCATTACCCCTACTCTTCAATTGACCACATTGGTATATTGTACCTTCCAAGACTATCTGGTAAGTGCTTCACCCACCCCATTCCTTAATCTCCTTGCCACTCGTCAGGCCGAATCCACAGCCCCTGTCCCGTGGGATCCACCCACGAGTTCTGATCGGGGTCACCTCTTCCCTTCTCACCTCGACGTCGCAGGAGTAAATCCATGTACGGCGTCGGCAAAGACTTTAAATTCGTCGTACCCGGTCAACCTTGTGACCCGATCGGCCCGGATTTGAAAACTCGAGATGAGTGGTGGTTCAGGTGAGCATCTGATCATGCCGTCCACTCTCCCCAACAAGCGCACCGAACAACCCTTCGCCCCCCTCTCGTTCATAGAGGCCCCGCATACCGAGCCCTGCCCCCTCCTGAAGGCGAAGTGACTGAACTGATCGCCGGCAAATCCGTAACGTTTGAAATTTCGTGCCACGTCGCTTGGACCTCCTTCGGATGGAGTACGACCAAACCTGGCAGTCATTTGGATGCTTGTCCCGGCAATCCTGGTATGTCCTACCTTTTTCATCGCAGCAAGTTCAAGTGAGATTATTTGAGTTGATGAGGGTGTGTTCCATTCGCAGGGGCCTACCACGCAGGAGACCCTTTGAAAGACTCTATCGACGAAAGCCTTCTCTCAGGCTGCGCATTGGCCATCGCGGACGTGGACGATATTGAAAAGGTCACACCGGATAACCTCGTCATTTTTAGTGTTCAGTCTCAGTGTATAAAACAGAAGATCACGTCTTTTGAGGTGAGGTCAAGAGTGTTGAGGCAGGGTTTGAGATCCTTTCGCTGATTTAAGATTTGCGACGGGATGTACGCGGTAGGTCCCTGCTGCGATGCCTCCGTGCAAGGGGAAGAAATGTATTTGTGGTTGGTAAGTGCCTTTCGTATCAATCCTTCACATGATTCGCCGCGTATGTCGTATCCTGGATCGCTAAAATCATTCGTTTCACCACGCCGCCCGTGACAGGTTCTGGTAAGTGCTCAGCAACCAAAGGAGCTTCAGCCGAGGAAATGATCGTAATCAACACTGACTTGATTCGCTCTCCACCAGGCTCGCCAATACCGGCACCGTAAATTTCTACATGAGTGAGTTTCACATAAAACAAAAAACCAAAAAACCCCGAGCTCCCCGCACTAAGCACCGGACTTGAACCGAAAAAAAAAAACCCTAACTCAACCGAACCTTCGCTCCTGTCCTCTTCCTCAGCCGCCTTCGACTGCGCCGTCACCAACCCTTCCCCCACCTCGATCCGTCCGATCCAATTTCCCCTTTCGGACCCTTACATGTGCGAAAATTACCTTCATAACCAAACTTGTATCCAAGTTCAACAGAAATACGCCAAGAGGCCTATTTACGCTTATAATGAACCGCAGAACGTGAAGTGGGTTTCGAATGAGGATCGAGCGGGCTATCATGAGAAATGGGGGTGGGTCGATGGGGCGCAGGAGGGGATCTTTGGGGAAGGGAAAGGGGAAGGGATGGGGGATAGTGAGAGGGGTAGGGGTGTGGCGATCAAAGGGGATGCGAGGACTGCGATGTCGATGGCTGCGACGACGATGGCTGCGACTGGGAAGGCGACGATTACGTCGACGTCGACGAAAGTGGAGAAGACTACACCGAAGCCGGCAGCGACGAGGGCGACGACTACAATTCAAGTCCAACATCGAAACGCACCGTCAGCTCATCGTACTCCCGAGCCTCAGCGCGTCAAGTGCAAGAAGAACAAGTCGAAGCACGTCGCCACCGTTTCAAAGCTGAAATTGATGATGATGATGACGACCGACTCGGCCAGGGCCAAGCCAAGAACCAAGCCCAAGTCCAAGTCCAAGCACCACAACCACACCAAGCAAAATCATCACCGACACACCAAACAAGGCAAGCCTAAGAGGAGCAGCAAGACGCAGGGACGCCGTCAATCGAGCAAGACTGGTCGACCCAAGCTACGGATGACCTCCTTTCTTTGAAGAGCATCTTCACCTGGGGTTGAGTGAGCTCTCTTATTGCAGTCGTATGAACTGCCTGGTCATTCTGTGCAACACGAGCTGGCCTCTGTGCTCCCGCGTCCAGTAGACTATCCTCCTGCAGACAACCTCTGCACCAATCTGTCTCCTTGAGCATGAGCCCAAACGCCGTCGGGGTCTGGTTCGACACCAATTGCCTTCCTATGCCTCCTTGATATCTCTCACTCTCAAACACACAACCAGTGTATCAGAAAACCAAGGATACCCGTTTCAGTCATCCGCAACACAAGCAAACAAAGCGCCCGTCCGCTCCCATCATCCATTAAACTCGTCGGCCCGCGCCTCCACCATTATCTTTTGTACCACCCTCACCCTACTTGACCTCCATCCATCCGTTCCGAAAGAAGTCTTCAGAGCCGGGCGAAGAAAAGAGTCGAGTAGTCGAAAGGGCACGTGGCGAAATGTCGTAAAAGTGGACCGGGTTGAGGTTGAGAATGGAGAAGAGAACAGGCGCTCCTTTGGCCAGCGGTACGAACGAACCCCAACAAAAAAAAGATCGGGGGCGAATCGTTTACTTCAGCTTCTTCTTGGGCCTCAACTGGGACGAGTGACCGCATGCGCGCTTGCGGCAGTTGGTGGCACGGGCAGGGAGACGGGCGTAGCACTTGCGGCAGATCATCTGTGCGGGCAGCGAATATCAACCATGTCAGAACCTAGCTAGAATGTGGAGATCTGGTTGCACCTTACCTTGTCGCAGTTGTAGGTCTGGGCGAGGATCCTCAACGAGGGCTCAATGATACCACCTCGGAGGCGGAGCACCAAGTGGAGGGTCGACTCCTTTTGGATGTTGTAGTCGGCCAAGGTGCGGCCATCCTCGAGCTGCTTGCCGGCGAAGATGAGACGTTGCTGGTCTGGGGGGATGCCTTCCTTGTCTTGGATCTTGGTCTTGACGTTGTCGATCGTGTCGGACGACTCGACCTCGAGGGTGATCGTCTTGCCCGTAAGAGTCTTGACGAAGATTTGCCTGATTCGCAGAGAGAGGGAGAGATGGGATGCGTCAGTTCGTGGGTGCTCCAACATCGGTACTGGCTGCGATGTCTTGGCTGGCGGCGGCGCGTGCTGGGGTGTCGCGAGTCGACGGTCGGTCCGCCTGCCGATGCGATGCGATGCGTGCCTGCGCCGTAGCTCATCGGACACCAATCGCCCACACACCCTCCCATCTACGACCACGCCGCATTCGACGCTGTTGATCCCCAATTATATGCTAGTATCCATACAGGTGTGGTAATGACGAGTGCTGTCCGGCGTGTCGGTTGTCGTGATCGAATGCGTCCTCGTCGTCGTCGCCTAGGCGCTTGTCCGCCGCCAGCTTCGCGCCTGGCCATCGCACCCGTGCGGTGTGCACTCCCTCGCACGCTAGCCCTCCTTCGCCTCTGCATCGTCGAATGATGAGACTCACATGTTGGCGAATCTGTAGTGGTAGAGATGACGAGGGGCACAGGACCAAAGTACGGGTCGGGTCGAGGTGGTCGAAATAGAGCGCAGAGAGGCGGTAAGAGCGCACGGTCAAAAATCGTCGGGCGCGGGCGGGCGACGGCGGGCGGCGGGCGTGAGTAGCGTGAGCAGCGGCGGTGTGGGTCGGTGGTGGTCGGTGGTGGTCGGTGGTGGTCGGTGGTCGGCCGCGAGAGGTCGCACGAAACGGTCGAACAGAACAGTCGAGCAGGGCGAGTACAGAGCGCAGTAGAGAGGTTCAACAGGGTCAGTGTCCAGTTCAGAGCGATGCAGCACCTCAATCCATACCCAAAGGTCGCGCTCGTACCTGGTTTCAATTGTGACGAGAAAGCACGAAGCAGGACCCAACCCACGATCCCTCAAAGCGACGCCCCCAGATATTGGGCCCGCGACAATCTGCGACAATTCGGCTGGCGCTGGGCAGGCCAAACATTCTTAAGCCGCCCCCTTGCGGCGCTCGGACCCTTCACTGCTTGGGCCCACCAGCTATATGCGGCAACATGGCAACAGCATGCATCACTATGACTTGGTGACAACAAATTGAGCGTTTTTACTTGAGCTGATGCCTCTCTCACGTGTTTGCCGCTGCTCTCAGAGTCAGGGGTCAGGATTCGGACTACCGCCGTTCCAAAAGATCTCTTTTCGCAACGGACACGATCACGAGCTACAACCGAGCCTCCTTACTGCACAATCATCATTCTCCCTCTCAATCTCATCACACCCTACAACTTGCCCGCGAACAACCTCCCCCCCACAATCGTCGCGACGACTTTGACTTCGGCGATCTCAAAGTCTTCCACCTCGAACAGATCCCGATCTAGGATCGTCAAATCCGCCTCTTTCCCTCTCTCCACCGACCCTAATTGGTCCTCTTGGAAGGCAGCGTATGCGGCTCCTGTTGTGAAGCCATGAAGGGTGTCGAGCATCGACAGACGTTCGGAAGGATACCTGAAGGCGGAAAGAAGCGCAAAAGAGTCAGCTCGGGGAGATCGAACTACTCACTCGCTCGAGGTCAGACCATATTCAACTGACTGACCATCCATCAGTTCCGTGAGGTGAATCCCCATTGATCCATTTCCTCGTCGTCGCGGCGTAGATACCCAACATCGGATTCACTTTCTCTACAGGGAAATCCGAGCCGAGGGCGATTGGACTCCCGGCGCTAAAACGAAAGGCACACGCTTGATCAGCACCGAGGAGTCAGGAATGGGTGCAAAGATACTCACGCTTTCAGGGAAGCCCATGCGTAAGCACCCTTGATCCTTTCGGGTCCGATCCGTTTTTCGGCATACGACATGTCGCTCGTCGCTGAGGGCGACCGCAACTTAGTTCAACCGGATCTTGGCGCTAATCTCGCGATTCTCACTTACCGTGAGTAGGTTGCATACTCGAGATGATACCCAACCGACCCGTCCGCGCGATATCATCTTGACTCTGTAGAGTAACAACTGTCCTTCAGGATTCCTCCTCGAAACCTCCTCGCACCTCCTCTTTCGACCACTCACCAAAATTTGCGCATGCTCCAACCTCAGCCTCAACTCCTTCGGCGAAACACCTGCGGGCGTATGCTTCTCATATGCGTCCAATATGATCTCCGCTGCGTGGTCGCCGATGACGTGCGAGTTGACTTGGAAGCCCTGTCGGAATGATTCGTAATGCGGAAACAAGGTCAGTTCACGCAAGCCTCCGCAGACGAGAATGAACTTGGACGGACCTTGTCGATCCACTGTGGAAGCAAAAGGGTGGCAAAAGTCAGCACCCCGGTATTTCTAGGCATACACACTTCGCCATTGCTATCTACCCCACCTTCTTCACTAAAGGCCCGATCTCCTCTTCTGGAGAAATCAAAATCCCCTTCTCGCCCTTCCGATCCGAATAATCCTCCTTCATCGCAGCTCCCCAACTTCCCAACGCCCCATCCGTAAAAATCTTGACGGCCCTCACTTCGAACCTCTCCCCTTTATACTTGGTCACTTTTTCCCCACAATAAGAGTTCAAAGGTTCGCAAGAGACCATCCCGTAAATTCGGATGGGGAGACGACCTTCTTGGTCGATCTTACGCAGGAAGTTGATGTCCGAGAGGGAGAGGGAAGCGTCGTGGACGCTGGTGAGACCGAGATTGAGCATCTCGCGCGCGGTCGAGGTTAGGAATCGGAGACGGTCTTCGTCGGTCCAGGGTGGAATGACCGCAGCTAGATAAGTGATGGTAAACGTCCGTGATGAATTTACTTTAGTTCGACTCTGACGAGGGCAGCCCAGTTTGACTCGACTCACCAACGAGTGCCATCGCGTTGTCGAGGAAGATACCCGTCGGCGACCCATCCGGTGCGCGAACAATAAGACCCCCCGTGACATGCTCAGGAAGTGAACCCATTCGGTCCAAGATCGTTTTAGAAACCCAAATAGCGTGCACATCAACTGCGAAAGAAGGTTCGGTACGCGTCAGACTGTGACGATCGAGAGCTCCGAACTCAGGACCGGAATGGGAAGACGGACTTCGTTTGAGATGAATGGATCTTCCAGCCAGTCGAGGGTCGCGTTCCAAATCGTCCTGACCGAATTTATCGGAGGCCCATTCAATCAGTGTGTGTTAAAATACTTAAGGCCGCGTGAACAGATTTTACTCTTGAATACTTACCGAAGTCGGAAACTCGCCTCCGGGCCACTTGGTCTGATCCCACCCCAATCCCAAGATGAACCTCGAGTGATCCTTGCGCAAGTCGTCGTCTTTCTCGATAAAAGTTGCGATCCTCTCGATCACATCTTCTCGCCAGAAAGACAGATACTATTCGTCAGCTAAACTTCGCTCTACCCCGAACGCGAGTCGGTCAAGGTTTTTCCCCCCCTTACCTTGAACCGAAGTCGACCCTACCAGATCGACGGCAGTTGCGGCTTCTCCATTTTGTAGCACATGTGCATGGGCATCTGTTCTAACATATGAACGTATTCCCGATCAGCATGGTCCTCACTGCTTCGTAGAAACTCAACCCGCCTCACGACCCATCAAGTGCTCAAAAGTCATCTTAGAAAGCAAACAAGCCCGACTCACAATCCGGGCAAGAGCATTTGCCCTTTTCTCAACCTATACACCTTGATTCCACTATCCTTCCCTACCATCTGTTCATCCCCATACACCTGTCTGACATGAGCCAAATCGCCCGTATCGACGATCTTGCCATTCCTCACGACGACGCAACCTCTCTTGGATTCGTTCGCGTCAAAGGTATAGACCTGTGACGAGTTGCGGTAAGAACAAATGGCGTATGTTTTAGGGAGGTGTTGGATCGGTGAGGACCTGCGTTGGAAGAGAATGATCCAACCTAGGATGAGGGGGGCGAAAAGGAGCGCGAGACGAGGTCGGGACATGGTCATTCCCCGCGGTACACGGCGCTCTTTGGCGGAAGCCGACCCCGAGGATGCTAATGCGGGAGGATTTGAAGACGGGGAAGAAGAGATTACGGGTTTGCGTTGACGTAGGGTCATGGTGCCGTCGCTTGTTCCTCTGCGCAAAGAGCCGCTCGATCAAGGGCGGGCGAGGGGGATTCGGTCGCGGAGCTCGTATCCGATCCAACGTGAACTCGACCGAAGTCGACGTACGGCCAGGAAGAGAACAATACGTCCGTCCGTGGCGAGCAAAGAGTAGGAGGTGTGGAGCGCAGGGCGTGACCAGCCGTTATGCGACGTCACCTTCAGAAGCGAGCCCTGCGCAATGTTGGGCGCCGTCGCGCCAACTCCCGCCGTTACCGAGGAGGATCGATGTTTGCCGAGGCTCATCGAAGTTGAAGCACAGAGCTCAAAGCTGACACACAATCGTTTTTGAGCTCAGACTCCTGGAAAACCAAGGCTAACTTGAAAAGTAAGGCGTACTTTCAGTTCATGTTCGTTCCTCGCTTCCTGTAGGCCGATAAGTCTTAGGTCGGTGTTCAGAGGTCGGTATTCTGAGCTGACGCGACGATGCATGCCATCGTCTTCTTGATCGTAGGTGCATGAGCATGGCATTTCCTCTGGACGATACCCAAATGCCTTGCCGAACCCCTGCCATCCCATCGCCTAACTCCGACACGCTTCCGGGATCTCCGCACAGCTCAACCCTCTTGTCCGGGAGTCCAGAGACCGGGGCACCATTTGTCGGCTCCTATCTCGTGTCCTCACGGTGGCGATGCAGTATCCGGTCCGAGGCTCGGCGAGTCGGACCGGAACTAGAAACAGCAAGGATCGCTCGATTGACCGGCCGCTCGATTGTTGGAGTCACTGTCGTAGAGGGCCGCACAGCGCTCATCAGGGGTTCAGTGCATCCTTCTGCCTGCGCCTTCTGACGAACCACGAGACCCTAATGAAACGAAGGAACAATTATCACACTCATTTCAATAGTTTCAAATGAAAGCCGCCCATTTCGAACTTGGTGAGTCTTCGAGGATGAGTGTGCACATCCCGCTCAGTTGAACTCAATCTCAATCTCATGCACCCCGATTTCCTTCTCAACTATATACTCTATTACGGCCATTTATATTATCTAAAGCTACACGGAAACAAACTCAACAACGAGCACAACAAATCGAGCAACAACTCCATCACATTAATTAGCTCCTCCTCAAGTGTCCACCCTTCTACCCGCAGTCTACGATTCATACTTTGGTGGCTCGGGCGTCGCGACCCGATTCGGCGTCGCATTCCCCTGTCCCGTCGTAGTCAAACCATTCGTATGCCCTTCCGTCGTCGTCGGTGCAGTATACCCTGGCAAACCCATACCCATCCCACTTCTCTCGACGCCACCTTCGTTCCTCGTGAATGCTCCTACGGGGATCGCGGGGCCTGCGTACATCGGATGATCGGCGGGTACGGCGCAGGATGCGTTGAAGGGGCTGGTCGAGTTCGCTGCAGCAGAGCCGACGGGTAGTCCGGAGGTGTAGGAAAAAGTTGCTGGGGTCGCTGAGGAGGATGAAGTTCAAGATCGGGGAGGGTCAGCTTTCCCATACCTCGATCGATCGAGCTGACGACGGTTCTCTCCCAGCCGACCACGTTCCCAGATTATCAGAACTCACTCGTCTCGCAATACGTGGGCAATCCCGATTCGAGTTCCCCATTATCCGGTCGATACGTCGGAATCCCCCCCGAACGTCGCCCCGATCCGGTCGTAGTGGCGCCGCCGCCGGTGCTTGGTGCTCGGGGAAGACTGTACCGAGCGTCCGGGCCGTAGAGTCGTCGTCGACGTCGCATGAAGAAGACGCGCTGTGGAGATGGGGCAATGAAATTTGGTCAGTGAGGGATCTTTGGAGGCGTTGATGTGTGGACCGCCGAGAATGGGTGGGGCGGCATCCGCATCGCCGATGACGAATAGCCTCGCTCTTTCTATAGGGCCCACGGCCAGTGCTACTTACGGAACCGACCGTACTGAGCAACAGCGTGACGATGACCAAAGCGACAACGTAGTACCATCTATTCACGAGTTGAACCAGACCCAAAAGTCAGCGACCATACAACTCAGCCTTCTGTAGTGGCCCGCATCGTTGAAATTCAGCGGAACCCGATGTGCCCACGTGAAAGCGGCGTCATGCGCTCATCGCCTGCCGCTCGGCTTCCTACGGGGGAGGAGGGAGGTAGAACTCACATTGTCGGACCAAGTCCGGACGACCCACTATCGTTGCTGTTGTTGTTGTTGTTACTGTTGTTCGCGCTCGTAGTAGTAGAAGGAAGGAACCCCGAGCTGAAAGGTGATGTCGTTCGTGGTATGGAGGTCAATACAGCGGACGACATGGCTGTGACTTGAGGTCTTGAGAGCAGGGTTCGGGATGACGAGGGAGGAGAGGGACGAAAGAGCATCCCCGCGCGCGCGCCTTTCAAGCACCTCTCGCGTTGCTTTTAATTTCGACTTTCCAAACTGACAATTCAATCATCAGAGTCGAGGCGCCCAAGTCGAGTCCAAAAGGTCGGGCGATGCGGGCGATGCCCCTCCGCTTCCCCTTGTAAAATGGGAGTAGCTTCTTCGGACTCCACAGCTCCGGCTTTCGTTACCCACGCCCGACGGAGTCCGAACGCACAGCCGTCGTCTGAGTCAGCGCTGTACAGCATTGTCCATTGACCTCTTTTGACGATCCAACTCGAACAAGAAAGTGTGAATTTGATGAATTCATTTCGACCACGCGTGGCGTGATATCATGATTCGAGTGGCGGATCCGGTCGTACGACTCGGAGATTGAAATGCCTCAGCGAATGCGGTGCCAAAGCTGGTCCGGATCCGACCGGCGTGCTCCGGAGGCGGAAGACGTTCGGCGGAATACCCGATGGCTTTCGGTAGCAAACGATGAATGAAGATGCTGTGATCAACATGGTCGAGAAATTTCGAGAAAGTTTCCTTGAAACCTATGTTCCCCAGTTTTGGAAGTAATGTTCGCGCACAGCAAAAAGTGGAAGCGCCGACATTTAGTTCACGAATAGAATCATCCCTCTGACAGACCCGACAATCCATGCATGTTAAGAGCGGGATGCACACGGGCTGACAAATGCAGCTAATGCATAGAGTGATATTACAACAGTACTAACTTGGGACCTGCATACGAAACAACCTCGAGCACCCCATGTTCCGTCTCACGCTCTCCCACATGAACCCGGACCCACACTGTCCAAGCTCTCCCACTTGTACTCCTCTCAAAGCCCATCAACTTTCTCCTTCAACCTGCTCAAAGCAGTCTCCATTGGATCTCCTTCTTTCCCGACCCCGACCCCGACTGCTCGTGCAGGATTCAGATTCCCCGCTTCTTTCCTCATCGTGGTTTCGCTATCGACGATGACGGCTCGTTCGAGCTTTGTCGATAGTGAAGCGAGCGCTTGGTTCATTTCTTGGCACTTCCTAGATACAATATAGTCAATTCGACATATTCAAGTCAGTAGTCTGAGACGTATGATGACCTCCGAGCTCTGGGACACCGAGACAGTCCAAATCTTCCTTGCTCCTCCCATCCCTTTCCCCCCCCCCGAAGGGACTCTGATCCTTGCTCAGAATGTAAAACTCACTGCTGTATCGCATTCGTCCTCGCCTTCCTCTGCTCTATCTGTGTCCTCATCATCGCCTTCAAACTCTCCTTTGCCTGCGCGTATCACCAAGAAAAAACCCAGATCAGCGCCCCCTTTTCCCCACCCTCTCTTCACCCGTCTCACATGCACATACCTGCACGGGCCTCAACTCGTTAATCAAATGATGCAAATTGATCCCAATCAACCTAATCCTCTCTACGAATCTCTCCGGATCGGAAGGCAGTCCCTTTGCGTCCTCTTTGATCGACCGAGGTGGGGCGAGTAAAGCGGTGACGAGTTGATGATACGTCACGAGCAGGGCTTGGAGAAGGGTTTGCAGCGACTGTCTGCGATCTGTTGAAGCTGGGGTTGAGGGAATCAGGCCCACGAACGAACACTCGAGATGATGGTATGTGTTCCTGAGGTTTTGTGCAAGTTCGCTACAACTGACTGACCTGTTTGGTTGGGATCCCACAATTCCTCGACGCCCATCTCCCGCAAGCTGGGTAGCTGATCATTCACTGGCCATACCTCACCGAAAACGGTATAACTACCCCTCTCCAACACCCAATCCAATTGTGGAGGTTCGAGATCCATTCTTGTAAATCGGTCAGTGTTGTTCAGACTCGTTGAGACCTTGGCTTCGTCCGTAGGGTTGTGTAAGCTATCAGGATGATCTAAAGGGAGAGATAGGTTGTGGGAGGTGTAGCGCTTGTAGTAATGTGAAGGGGAGGGGAAGAAGGAAGATTCCAGAGTGTTGGAGTCGTTGTTGTCGTTGAGGGTAGGATACATGTCCTCGTCTTGGTTGTGGTCCTGGTTTGGTTCGGAGACGGGCGGTCGCGGCGGTTCGTCTGAGTCGTCGACGGGGGCGGGTGGGTACCCATTCTGCAGTGCTGCTGCTGGTGGAGAGGCTGTCATCCCTTGTAGTCAATCCCAAGGCTCTTGCAGTGCGGTAAGGCGAGAATGAACACGGTCGAGGTTCGGCGAGATGGGAAAGCGGAGGAAGCTGAAGCGCGTACGACCCCCCACCTCCTCTGTCCTCGGCCGAGCTCTTCAAAAAAATACGATGCCATTCGAACCCGGAAATAATTTGGCACATACGGAATCACAACACCTCACGCACTTCGCAAATCGAAGCTCTTTCATACGTATTCAGTCAAAACATCAAAGAACTACCAAACAATCCTCCTACCCCCATCAACCCAACCTGAGAACCACACTGCCAACAAAAAAAATAACGCGACAACCACCCCTCCGGTACAACCTCATTTCCCAGCACCCCCACGCCGAAACGTCTTTGCACGTTCTTCCGTTCAAGGTTGATACGCACCCCCCTGAGGAGCCTGTGCCTGTACGTCCCCCCAGCGAACCGCAACAAACCATCAGCAATCTTTCCCTCTATCCACCACGAAAGCCGAAATCAAGCAGACAAAGAGTAATCTCAACTCACCAACAATGCCAACAAACTATTCAAATCACCCTGACCCGGCGCCTGACCCGACATCGCATCAGGTCCAGATCCGATCTTCCCACCTGCTCCCGAATTCGTATTCGAGTTCGAGTTCGTCTGCGCGTTACCATTCGATTTGAGTAGAGCGGCCAAGGCAGGAGGGAGGGAAGAGCTACCGTTCGGCTGTGCGTGCGCCGACGAACTCGTCGTAGGCTGTTGTTGGGAAGGAGGGTAGGAAACCCTCCCTGCTTGACCCTGGCTTTGACCTTGAGGTGGTGGAGGGGACGAATGATGAACCCCCGCCGTGGCCAAAGGACCGTTCCCATATTGCCCTGTCGAGGCCGATGTGGGACCTCCTTGAGGTGGTGGCGCGATCGAACCAGGGCCGTACTGATTCCCATACACTGGGTAGGCTGGTGTTGGACCAGCGGTATAAGGATTCGGATTTATCGTCGATCCCGGAGGTGGGGGGAGATAAAACCCTGCTGGTGGGGGAAGAGCACCCTGAGCTGACAGTGCTGGTGCAACTGCCCCACCCGTAGCAGCGGCAGCGGCATTGTTCGCAGCGGTGAGAGTGGCCAACAAAGCTTGCATCTTCCTCGCCTGTTCCAATTGATCCGGTAGAGCCGTCGTCGCCGAAGCTGAAGGAGCACCACTTCCATAACCTTGATGATGACCCGTCCCTCCAGAAGGGTACGACCCTTCCGAGCCGTAATTCCTTCGAGCAGGGGGTGAGTATTCCCGAGAGCTTTTTCGATGATCCCTCTGTGGTCTACCATCGCGGGTGTAAGGATCCTGATCTGAGCGATCGGTTCGGGAGCGGGATGGGGGTAGGTTCGGGCGCGGCGTGTGGAGTTCGGTAGAGGGGGCGGGATGCCTGTGTTCAAGAGGGGGAAGCCGTTCAGTGGGAGGATGTGGAGAGGGCAAGGGTTTTTGGAGAGGACTGACATGGTCGTGAGATCCCATTCGTAACGGAGCTCGATCGTGCCTCCTGCCATGGGTTGACCATTCATTTCGTGGTACGCACGTTCCATAGCCTGCGGTAGATTGAAGTCGAATCAGTGCCATTTCGATGGCCAGTGATTTTCCCCTGAGACTGACCCGCGAATCAAAGAACTCAATCAAAGTCGAACCCTGTCTTCCCCCTCCTCTAGCAGCTGAAGCCACAACATGTTTGATCTCGCCAAACACTCCAAACCTTGCGTGGATCTCTCTTTCATCCACAGGTCCCCTAGCACCAACGACGTGAAGGGATAAAGAGCCTTGGTTCTTGTCCGAATCGCAGGTTTTCTCTAGGTCGGAATCTTTGAGGAGGCTATAGTGTACATCGATCGGACGGCCGGAGAGACGCTTTTCGTGCAATTTGTCTTTGGCCATCATCGCTGCTCGGAGGTCGAACTGTCTCGAAAGGGAGCCAGAGTCAGAACTGAGGAAAGAAGCAAGTCCTCTTCGTCGTCAAAGCCAACTCACATAAGTCAAAAACACCATCCCCCTCTTGTCCAACATATCAAATAGCGTCTTGATATGTCCAATAGGCTCGAACAAGTCCCGAATGTCTTGTACGTCCGTACCGAACTTGACGTTACGGATGAAGAGGGTTCGACAGGGGCGTTCGCGGGACACGCGTTCGTCAATGACGGAATCAAAGTCGGGGCGACGGACGAAGCGATCTGGTCATGAGGGATTATCGAGAGAGAATGGTTCAAGGGCTTAGAGTAAGCTTTCGGTGTTTTCCGGAGATTAAAGGGTGGCTCTGGCCGGTGTAGAAATGATGCTCGTTCGCTGCTTTCGGCTTTCTCTTTGCGCTTTCTTTGGAGGTTCGCCCGATCGATCCGACCCTTATCCCTTTCGTTCCTTGAAGACACCAAGCCACCCAGTTATTGTTGAGGCTTAGAGTGATCGTGTCCCCTTCGCTTATCGATGAATGTTGAGAAAGCCGAGCTCGAAGTTGGGGATGAAATCACCGTCGTTCCATACGTCGACGCGATTACGCAGTCTGAAGCTCGAAAGCGGGTACTCACTCGGATCATCGTAATCCCTCCTCGACGGTGGCCCACCACTGCCACCATATCCTCCACCCCCCCACCCCTGCCCCTCCCACCCCGTCCCATCGATCCCGCTCTCCCTCGATCACCGCGATACGACCCCCCTCCGTCTCCCCTTGACGAGCCCGAACCACCTTCGTAATACGCGCCGTCATCTTCATATCCCGACCTCGGACCACTTGCACTGATCGAATTCGATAACCTCCTCGGAGGCGATGAAGAAGGACCCCACCCTCTCTCACTCGATTCGATCGCACTCTTCCCAGCAGTTCGTGAGGGTGAATAAGCCGCCTGATGAGCCTGTGGTTGATGATGCCCATACCCATGCTGCGTCCTCGTCGGTCCAGTCTGGGGTATCATCGAAGCCACGCCCGAAGAAGGGTCGTTGTAACCCTGTCCTGGCGCACTAGCAGGGTGGGGATATCCTCCTCCTCCTCCTGCTCCTGCTCCACCGTAGTTGTTGCCGCCGCCGTATCCCGGGTTGCCACCGGGGTGTTGTTGCTGTGGTGGTGGGTAGGAGGATGAACCTCCCCCTTGAGCTCCGGCTGGTGTAGAGGCATAGGGATCATAGCGATAGGCCATGGTGGCGGGCGCTCGTGTAGTAGGCACGGGTGTGAACGAAGTGACGAGGGCGAAAACACGCCGATTTCAAAAATCGACCCTGACGACGACGACTGAGCCGCTTGGAAAAGGGGGGGGGGGGGCGGCTTACACACCTGCCTTACCCCCCCCCGCCCCCCAGTCCCCCCAGCCCCCAGCCGACTCTGACCGGCTCCTCCTACCGGCGAAAGTGCCTCCGGGCGGGGCGGCGTGAAAGTGTTTCCTGGCCTTGGGTCTGAAGAAATTCATACCTTTGTCGAGCTAGGCCGAGATCAACGTCGAAACCGAGAGAGAGGATTGCGTTCGAGGCAAGGTAAGGAATGGTGCTAAACCTCGTTTGTTTTGCAACCCCTTTGAGCCATTTCTAATGTGGCTCGGGAGTCGGGATTCGGGATCGTCCGCACGGGGAACACGCCCGATCGACGGACGGCGCCGTGAGAGGCCGTGAGTTGGTCACTGCGCTGATAGTCTGCTCCGGTCTGCTCAGACAGGCTCAGACTGGTGACGCCGGTGACGAGCCTCCACCAACGCGCGTCTCTCCTTGGCTGGCTTGCCTCCTCAACCCCGCCGTACGCACACTCCTACAACTCCGCGTAGGACCACAAGCACCATTTCAAGCACGAGGTCAAGCAAAACCACATCACATTTCGACAGTGCCCGCTCGTCAAGCGCTCTAGGCGCTACTCAGAACCCAGCAACGGTATCTCGCCACCCACCGACCGACCGACCGACCGATCGCTCAATACACATCCTTGACCAGATCGACCAGATCACCCACCACCACCCACACACTTCCCCCCCAGCCAGACGCAGCATGTCCTCCACAACTCCTACTTCCAACCCCTCCCCGGCGCCGGTGACGTCCTCGCGCAAGCTCGTGCTGTTGGGTGAATCGGCCGTCGGCAAGTCCTCGCTCGTGCTTCAATTCGTCAAGCAACAATTCGACGATTATCGTGAATCGACGATCGGCGCCGCCTTCTTGACCCAGACCGTCGCCGTTCAGAATGGCTTTATCAAATTCGAGGTCGGTCAGATCACAACAGTAGCAGTCGGACGTTGGAGGGGGAAGGGTAGCACAGCCCCGCCCCCTCTCGTCTCGGCGTGATCGATAAGCCTCATTGGAAGCTGATCTGTTTGGGTTACCCCGGGGTAGATTTGGGATACGGCAGGTCAAGAGAGGTACAAGTCGCTCGCGCCGATGTACTACCGCAACGCCCACGCCGCCGTCGTCGTATACGACATCACCTCCGCCGTGAGTTCGAGTCAGCCAAGAGATGGCCCCCTCTCACTTCTTCCCCCCCCCCCTTACCAAACCCGTACTAATCCTACATCCCTCCCACCCAGCCCTCTCTCCAAAAAGCCAAGAACTGGATCGCCGAACTACAACGCCAAGCCGACCCAGGTATCACCGTCTGCTTAGCAGGCAACAAACTCGACCTTGCCGAAACGCAACGACAAGTCGCTTACGAGGACGCGGCCAAGTTCGCCCAGGAGGAGAACTTGTTGTTCTTTGAGACGAGCGCAAAGACTGCGGAGGGGGTCGTGGATATGTTTCAGAAGATTGGTAGGTCGGATCGGATAGGTGCAGAGGCCGTATGGCGTGAAGCGTGGACTAAAGCAGTTGAACATGGTCTCCCTGATCACAGCGGACAAGTTGCCTCTGGACCTCCCGAGCGCCAAGGCTCGGACGGGTGGTGCGACAGCAGGTGGCGCACGACATGGTGTCAACCTCAACAATCAAGCGGGCAACACATCGCAGGGACCTTGCGCTTGCTAGAAGAACGAGGTCGAGACGGAAGACTCGGAAATTGAGCTCGTTCGTCGGGGGAACGCACGTAGTTTTGATCATAGGGTCTGGAAATGTGTTTGTATTTGTTCATGCGATCGATCTCTTCTTTTGCGACCCCTCTCTTTTAACAGTTGTATACTTGCCTCTCTCTCTCCTACTAGTTCCCCTCAGCTATATCTGTGATACTTTGCTTTGCGCGCTATGACGGCGGTTTCTTTTCGTTCCCGAATTGCTAATTACACATCCTCAAATGACATTCTGGGCTGTTACGATAGTGTGAAGTTGCTCATCTGAATCCTCTCTATGGACTTGAACTCCCGAGGTGCGGCCGAATCATCCTGTGATTTTGTTGGGAAAAAGCTCGACGACCGACTCGTTCCGAGTCGGACTCCTCTACGAAAGGGGCAGGTTCAGGTTGTTCTTTCTTGACCACACATTACTCAGCACCCAAAATGCAGGGGAGACAATGAGCAGTCGAGCCCCCTCCAAAGGATGGGGTTAATTCCCAACACACTGTGCGCACCACACTCTGACAAATTGCAGTGGACGCCGCGATCGTCCGATCACCTGAACGATCGGGGACGCCGGACGGTAGCCGCCGGCCTCGACTCGGCTCGGAATCGGGTAGAATTGATCTATCACTTTCGAATTTTGACTCGAATCTCAAATTAAGGCGCGATGTTGTGGCGTTGCGGACTTGTTGGACTCTTCTTAGGTTGTTACTGCAGCTGACATCAAGCCTACAGACTGTCTCTGACCGGAAGTGACGCGCGCCGGATCCTCGCCGGCGCCCGATCGGTCGGCCATACGAGATTGAGGGGCTCTGTTGCACGCGTGCAGTGGAGTCCGATGCGGTTCTTTGCAGTAGGCTAAATATTCAGGGGAAAGTACTCACTGAGCACTAATTTTTTTTTCTCCTTTGCGTGTGCTCAAATTAGAGATCGATCTCAAACCTAGCTAGGGATCGTAAGGCGAGGAAGCGGCGTTCTTCGTAAATGAAGAGAGACGCCTCATGTATCACTTTCATCTTATTATCGGAGTCAGGGCAAGGCCTCGGATTTCGCGACGGGACCGGGAGCTGTATATCGCCGCGTGCACTCGGACCGACCAAACGCCGATGTCTGCCAGGTCGCGAGCTTCGGAGATACGTACTAGTACGACTAGGTAGGCGCCTCTCGATGATTCAAATGTGCTGTGTCCCAAGAACTGGGCCGAGCCTTCGAGAGGAACCAATTTTATACAGCGTAGGTCATGCTCTCTTCTTCTTTTCTTTTCGCGGTAATCGGTATCTGCAGTGATCGGCTGCATTAGCGTACGTTGGCTCATCATGTGCTCGTTCCGATCGCGTGCGCAGTTCCGTCTGCGATCCTAAGCAATGCCCCACCGTCGCGCACTCTAGCAGCATCTGCACTTCGGGCAAGTGCGATTTCACCTGAAACGCGGGCTACAACAAGCACAAGGGTTGCTGTGTCGCGACGCCGTGAGTGATTGTTGCCATCATCTTGAGGAGCTAAAAGACACTGCGCCACGACTGACCTACGATCTGCTTCGCGATCCCTGATGCAGTCCCTCGTGTGTTGTCAGCAAATGCCCGACCCACCCCCATGGAGTGAGCAGCTGCACTACTTCTAGAACCTGCGCCATCACCTGCAACACCGGATACATTAAGCAGGGTGATACTTGTGTGGCGACGCCGTGAGTGGATCGTGCCGCCTGAACAGAGGAAGCCGGGCTGCGCATGGACTGATTTGTGATCTGCCTCTCTACGCCCCACTGACAGTCCTACGTGCGTCGTCAGCAAGTGCCCGATCGATCCCCATGGAGTGAGCAGCTGTATTTCTTCTGGAACGTGCGCCATCGCCTGCAACACCGAATACACCAAGCAGGACGGCATCTGTGTGTTGACGCCGTGAGTGCCCCCGCCTAGACAACGGAGATCGGATTGCGCATGTACTGACCAGCAATCTCTATCGTGACACCCCATCGACAGTCCTACGTGCGTTGTCAGCAACTGCCCGACGGACCCTAACGGCGTTCGCAGCTGCACTTCTTCCGGAACGTGCGCCATCACCTGCAACATGGGCTACACCGAGCAGGATGGCGTCTGTGTCTTGACACCGTGAGTAAAGTCGATCTCCGATTATCACGACCAAGAAAGCTCGGGATGTACAAGAGCTGTCGCGGTCATGACACGGGGATCTGGGAGAGTAGTGATCAAGTTCTGCAGTGCTTGGGACCGCGAGTGGCAGAGCTCGAATGCTACTTGACTGCTTGACAACCTTTTCCTGTTACGAGGAACAATTAATCAGCCAGCTTCCAAGGAGTCGCATGTGACTTCCCTTATGACTCGTGATCGAGCGGCCGCAAGCTTCCGAAAAGCCCCTATCTGATCCCAGGCTCACCCCACGGCTGCTTTTTCACACCACCATCTCAGGTGGGAATTGTTCTGGTCTATAGGTGATGAAAAGCGATGCCTCCCTGTCCGGGCAACTTTCAAACCTCCTTGCTCACGAGTCATGGTGACGTTCAGCTCAGTTGAGTAGAAGTCAACCAACTTAATCAATTGTTCAACTTGTAACTGATCTTACGTTTGCCTTGCGGCAGGGACAGACGCTACCAAGTTGGGAAATGGGAATTCCCGGAACTGAGTGTTACGAAGAACAAAAGAAGATTTGGCTGAACTGAGAGTCGAACTCAGGTCCACTCCATTAATCAGAGTTGCTCTGACCTCTGAGCTACTCAACCAGCGGGAATAGGTCAAAGCAGCGGCGCACCCGAGTCAAGCCGGCGGCAGTTCTCCCTCCCATTGGCCGAGCACATCCGCCGCCGGCGGATGTGCTCGGCGACAACAGCGAGTACGATCGACGCGGGCTCCCGCAGCGACTGGCAATCGCGGCCTGGTACCGGTTCACTGTCGATCGACACAAGAACACAGCCTTGGCGGCGGCGGTGGCGGCGGGACGACTCAACGTGCCTCCCCGGATCGGCACCAGCGCACCGCTCGAGGCGATCATTCCCAAGCCCGTGGCCCGCTTCGCAATGGAGCAGCGCCTTCCGGACCCGGTGCTTCCACAACAGGCGAGCCAGTATACGCTGCTGAACATGGCTCGACCCTACAAAATCCGTCGCATCCGCCGGGTCCTGAACGCGAAGGCTTTCACCAACACGCTCGGGCTCAAGGGACCACCGCAGCCAGACGATCTCAGGAGCTTCTGGAAGGCGGTCAACTCGAAGGCACTGACAGCGAGGGAGAGGGAAGTTTGGTTCAAGCTGATTCTCCGCTTCACCCCGACGCGCAAGCTCCAGCACGAGCAAAAGCATGACACTTCTCCCGCGTGCCTCGTGTGCGAAGCGCCGGTGGACGACACCGATCACTACTTCTTCGGCTGCGTCGACTCGCGGAACGTCTGGACCGCGGCAAGGGGCGTGCTCTGCGACGCGCTCGGATGCGACACGATCGAGGACGCCGAGTACACGACCCTACAACGACTCTTTGGCCTCCCCAAGCTCAAGGCCAAGCTCAGCGAACAGGAAGGCGCAGGCAGGACGATCGAGATCTTCACGGGGATGGTCTTGGAGATGATCAGCAGTGGGAGATGGAGGATGCAGAAGCACGGGACGAGGATGGAAAGCCTGGAGCGGAGGAGGGTGGTACTGGAGGAGAGGATGAAGTTGAGGGCGGGGGGAGCAAGGGGCGGGCGAGGGCAGTAGAGGCTGGGTTCGATTTCCCCCCACCCCATCCCACACTCACACACCCCACATCACACATCCTCTTACAAAAACTGTATACTAAATATATTTTCTTCATCTTTCTTTCTTTTATTACAGGTCTGCCTCCGTTGCTCATGGACCGGCTCGCGATTTGGGATTGACTCGACGGTGGCTCGCGCTCTTTGGCTTCGGGGTTCTGAGTCAAGGGAGGGATCAGCAGACACAGGCAGAAAGTCGGCTTTGAGGGGCCAGGGACTGCTGAGGTGGAGGTTTTGAGGGGCCTCCACCGCGTCTTGTTGTGACCGAGCATAGACTTGGGGACTTCGCGGGTCAGGGTAGCTGCGCAGTCGCTCTCCTGTCTTTGTCTCGACCGAGTTGGGAAGTGGGTGCGGGGTGGGCCTCTTGTCGTTAGTACGCCAGTTCTTTTTCATTTTCTCTCTCATTCGTCTCCTGGGGGGGAGCAACCGCTTGGCTGGGGCACTTGAATCCGAAGTATCGGATTGGTGGACTTGGCCCGTTTCTCGCATCTTGCGGGCGGTTTGTGTTATCATCGTCGACTTCCATCTAGTTTTTCCGTAGGCCAATCAGGGGGAACAGGAATTGGGGGCAATATGATGAACGGTTTCTACAAAAAAAAAAAAGGGAGCCGCGGCGGGCGGACTGGTGCGCGGCCACATTGACTTCTACTAGTTGTACTTCACGTGAGCCTTTTGCCTATTCTCGGAGTGAAAATCTTCATCCCGACCTTCTCCGATTTCCAATTAATCCTTGTCGATTCTTCATCGAGCGATTCAAATGCCTAGGCACCCAGGTAAATATCGCAGAACCCGGAGAGCTTGTCGTTTAAACACGAGTCTTCAATCTTCCATCGGCCAATTGGCAGAAACTCGGTACATAATCGACGTCGATCCAAAGCCGCGGGGGCGGCATCGGTCCCGCGGGCCGCAGAGCGGGTGGGCGGGCGAGTTTTCCTTTCGGGGATCTGGGATCTCGTCTGATCTTGGATCTCGGGAGTCGGAACTCATGTCGCGGGCCTCATCGGCTGAACTCGGATTGATTCTCGATTTTGGAGGAATGCAGCGCACGGTAAATCGACCATGAGCCTTGATTTACCTAGGAAGGTCGCTTCGACGGCCCGTGATGCGGTGGAGTGTCCGTTGGAACACCGGTGTCAAGGCCGAGCGGACTCGGTCCGCGAACGAGATTATCATCGATGCAATTCAAATGTCGGCCAAAAACCCTCCTCCTGGTCTTGATGAGATCATTGTCCCAAATTTTGAAGGCTTGTGCTTTCACTGCCACGCGGTCACGGTCTCACTGCGGCGCAAGGATCCTCCTTCGAGTCGGGTCGATTGAATTTAACCGAGCTCTTATCCCCCCCGCAAGGCCTGAGCTTGGCAAGTTGGCACCGTTTATGATCGATGCAGTCAGGAATCTTTTCCCCAACACACAGACCCAGTCAAATTGATATTTTTGAAACGGGTCGTCCAAAGATCTCTCGCTCAGGAAAGGTCTGTCCTCCCCCCATCGGTGCTTTTGGCTCGTCCGGAGGGCACGTGGACCGAGGTCCTCCGGTTTCCTCGGAGTGGGGATCGATCTACCGACCCGCGCCTTCTCGCTAGATCTCCGGAGATGAGGGTCCCATTGAGTGGTCTGAACACACCGGCGCCGAGCTCTCGACTTAATCCCTGTGTTCGGTCGAGCCTTTCAGATCTTGAATAATCGATTGCAACCCTTTGCTCATTAGCATGAGCGGTGCGACTGCGAGGTGCGGTTCACGTTTTCGGTGAACTCGGTCAAGCCCTAAGCTGAATTGAGGCTCTCCGTGGAGATCGGGTCGTTCGACTTCCTTGAGTGCCATGTGGCATGGTCCTCCCGGATATTAAGTTGACATATTTTCATTAGGAGTGCAATCAATCTGGCCCGTATATACCTCCTCTACTGCGTCTGACGATCCAATCAAGCAAGCCTTCTACGCCGAGCGTGAGTTTTGGCACGATCCTTTCGGGATAGATGCCAGGGAGTTTGATTCGACCCACGCCTCATGTCAGCCGGCTGACGTGCTTGCGTTGACACCAAAGGTTCCTTTTGCGAAAGGCGTAGCCCGACAGTGTCCGTCTCGGTTGATCCATCGATGCAGCGCCGGGTGTCGAGTGGAGCACGAGCGGACGTCGGGTACGCCGTCCTGAAGTTCGACGTGTTTCGCGGCTTCCTTGCGTTTTCCTCGGTACGCATGTAAGTTGGGCTCTATGAACGACGAACCGCAGTGGGTCGGGATGCTGTATTGTGAAAGTGATCCTCAACGCGACCGGGTTCGGAAGGTGGCGCAAACTGCACCTCGCGGGACCGGGGCGTCCGGGGCGTGCTCTTGTCCTTGTAACTGTGCTCACGGCAGGGACGAACACTTTCACTCAGCTCACGAAGTAATACACCTATACCAAGTCCCAAGACTCACCAGCAGCGTCCCCTGCCCAACTCCCCGAGCGAACACCTCTCATTCCTTATTCCTCTTCCCCCTCCTCACCATCGTCCTCTTGCCCTTCCCCATCCCCCTTCTTCTTCGTCCCCTCGACCTTCTCAAAAGGCTTCATCACCTCCTTCCATTCGCTCAACTTCTCGTTCAGCTCGCCCCTCGCTTCTCCCAAGGCTTTTTCCAATGAGCTCAACCATTCGTTCCGGGAAGAGGTCGTGTTGAGGGGGAAGCTGAGCGTCCCTGAGGAGGGCGCTGTGGTGGGTGGTGGGGAGGGTCGGGATAGAGCTTCGGGTACAGTGATGGAGTAGGTGATTTCAAGGGATTGCGATGTAGGTTGAGACTGCGACATGTTCAGTGACAGTGGGTGACGAGACGAGGAAGGCTGGTGAAAAGAGAGCCCTAACCACGTCGAGCCGGCCTAACCGCGAAGTTCACAAGTCGCCGATCTGCCAAGTTCAAGTTGCCGAAAAAACCTGTAGATAGCAACCCACAAACCGCAATCCCTCGCATGTCACACGCCGATCTTTCCTAGAGAGGATGCACACACTTCAAAAGAGTCGGCGATAGTAATGCACTTCGCCTGCCAGACTCAGTCACGGGCAGGTTTTCACGATTGGTAGGAACTGCTCTAGGTGAATTGCGTGCTATGTACAGATCTAAACTCGGAATTATGTAGTATGAAATACAAGAAGAGGGAAGGAGAACATGAAACAACAGCTTCTAACAGTAAGTAGAGCCAGTCTCAAGCGTTCTCTAGACCACCGAGGGCAAGTCCCTCGCATCCTCCAAACCACGCGGGCCTTCGACTTCGCCCGTCAGACCGAGTCGTCGCCATTCGTTCTCGATCTCTGCGTCGGTCAATTTGGGCATCTCAGCCGCGACCTTGACGTAGGATTGCTTCTCGACGTAGGCGCGCGCAAAGATGCAGTCGATTTCTTCGAGGGTGCGACCGGCGGTTTCGGGGCTGTGAGTGGAAGGGTGGGTTAATGACTGGATCAAGGGGGTGGAATGTGGGATGGGAGATCGGACTGACTAGAATACCCAGATGAACGGGATGAAGAGCACGTTGAGCACACCGAAGAAAAGGAAAGTGCCCCAGTTCTGATTGAGATCGAAGGAAAATTCAAGGATCAGTGCTCCACTCATGCAGAACCTTGCTCCACCGGAAGGCACTCACGATCGCAGTCAACATCGGCGGAGTCCACATGACGACGGCAAAGTTGAAGAGCCAATTGCAGATCGTCGACAAGGCGTTGGCGTTGGTCCTCGTCGCCAAGGGATTGACCTCGGCGGGGTAGATCCACGGGAGTTGGAGCCAGGTGAAACCGAAGAAGGCGAGGTAGAGGAAGATACCGAACACACTGCCCTTGATAAGATTGTCGTTACCGGGGATGAGGAAACCCATGATGATGAACATGGAAAAGGCTTGACCGGCCGACCCAACGAGGAAGAGGATGCGACGGCCGACGCGCTCGATCGTGTAGAAGGCGATACCGGATGAAAGGGCGTAGACCGTTACGTTGACACCACCGAGGATGAGCGACAACTCGCGCGAGAGATGCAAGTTTTGCTGGAAGATGACGGGTGCGAAGTACTGTAATGTGGTGCACGAATGATACGTCAGTAACCAAACATTACAGCAATCGAAGAGTTCGCGCAGTCAGCGTACGATGACAGCATTGCAACCTCCAATCTGTTGCATGATTTGCGACGAAGCACCAAGCAAAGCACGGCGAAGGTGTTGGGTCGGGCCGTTGTTGAGCACGTCCTTCTTCTTGGGCTGAACAGAGCCTTCGAGCGAGTCGATGATGACCTTGGTCTGCGAGACGAAGAGCTCCGATTCGATGGGGGCCGGTTCGAGCGCAGCGATAACCCTTTGACCCTCCTCTTGTTGACCATTCGCGAGCAACCAACGAGGAGATTCAGGAAGGAATGCGACAGAAACGACGAGGCCAACGGCAAAGACCATCTGCAGGCCGATCGGGGTACGCCACGAGATGCTGTTGTCGATGTAACTGAAGCCAAGGTCGATCCAGTACGAGATGGCCGTACCCGTAGAGATCATGGACGCCTCGATGCAGATGAGCAGACCGCGGTTGTGGGCCTTGGCTGTCTCGGCGTGCCACGTCGGGATGGTCGCGGTGTTCATGCCGTTGCCGAGACCGGTGACGATGCGACCGATGGTGAATTGAGCGAATGCGGAGTGGTTCTTCATGGTCGTGATCTGGAGTATGACACCGATGCACATGATGGCGGCACTGGTGACCATCATCTTGCGGCGACCGAGGCGGTCACCATAACAAAGGGCAAAGATAGCGCCGGCGAGGCAACCAATCTAGCGAGCGCGGATCGATAGGGGCCAGGTCAATCAACCGCGCGCGTAATCGATGGCAGAGGATGTGCAGCTGGCACTCACTTCGTAGATGGCGACGATGAAGGCTTGCAACACACTGGCTTGGTAGTCACCGCTGACCTCGGGGTTGAGGGTCGGGAGCACGCGGAAGAACTGAGGAGCACTGATGATTCCACTCTGCGAGGATCAATAGCAGCCGAGGCGCGAAAGAGATCAGCATCTTGAGCATTTGCAAGTGGCTGTTTGCGATGAAAGATGTCCGAATAAACTGACCATAACACCCTGATCGTAACCGAACAAACCGAAACTGCGCGTACACACAAAGTCAAAAATTGAGCGCCTTTTGTTTCCCGGCACTGTACCGGCACTAAAGCAAGTCCCGTTGCTCGGCCGACGAATCGAACGCGCAAAGCCAGCCAGCAAAAGCCAACTTCGGCGACGACGACGACGCGACGAAGCCAGCTCCGCCTGCGAACTCTGCTGCAAGAAAACTCACCCGCATGATGCCGAAGCAGTGATGGCCCAGATGAGCTTGTCACCCGTGAGACCGCCGTAGGTCGGAATCGCACCCTTCTCGTACTTGTCTGGTCTTGCAGCGCCAGCGAGCGTGTGCGAATCTGAACTGGAGCGCGAAACGTCGTAGTTGGTCGAATGGCGATCGGCGGCCACTTTGGTCGCAGATTTCTCGTTCTCGGACGACTTGGTGAAACCTGTCATCGTGTGGGAGCAGTGAGGTCTGATGGAGAGGTAGGGATAAGAGAAGAGGAAGAAAGGCGGCGTAAGTTTCGGGTAAAAAGCCAGTGCGGAAAAGATAGTCTATGGTGTAGGCATGTTTTTCTCGGCCGCGGATATGACATCGATGAGGTCATACCCAATTTCTGGGGCGCGGGCCCAACTGGCGGCGTCGGGTGGGGGAGCGGCTGGAGAAGGGCGGCGGCTGTCGAAAAACTCGATTAGCTCCGACGAGCACCCTAATATGCGTCTTCATATAGGCTCTTGCGAAGGGTTTCGGAGTCTCGCCTTATAAAAGCTCAACAGGTCACGACTTTTTCGTTCGGGGTCAAGCCCGAGGTCTGGTGCGGGCTGTGGGGTAAGAGGGTCTTCGATGACGTTTTTCATTGTGCGCGCCTGCTTCTCCGCGCTTGCGCACGCCGACCACCGACGTCAAGCCGTAAAACCTCGTGTCGGGGTCCGCCCATATCGACGAGGACCGGCAGGTCATGGAACAAAACCGCGGACGTCTTTCGGGAGACGAAGTTCTGTCTGTGCGTGTCACCGGATCAGAGCTTTGTTTTAGCGCCGACGTGACCGTGATGCGCTTTGATCCTTTCTCCCCACGCCAAGTCCAAAGCCCCGGTGGTCCGTGTTTGGTATTTTCGTGTGGAAGTAGTGTGGTGAATGATGGTACTCTTTCAGTTTATAAAGTATCGACCTGTAGGCGATTTTCAGCACTCCCCCCACGCACTCCCCCTACGCGGCTGTGCGCAGCATCGAAGAGGTTGAAGCTAACCAATTTTTCAGCTTCTCACGTGACCTTCCTCGTCGCACCTGGCCTGGGTCAGGCTCTGATGAAAAACAATTGAGAAAAGGACAAAATAGTTTTGTGTCTGCCTGAAGGGGGTCGGGGTGCAACATCGCAGAATCAGTGTCCAGTCAGTAAGACAAACCAAGTGCTTTGTCGCGGAGGCCGCCGTGCAGTGGTCGTGCAGACCGCAGTGGCAAGTTCCGGTGCAGCCTCGCGCGCACGGACCGGCGGACCTCACGGGTCGCGACGCGTCTCGAATGGGTCACGCGTTTACAACCATTTCCCCCCTTTCGTTCACTTGCATACACCCAGCGTCATCCATCACGCCTGTCACCTTCGCTCGTTCGTTGTCGTCAAATTGGTTTGGAGAAAAGATCTGTCTCTACCATCTGATCATCTGCCAAACGCGACTCCTCTTTTGAGACGCGTCGTGCTCCTTTCCGTCGTCAAGCACGCGTCAACGAGCTACAACTCAGTATCCGCCGGTCGGATTCATCCTTAATTAAAGCTGCAAGCACCCTCGAGTGGCCAATACCACACAGCTCTCAGGCTCTACCCCATCACGTATCATGCCCCCCTCTCACCCCGACTCACCGCCCACGACAAACTTGTCGGACCTCGTCCTCTCCGCGAACGACAACCTCCTCGCCGACTCGTCCGTAGCGTTTCCTTCCCCAACTTCCTCCTCCCGCCGTTCGAACGACGGTCAATTGGATGCGGATGACGACGATACCTTCCTTTTCGACCAAGCTTCAGCTTCAAAATCGACTTTGACCTCGTCGTCTTTGGGAGGGACGCAAGATAATACGACGGGGGGTGTTTCACAAGGTGGTGTGGGCGTTGTATTTGGTGGATCGATGGGGGTGTTTGAGAGTGATCCCATGAAGGCTACGACTTCTGGACGATTGGAGGAAACAGGCTTGCCGGGATCGTCGAGCTCCACGACGACGGCGACGATGGCTTCACGTCAACCCAAGACCTCTTACGAAGCCGCTGCAGAACGTCAACGTCAGCGCCAACGTGGACAAACGAACGAGGATGGGATACCCCTTGATTTGGACGGTGAAGACGATCAACAAGCTTCGGATATGGATCTTTCGGACCAGGCGATGCAGGCCATGGGCTTGACGGAGGCCGAGATCAAGAGGGTGCATCAGTTGAGGGCAGAGAGGGATGGGCTGAGGGATATGAATGGTATGCTGGGGGATATGGTTAATAGTATCAAGGGTGTCGAGACCAAATTGAAGGTACGTTCTAAAACGCAATGGGAGTCGCGGCTCGTGGCCAAGTTTGCAGGTAGGGATGATCTTCTGACGTTCCGAGCTGTTTTCTCTCGCTTCTTTACCCGACTCATAGACCTTCAGTAACAACGCCACCACCACCCATGAGTTATTGGACCTCTACTCGCGCCTATCCTCCCAGGCCGAACACACGCAGAACCTCCTATTGGACCCTGAATTTCGTGGAGCTTCAGCCGACGCCGCCGTCAGGGAAGCTCGGCAGGCTGAAGCACTCAGGATTCAGCAGGAGGAGGAAGAGAGGGTGCAGAGGGTGGCGAGGGAGAGGGAGGAGGCGAGGCTTATGAGGGAGCAACAATTAGCGGAGGGTGTTTTGGGACAGGGTGGCGTTGTACGGGGGAGTACTCGAGGTGAGTTTTCCGCGAGCCTCTTGACTCAGGTCATTTCCGGCGCCAGCTGATCCATGAATTTGTCCACCCAGGTGGACCGAGAGGCACTTCAACACGAGGCCTACGCGGGGTTCGTTCAGTGTCCTCCGGTCTCTCGGGTCGCAATACCAGCAGCAGTGTCAACGCATCGACAATATCCACCACCTCGAGCATGGGCGCTGCGGTTTCGGGTGCCGGGAGGGGTAGACCGGGTGCGACGGGGACGGTCACGGGCGTTAGAGGTGTGAGAGGTCTGAGGAGTCGGGTTGGAGTTGTTGGTGGGAGAGGAGCGTCGGCGGGTAGAGGAGGATCGGGGAGCTCAATGAGTTGATTTTTGGCGCCGGAGCGGCGGATGAAATCGATCGCTTTTTCGAGGGGCACTGGTGTATGCGAAGATTTGGTGTGTTGAAGTTTCACATGAAGTAAATGTTCAAATGAAGATTGCTTCGAGGGAGAAGCTGGGAGGGTGCGCCCGACGGCAGAGCATGATGAATCACGTGGGTGTCCCAAGTCACGTGAGCTGGCCCAAGAAGTGTCTTGATCCTTCGCGCGTCGATTATCAGGTTCGTACTTCACCGTCAACTTGCCTCGACGCCATGAGTCGACCAGAAAAAGACGTCGAAGAGATGGCCGAACATGCCGAAGTGTTGACGCCGCAAGAGATGCTGCAGCAGTTCGAAAAGGTCAATGTCTGTGGTGAGTGCTTGCATGAAGCACCGAACACCCTTCGCAAGCTGGTTGGCCTGCGAGCTCACGTGACTTTCCATCGTTGGGCTTGGTGCTGGCCTTGTGTTTACAGCTCCCATGGTGGGTTCCAGCCGTATGCAAGGACTTACTGAGATACGCAAGCAGGCTGATTACGACAATGGTGTGGCGTTGTAGGTGCGATATAGCAAATTGCCGTTTCGGCAGCTGGTGGCGCAGTACGAGACTCACATCACCTATACGCCCATGCTACTGTCAGTCTAACGCTCGAACAACACCCTTCACGCCGTAGACTGAGCTGACGTACACCTGAACATGCCAACTGTAGCGCTCAAGAGTTCTCACGCTCGGCCATCGCTCGCGACTCGGACTTTTCGACCAACACCCTCGAACGAGGCACATTCTGGATGACCCCCAAAGTCAACCACATCCCAGTCCAAGAATGGGACTCTTCTCCCGAACGACGAAGCGAGGAACCTCTTGCACGCAAGGCGCGACGAGGTCAGAGAAGGGTCAGGGGTAATTTGGTTGCTCAGTTCGCGGCCAACGATGCGACGCAACTGGCCGATGCGGCCGAATTGATCAAACCCTGGGTCGATGGGATTGATTTGAACTGTGGTGCGTCGATGAGTCGCAGCCATTTACGTCCGAAAGGCCATGGAAAGAGATTGAAAGGCTGACACCGAGCGTGGAACCGCTGTCTCGGCGTACAGGATGTCCTCAGAAATGGGCTTACCAAGAGGGGATTGGGTGTGCGTTGCTGAGAAAACCTGACACTGTACGAGACTTGGTGAGGACGACTAAGCAGAGGCTGGGGTGGGATTTTCCCGTCACGGTCAAGATTCGCGTCGATCCCAATCTTCAGTGAGTTTTCTTTCGTTCCATTCAACTGGACAAAATTCTGGTGAGCGTGACCCGCTAATCAGACCGTATTATTGGGTGCAGATTAACGAACGAGCTCGTCACAACAGCTATAGCAGCGGGAGCCGACGTTCTAGCCATTCACGGCCGAACACGCCACCAATCCTCGTCCGGCCATCCCGTCAACCTCGATTCGATCCAATTCGCCGTCGAATGCAGCAAGGGACAGATCCCGTGTGTCGCAAATGGGGATGTGTTTGACTTGGAGGGGGCGGAAGAGACTCGGAGGAGATGTGGTGTGAATGCTGTGATGAGTGCGAGAGGGTTGTTGGCTAATCCGGTGAGCTGGCATGGCAAGGCTGGCCGACTGCGTACGCTTTTCGTATTGACCGCCCATTCTCTGCAGGCGCTGTTCTCGGGTTACGATAAGACACCCTTCACTGCCATCTCAGTAGGATCACTGGCCTGAACACTTCTCTGCCTGTCATCACACACTAACCACGAATCCAACCCCTGCTCTACAGGAATTCGTCCGCATCTCGACCCAAGTCGGCCTTATCTATCCCTTATTCCACCGCCACGTCGCGTACATGATCGAATCGCACTTTACCCTTCGGATGGATCGAGTATTCTTCAATGGATTGACGAGCTATGCTTCGGTTTGCGATTATCTAGTGGATGAACTTGGGGTTAATTTGGGAGGGGCGGAGGAGAAAGTCAGCGTTTAGAAGTAGGTCGCCAAATCCCACATGAGCTCGAAAATGCTCCAGCATGAAACATGCTCCCTTTGCACGAATTGCACGGCAAACACTTGCCGCCCAGGTACCGAGGCTCGAGCCCAAACATAAGGTGGAAAGCTCCGGGGAGTTTCGATACTTGTCCGATCGCAACCGGGCGCTCAGGAGTTGGCGTTCTGCATTGGTGCGTATCGACACCCCTGGAACCGTTCGGAACGATTTCGCACGGTGAGATCGAACTTGCACTCTTCGCCTTCTGTCTAGGTATTCGACACTACTTATTGCCGGTCCAGCACCCAAGCATCATGCAATCTACGCCTCCTCGTGGGCCCATTCTCGTCGCATCGTTTCGCGTTTCGAGTTGTCGTTCGATCGGTTTGATCGTGGGGAATTTGGTTTAGTGTTGGGTGTCGCGCTATGCCGCGCGGCGCACGCGCGAAGTGATCTGCAACGGCACGGGCTGGCACGGGCCGCTCACCTCAGTCAGCGACCACCACCACCGGTCGCGGAGCCCGAAGCATAGCCCTCACGCGACCCTAGCTCGCGACAGAGTGGCCGACGTCGTCGAGTAGAGGGTGCGAACCCCACCTCGAACAAGGTGCCTGCTCACCTCGTTTCCTCCGCCATGGAGGCATTACCGAACCCGTCGATCGTACTCACCACCTCAACCGACGACGCTTCATCCGTGCGCCAATCCCCGGCCTTCAGCGAAGACACCTTCATCACCATCCACTCGACTTCTACACGCGCATCCTCCATCGTCGGCCTTCCCGATCGGCCCATAACTTCAGGACCGAGGTTATTGGGTGAGGTTGGGAGCTCGAGCGCTCGGTCGAGTCCGCTTCTGGGATCGAGTGTGAATGGGGATGTCCCGCCGCTTTTGAAGTCAACGAAGTCGCATAGCGCGGTTGAGAAGTTGCGGGCTGATCGGGCGGACGAGTGCGGAGAGGATCTTTCGACACCTACTGCGGGGAATGAGGTATCGAAGGAGGCGAAAAAATTGAGAGCAGAATCCGGAGATGGGTTGGGCACGGAGGGGACGGAGGGTCTGGGCAGTCCATCACAACCCGAGGTAATGGAGGCTCCTTCTTGCTCGATCGAGGATAGTGGGTTATCTCGGGGGCAGAAGGTCGGGAATGATAAGAAAGAAAATGGAGAAGGCGGTGAGACATCAGGTTTCGATAGATTCAAATTGCCGACCAAGGACGAATTGCGAGGTCGGTCTGCGCATGCCTCATTCACAGAGAAAGGGGCTTGGCTGACGAAGCTGTGACATGTCCGTTCTCAGCTGCTGGAATCTGCTTGTTAGCGGACGAAAATGGACGTAACGTAACCTTCGATTCGTTGGTCCAGGCACGAGGGAAGGTCGTCGTCGTCTTTCTTCGGCATCTTTGTGAGTTTCGGAAATGTCGAAGCGAGGGAGCGGAGCCTACTCTGATCACTTTGATGATTCGCAGGGTGTGGTCTGTGCGCTCAATGTGAGTACTCTCGTATGCCTGTCTTACTGTAAGTATAACTCATTACGATTCTTCTACGGATCCACAGACGTCGTTGCCCTCAAATCTGCAACCGAGAACCTGGCCCAAGCGTCCACCTCCCAACTCTCAACCGAATCCATGTACACACCACCTCCACTCTACATTCTCTTAAAGACGTTAGGGATGACACTCAAGACGCTTTCGTTGGGGAAAGAGGAGGATAAAGGGTCGTATGTGACCAAAAGTAATTTGGGGAATGTGATTGATAGTGCGAGAAATGGGTTGGCGATGCGACGGTATCCTGGGTCGCAGAAGCAATTGGGGGGAGAATTTGTCATGGTATGGAATGGTACGTTGCGCTCCGGGATCGGTTGAGGATAAAGGCGGCTAGATCGACATATCTGACCTCGTATTCATTTCTGTCATCGTGGTATGTAGACGAAACGGGACAGATGGAGTGCACGTATGCCAGTCGGATGAACAGCACGCGGTCTCACAGCGAGGTAGGTCTCTTGCTGCGCTGCGTTGACTCGTGCTCGGAAAGGGATGGGAGGCTGACCGAGATCTCCTTGCACAACAGGTCCGAGACCTCTTCTCAGCTGCAGGAGTGCACTTGGATAGCATCGACGAGGCTTCTATCTTCAGCGAGAGTCAGCACGAAGGCTTATGAGCTGTGGGGGAGGTTACAGGGGTCCAAGGTTTTCGGGCGTCTGGGAAACCGCGTTTTAAGGGGATCATTAGCACACATGCTTTGGGCTTTCGGGGTTATTTCGGGTCATTTTTAGTTAACGGTACCCATTTTTAATTAACGGTACCAAACATTAGTGGCATGCAGATGCAGTGAATTTCGCAAATTTGGCAAACATCGTGTGCGCTTCATCGTCACTTTGTCCGAGAGTGGAGGGTGGCGCGTGCATTCACCGGCCAGCTACCGAGTTGCGAAAAGGTGAGCGAAGGCATCCAGCCGCTGGCCCTAGCTGAAGGTGCAATCCTGCCGATCAAAACCACTCCTGATAGTGTCGAGGCGCGGGTATCTCCCTCGGCAGCGCCTCCTCCACGTCGTCGCCCGCGCGAGCTCGCCCGCGCGCTCCCGCCTGGATCGACGCGAACTTTCCCTCCTCTTCTCTCTCGGATCCATCACGTCACACTTCCTTCTGGGCGCTCTTCGCTCTCACCAGCGGTCTTTCGCTCTTCGCTTATCTCTTTGGCTGTTTTTGACCCTCGTCTCGCAACAAATTCGACATGCATCGGACCACTCCGCACACCTCGGTCTTCGCGAGCTGGACTCTTCGCACTGCCACGACTCTCGCCGTCGCACTCACCTGTCTCGCTACATCGACTCTGGCAGCTCCTGTCAAGACGGCGCAGCAGAAACGCCAGGAGCAACTCATGCTCGACCCAATTTCGCTGGTCATGAAGGAAGCAGCCAGTACGTCCTTGCTATCTCGCGTCGGATTCCAGAGCTCGAGCCTCCAAGCTGACCTCGGTTCTCGTGTTCTATCTCGCTCGCAGCTTGGTGCGTGGTGCAATTGTTTCATGTAGCGCTACAATGACAAACGCTTTGCTGAAGTGCTTCTATATCCACATCACTTGTACACAGGTCCCGCTACGACCGTAAGTCCACTTCATTTTCACTCTCAACATCTCGGAGGAACACTGCGGGGGCTTCCTTCCGATGGGGGCTCCCCCTAACTCGTGGGACCTCTGACTCTATTTCGTTCCCGTCCTTGGCGCTAGCTGTCTTCGAGGTTTGCCTTTGACGCTGTTCCGGTTCGAATTTCAACCTACCATCTCATGGGCGTTGGTACCTTCTTCTCGACGACCAAGCTTTATCGCGCATTCGGTCTAAGATCGGATGTGTCGCTTCGTGGGTGTTACGTCGCCGGTGAGAGCTCCGGGATCGGAAGCAGGCCGACTCACGTCTCGCTGTCGGCGAGGAGGGACGAGCGATCGACAAAGGCCCGTCGTGTGCCTGAAGGACTGAGCGGCGAGCGAAGCGGTTCCTGCACGTTCTAATCCTTTCAGGGCGGTCTCCGGGTTGCACCTCGATTGTCTCTTGTCGCATCACCCCCGGATAAGAATAGTTCGCCTGGTCTTGCGAGTACAGTGGATTTGCGGCGCGAGTTGAGGGCCTCTCGCCTTGAGATGGGTGATAGGTTTTCGCTTCACGGATCGGGCTACGACTGCGTGATGAGCATTCGCCCTCCCCATCGGCTCTTTTCGTGTACATACTAGGCCACCATAGCAAAATTCTGCCCTACTGACACAACTCTATATTTGTTGACCGCAGGACACGTTCTGCGCTACCATGAACCTCTCCAAATATTCTGGGCCGCCGAGGTGACTCGAACCGAAGAACGCTCGGGCCAACGCTTCTCCTCTCCTCCTTGTCTGTCTCGCGCCATCGAGCGTGACCAGGCCTACGCCTCCCTAGGTGAGTTGCAGCTGGGGAACCTCTTCTTATTTTTGGGGGGGGCTTGGATATCGCCCGTATTTCCTGGACGTGGTGAAAATGTTCCTGGGGCGAGTGAATAGGCGCAGGTCCTTGGAGGTGTGCTGGAACCCTGCTCGTGCCTTCTCGCGCGCGCGCGCACGCACCGCGCCGGCTCGTGTCACTTTGTGATCGGCGCGCGCATGGGAAGGCGTTCCTACTTCCCTCTAGCTTATCCTTATCCGAACATATGCATCGGAAGTTCGGAACTTTGCGCGCGGTGTCGGGTCATCCCTCGCTGACACGCTCCAAACCACCCCCCCATGTCTCGACTACTTTTTCTTGTGAGCAGAGCTGAACGAACACGGTCAAAAGATTTGCGTCGTACCTCTTGCGCCACCTAAACCCCGTCTACAACCTATCAGCGGTAAATCCACACCCAAGGGCAAATCCAACAAAACTGTGGATCGTACCCGCTCTTCCGCGGCGCAAGTCGTCGCCCTAGCCGGCGCTCGTTCCCCAAAATCAAGCATGTCGTCCACGCAGACCTGGATCCGAGGAACATGCAAGGAAACAGCGGAAAAGTTTGATGTTTCGGAAGAGGATTGCGTACAGGTTTCGGTTGTGAGGGAGAGTTGTCGGAGTGAGTTCTTTCGTCACTGCAGCTACGTTTGAGTTTCGAACCCCTGCTGGATCGACACACGCGCGCGCGGGGCTGCGGGGTCCAATATCCTTCCTTATCATCTCCCTGTCAGGGAGAAGGCTTGTCATCCTCTACCGTAAAGCTGATCGTTTTCGCCTCTCCTGCTTGTTTCGCCCTACAGTCTCCGGCACCAAATATCCCTGTCGCTCATGATAAACTCCCGTCGGTCGACGATTCAAGTATAGAAGGTCAAGATCACCCACGACTCAAGCATAGAAGGTCAAGATCATCCACGACTCAAGTATAGAAGGTCATGTTCACCCTCGGAGACGCTTTCGGGTTGTGCTCGCGGGGCTATCTCAGGAGACGGGTTATGGTCGGGGTTTGCATTCGGTTGTGATTCCCCGATCTTTCGTTCAAGTGTTCGAGCGTACTTTTTCTGCGTTTTTTTCCCCTTCCCCTGCGCGTTCTTCAGCATGTTGTTTCCTATCCCATTTATTACTCATTCTACTTTTCCGAGGACGTCTCAAGAAGGGTGGCTTTTCTGTGCTGCCTGATGGGATTCACCCTGGATTCATTTTTTTTAATACATTTTCACGACGTTGGGTAGATGATTCGGGGCTTGAGATTGATTTGGTATACATCTCGTCATGCTCTGCTGCTCCCTCTTTCGTCAATGTGCGCGTGGTCGAGGAAGTAGAGTGTCCCCATCCGAACCGAGCTTGAATCGTCTCTATAGCTGATCCAACTCGGTTCCCCAATGCTCACCATATCATTTCTTTCCATCACTACCATCCTCCTCCTCCTCCCGAACCTACTACTTCCCCTCCTCCACAGCCTTCAACACCGCCTCGATCACCTTGGCGTGCACGTCCTTATGCGCAGCTACGACGCCCTTGTTCCCCTTGAGGGTACGACCGAGGGAAAAGTCGAGAGGTTTACCATTCATGTCAGAAACGACGCCACCTGCTTCGGTGACGAGAAGTGATCCGGAGGAATGATCCTGCGAGATCAAAGGACTGGGGGATCAGAATTTCTCTTTTGAGATGAACGATGAAGCGCAATTCGAGACCGGTGGGAACGAACCCAAATCTTCTCTTCGTAAGTATCTGAAACGGGTAACCTTAGATAAATGTCCCCATCCCCTCTGGCGATACTACAATATTTGGCTTGGGAATCCATCCTCACGCTAGGTTTGGTGATGCCCAAGATGGAAGCGATACGGGCGTTGGTGGAGTGGTCCGAGTGACCGGCTTCGACGGATTCGCAGAACGAGGCGGAGGAGAGGGAGGGGAGGGTGGACATGGTAATGCGTTTCAAGGTGGGGTCGGTGAGGGACCGCTGAAGAAAAGTGTGAGAGGGAATGTGTTAGCTTGAGGAAGCGTCAGAAGGTTCAGCGTTGAGGGTTGAACGCACCTGGTAAGCACCCTCGCCCTTGACAGCAATGAAGAGAGCGCCCTTTTCTCCATCGGGGTTCTTGGGATCGACGGGGAGGTTGGGGCATCCCATCACACCAACAACGACCTGGCCGTCTAGCAGGAGGCCAAGGCAGACGGCGTACTGTCCTCCTCGGAGGAACCCCTTGGTACCGTCGATGGGATCAAGGGCCCAATGACCTGTGACCAAAAGATGCAGGACGCACAAAGTTATGGCTTTGTTGTTGTTGTATCTCTCTCCGTTTCACCTGTTGCCTAAACTTACGACCCTGTTTCCCGCCCGTCGAATTCCCCCTATCAATGATCTCCATCCATTCCTTCTCCCCCCTTTGCACGCTCTTGACCTCCTTCCAAGCCTGCTCCGATTCGTCCTGTCCTTCCAATACCTCAGCCATGGCTTCGTTCGCCAAGCGCATGATGTGGGTTTTCGTTTGTGCGTTCGCGGGGGTGTTGAGTTCGGAAGAATCTTCCTCGCCGACGATTTGGTCCGTTGGGAAATGCGAGAAGAGCAACGAGGAGACGAGAGCTTGACAGGTGTAGTCCGCCACTGCGACGAGAACATGAAGGAATTAGTAAATGTTCATCCTTCTTTCTTACTGAGTTCTAGTAAAGTTGTAGGCTGACCGGTGACAGGACTCTTATCCTTCTTCTCGACCCCTCCACTGCCAATCAACTCGTTTTGCACCTTCTGAGCCAACAATGAAGCCTTGAGCACAGCAGCGATGGCTACTTTTTGCTCCTTGGCGTACGAGGTCGGTCCAGTGGGATGAGTCATGGTGGATGATGAGTTGATGGTGATGATGGAGCGGGAGTGGGAGGTGCGATGATGGGCTTGGAGCTGGCGAGAAACGAGCGAGAGACGCTGTAGGATTCTGGAGGCCGGTATGATGAGCGAGGTTCGACACTTGTGACGGGGAGAGTGATGATCCAAGTAGTGTAACTTGAGAGTGGTTTGCGAGGAAGGAGCGAGAGAGCGTCGTCGCCCACTGGCAGCCAAGGCTTCTTCGCTCGACCAACCCCCGCGCGCGATGACGTGATAAGGTCTCTCGAATCGCTATTACAAACCCTCATCAGCGGAAGGGGTCCAAGTCAACCCGTCTGTTGGGTGTTGATGCAAATGACTTTGAATACACAATACAATAGATCAAAAGAAAAGAACTACAGCTTCTCATCAAGGAACACACAACTAGTAAAAGACTCAGAGTGGTGGTAAATGAATGCTACGATCGCAGACGCTTTTTTTCCCCCTCGCTCAGGAGAAAAAGTACAAACTACTCCTAATCTTGGCCAGGTCAAAGTCGCCCTTTTCCGGTACGGGAGGCAATACATCCGCGACGTAAACGAATTTCGAATTCGCGCCTCGAGAAGTCGGCACTTTCCACATCTCGGCGGCTTCGACCGCTTCAGGGGTCGGTGGCGCGTCCAAATCCACGTCGTCTTCGAAGCCGAGCAACGGGGTTTTCTTCGAGCTCGTTTTGCGAGCTTTCTTCGCGGCGCCCGTCGGGGTGGCTGTGTTGGAAATGGGGATCGAATCGTGTTGGGCGAAAAGAGGAAGGGTCGCAGGACCATCTTCGGCTTCGAGTTCGGTGATCACGTCCGTAGGCTCGGAGCTCGCTTCGGCCTCGGTTTCGTTCTCGGATTTGATTTGAATCGAGCCGGTGTGGTCGGGTTCGGCATAGCGTAGTCCTCGGGGTACGCGTTTGACGGGGATGACGTGCCCTTTGTAACGCTCCAAGAACTAGAAACCAAAGCAAGAAGCGCATTCAGTACTCAACCCTCGACCGCAAAACCCAACGAAGCTGGAAACCCATTCACTCACCTCCTGCCTCAGTTTGCCCAAAATGTCTTGCGAATGCAATTCGATAAAGGCCTCCCTCAACATGACCGACATCTCATCGACCGAACACGCATGCGTCCAATACGAATCGTGCACCGAAGCAAACGCAATCTTGTCCTTACTCGCCAACGCCGTCATCATCATATGCGTGGCGTCGAGGGAGTGGATGAAGTTGGGGGGGAAGGCGGTGGCTTGGGCTCGGGAATCGACTTCGGCTGGAATCGCCGGGTCAGAGATGAAGACGCTTTGCAAGGCGGTGGTGACTTGTCTCTTGCGATCCTTGCGATAAGGTTGAACGACGGGGAGGCCCAAAGGAGTCGTCCAAACGACGCTGGTCATCAATTCCTTCGGGATCCGACTCGGCATATCGACGTCCTTGCTCGGATCAGCCCCCGCTTGCATCGCCGCCAACGCCTTGGGAGGTCTTCCCCTCTTCGGAAGCGCATCCGGTTGTAAAGCGGCGTTCAATCTCCCCGGTGGGATCGATTTCGAAATCAACCTCGCCGAACGACTCAACCATTCTTGAATGGCCGTAGCGCCCTTGAACACGTCCGAAATGGACGAAAGCACCAACTTGCCCAAGTAGACCGAACAAGCGTACAAATGTTCGGCCGAGATATCGCCACGATCCTTGAGTTGTCGTTCGATTTGGTTCTTGGCTCCGATGAAGGTGACGCCGTAAACGGTGGTCATGACCGTTTGTTTGACCACCTTGCGACTGACTTTACCCTGCAAGATCAGCGCTTGTTCCAACCCGTCCGCGGCGTCGCGATCGATGATTTCGTTGACCACGTTCGCAACGGCGGAGTAAACGTCCGCCGGTCGATCCCCACCGTCCAAATTGACCTGTTCAGCGCCCTTGAGATCGCCACCCAACGCGGCGTAATGTTGCAACCCATTGCACGTCCCGTCCTGATGAATCGGCAAGGCGCATTCATATTCCGGCGGATTGTTCGATCTCAAAGCCTTCGACAACTCCATACACGTCGCCAAACATTGCCAAGGATCTTCAGCGTTCAACCACCACCTCTTCCCTTCCAAAGGTCGATCGGCGGAATCGTAAATCTGCTCCAAATGCTCCATCGCGAACGCCTCCCTCTCATCGAACGAAGCCTTGTCGTACCCGAACGTATTCGCCAAATGAATCTTGAGCCACCTCAACCCCCTCTCACCCAAAGGTTTCGCTTCCCCAAACATCAACAACCCTCGACACATGTCATCACCGATATGCGATAAATTCGGTGGGATCGGGTAAGCCCTGCCTCGGAAATCGAGGTTATGGGGGAAGTAGAACTTTTCGCCCAAGAAGGCACGAGCGATCTCGAGTTTGTAGTTGATATCGCAACGATTCGAATGCGCCGCTCGACGATCTTGTAGGACTTTCTTGATTCGGCGTCGGTAGGTGTCCAATGCACGAAGATCGGTTTCCAGTCCTTCGGGTTTCTCCACGTCGATGGGCAGGTTCAACGTTCCTGCGGCGGGGATGTCCCCCATCGCTTCACCCGTGTTCCATACGGCCGAAACGACGTCAAAGATGGGTCGATTGACGACCCAGGATACGCTACCGAGGACATCGAGACCTGTGAAGACGTCGTCGAGATTATCGGCGTCCGAGGCTTGTTTGAGGTATTGTACTTGTTCGTCCGAATCTTTGGTCCGCATCATTTGAGCTGCAAAGTTAACCCCAAACCGCGTCAGCTCACAGGTCCTAAGACAACGAAACCGTGAGCCTGCTTGAACTCACTCGAATGTATCAAATAAGCACCCGAATTATAACTCAACCAAGGCTTGGGTTTGACGACCATGGGTAAGAACCTCGGATGCAAGGTGATCCTCAATGGATCGGTATCGATCCTGCCCGCGATCGCCGGATTGACCTTGATGACGCCTACCCTCTTCCCCCTGACGTATTGATACGAATGCGAGAACGCGGGTTGAACCTCGGTGACGATCTTACCCGTGACAGGATGTGTGGCCGTCCTTTCAACTTGGGCGACTTGCATCAACGTCGTGATCAACAAGGACCCGACCTTGGCATGAATCGAACGCGTCCATGCCGGACGCCAGGAAGTATCCCCACTCTTTTCCCGTTTCGCCAATTCCCTCCTCCAGAAAATCTCGATCGCTCGAGTAGGTTTCGCTTCGATCACTTCCCCTTGCGAGTTCAACTTGCCATAAGTTTGGATCTGCTCGAGTTCCTGTAAGAAATGTTTGCGCGGAAAGGATTGTTGCAGCACCTGAGCATGGTACTCGTTCTCGATCGCTCGACCGACTTCAAGGATCCCTCTTGCAGCCTTCATCCCTTCCGCCACGCCGGCGTTTCCACAATGACGCAGTAATTCGACGATCGTGATGAGCGCCATCTTGTCCGTCGGTACGAGCCTCAAGAAAGGTTCGATGTCCGGGTCCTTGTTCCACGTATTACTGAACCCGCCGAACGAAGTCGTATCCGACGGCGGCGATTCGGCGACCTTCTTCCCCTTCTTCGTCCGACTCCCCTGGGGGGTCGTGCTCCGTCCCGAATAAAATTGATCGTTCAAAGCCGCTTCCAACGCTTTGGTCCATTCGAACATGACGCCTTGTAACCAATTCGATTTGAGTCCTCGTTCTTTATCCTTACCGACTTTGGCCAGTTGTTCCCTTTCATGGATGTAGAGTTGTCGAGCGGCGTCGTAGGACGATTCTTCGAGTAGCTGTTGACGATTCGCGGCGGAGACGACACCGTCCGGCATAGCCAAAGTCGATAAATTCGTTCGAAGCGTTTTGAGCGAAACCGAAACGTCGGGTGCTCCCCCTGGTTCAGCTGACGTTCGGGTCGTAGGTGCGATCTCGACCGGTTCGTTCGAGCTCGTCGAAGCCGTTGTCGAAGCCGAGTGGGTCAGATTCGAAATCGCATGACGTTGCGACAACTTGGTTTCGATCTCTTTGAATTCGCTCCTCAATTCTTCAATCTCTTCCTCCCACGCGTTCCATTCCTCCTGACCTCGACCCGTCTCGACGAGCGCGTTCAACACTCGTAAAGGTGAAACCTTTCCCAAATAACTCGGTAATTCGACGTGCCAAATCGCATCGTTCAGAATCTCCTTCAAGCGCAATTGATGTCGTTCGACGTGGTCCAACAAGGTCGTCAGAGGTTTGAGCCAAGGTTGGTTCTTACGCGTCGTTAGGGAGGTCTCTTGCGTCGGTGTGGAAAGGTTCGGATTGTAGATCGAGGGTCCGGCCGCAACGAGTCCTTTGAACATGACGGCCAGGACGGATTCGTCGATGGCGACGTTCGTTTGGGTTACTTGATCCCACCATTGCGGGCGTTGCAACGAGTCAAAGTAGGACCATGCTTTGACGACGTAATCGGACCTGACTAGCTCCGACAAAGGTGTCGAAGGCGTTTCGGAAGGGGTAGGTACGAGCGCTTTGATGAGTGCGCTCGAGAGGTAGGCCCGAAGAAAGTCGGCGTGGACCCGAGGAGGTAAGAGCGTCGTGAGCGAATCGTTGCGATGGCCCAAGATTCTTCGGGCCACTTCTTCGGCGCGGGTTAGGTCCCCCGAGGCGAGACAGGCGTTCAGGATCGCGAGTTGTTCCTGCGACTGGGTGGGAGTTGTCCAGTTCGCGGGGGTAGGATGGGTTGAGGAGGAGGAGGAGGAGCCGGAAGAGGAGGAAGCGGTAGGAGCGCGCTTGTCTGTTTGTTCGACATCGGCGGGTAATGGGGGTGCCAGGGGGGGAAGTGGAGGGACCGAGTAGAGCGGATGACCGGGCCTTTGGAGAAAGGCTTGGTTCGAGATGGAAGCCGACGGTGGGGGTGGTGGTGGTGGTGGTGGTGGTGGTGGTGGTGGTGGGGGGGGTGGGTGAGGGGAAGTGGAGGAAGAAGCGGGATCGACCGAGGCCGAAGGAGGCGCGAACCGGGTCGTGCTCGACGAAGCGAAACGGACGAGCACCCGGGGCACCCGCGACACCCGCGGCGAAGGAGAGGTCGAGCTCAGGGCGGTCCTCGCGACCGTGCGTAGCCTAGCCAACCGTCGTTGCGACGATGAAAGCATGATGGTCGCCGTCTGTCGGAGAGAGTGCCGCGGTCAATCAGTCTACTGCACAGCGAGTGGATTCTCGATCACGGCCGAGTGCGAGAAAGTTGACCCAAATCCAGATCCAGATCCAGATCCAGATCCAGACAGGCTCGATCGAGAAAAAGGGGGTGGCGATGGGTGCATCGTCAATGCAGACGAGGTATGAGCAATGACCGTCTCTGCAAAGGTGCGTAATCGGTGGCCCATGCATGCGGTAGTGTCGCCGCCCTCGCGTGCCGATGCGCTCAGCCCTCGATCGCTGACGACGACGGCTCCCGGAAGGGGTGTAGCGCAGGAACATTCTTGATTCTTGATCGATGCAGCTGACCTACCTCGTCTAGTCGTACACGTTCCTGTTCGTGATCGTCTCGTGTGCTAGAGCGGCGTGCGTTTCCCAGCGGCCGAGGAGTGGAGGTGCGATGACTCCAAAGTCGGCTCGTCTCGTCGAAAGCTCACGTCGAAGGAAACCGATTGCGAAGCGCGCGAAGCGAGTGTCAGAGACTCAGAGTGCAAGTCCCCGCTCGGCCGGCAACCGCTCGCGATCCGGCTCGAAATTAAGAGCTCAAATCAAGCGCCTAATAGTAGGCTGGTGGGTGCTAATTTCCTTTCGCCCAAATAAATCAGAGTAGACGCTTGCCGCCAGAGTTGTCGAGCCAGTTTGACGCCAAATAAATAATCAGAGTGAACCGGTTCAACGAGCAACGACCTCGATCCTGTCAGCAGCGGACGTCGCATCGCGCGAGCGGAGCCATGCTGATCGCATTTCTAATTAGGCCTCCGCGACGGGCTCGATCTAATGCGCAATTCTTCCCAACAGATCAACTTCGCACCCACTCGACCCGACACGGCTTGCGCTCCTTCTTTTTTCTTTTCTTCAGAAGTTGATCCTTCCCTCTCAATGAGAACAAAGTCAGTGTACCCACCCTACCCCAATACCCCCCCATCCTCATAACCGGTTCTGATCACTCTTCTTTTTTTGCTCTGCTCTACACAGTGATGATACCTCCTTTGCGTGGAACTTTTATGAACTTTCGACCCATTTCGTCCTTCCGCGTTCCTGTTTCACCCTTCGATCTCATCCCCACACCAACTCTCCACTCTACTCCAAACGGGGCCGTCTTCATCTCCTTCGAGAAAAGGACCTCCTTCATTGTCGTAGGGCCTTTTTTCTCGAAGAGTTTGAGCGACTTCCGGGAGTGGTGTAGTTACAACGGTTTGAGATTTGGTGGGGGTGAGCAGGAGCGTTGGTCGTTTTTTGACTTGATGATGGTTCGATATGTTCTCATCCGCTCGCCACGTACCTTTTAACCTTGTTTTATCATAAACAAAAGGAGCGGTCGTATGGATGGTCTGATTCTACTCACCTTTCCATTTGGGTGGGTGGGTCTCATTTGAGAGGGGAGGGCTTCTTCAACCTCGGTTTAGTAGTTTGTAGTCTTTTTATTAGCAATGCCTGCAAGGCCTCTTTCTATATCATCAACCAGAAAGTTCACATTCTCAAGTCTATATATAAAGAGATCTACGCCCCTAATTACGCCCCTCGAAGAAGAAAAGAACGCGACAAGACAAGAGAAAGAACAGCGGTGAGGGGACTGCCTAGCTGGGCCGATCCACACACACCGTATCATTCCCCCTTGACTCGACACACTTTCTTTTCTTCAACAACACCCACCAAGTTGATCTTGTGATGATCCCCGGTCTCTTTGAAAGAGAAGGGATTGTGGGTAGGCACCTGTGGTAGTGGGCGATTGAGGAAGTTCTTCAGTGAAGGGCTTCACGTGGAGAGAGAGAGAGGAGAAAGCGCAAGCGGCGTGCTCTGCTGGCGGGTGGTGAAATGGGGTTCACATTTTGCGCATTAGCTTTTGACTTGTAAAGTCGGGCTTGGTGCCACTGCACCGTCTGGTTTTACTTTTTTGGGCTCCGGCATTCAGCAAAATAGTCGAGGTTAGACAAATACAACATAATTCATCAAAATAGCTACATCTAAAACATCCCTCTCGAGAGTCGAAATGTGTTCGCAACAGATGAACGACGTAGTCGGTCGCTCGGGCTTTGATACCTCGTCGGGGAGAAGACCGGAGACGAGTCGATCAACTGGGCAAGAGTAGGTCGCATTGATCAGGGCCACTCGGACGAGTTGGAATTTTTGAAAAACTCACTTTGCTCCCGTGTAACACCCGGCTTGTGAAAGACTTTCAAGCTCAACAACCCCGCTTCTGAAATTGAAGGCAGTTCATGACGAGCTCGGGAGAAATCGCAGGTCGTCGATCCGCCGACCAGGATCGTCAAGAGGTGGGACGAAGAGCTTGTTTTAGAATATTTGAGGACGATATCACTCGATTGAGTTGTAGGATCTGTCAAAGTACCCTCAGACCTTATCAGCACGTCTGCTGTGAGCGAACAGGATCCTAAAAAACTCACCTCGTTCCAACCATTTCGTCCTTCCCACCTCCTTGATTATGCTGGACCCTTCATCATCCTCCTCTTCACTCTCCCCCTCATCGTCATCTTCGTCCCTTAGCCCTGACTCCCAACCTACCTGCCACTCAATCTTTGCTCCCTTCGGTAACGCCTCGGCACTGACGAACAAGAGCGGCACGCGGTCCGCCTCATCCTCCTCTTCCTCTTCTTCGTCCTCGTCCTCATCTAACGCATCCTCCTCACCGCCCCTTCGTAAAACTCCATACCCAACCCTCCACCCCTCCCTAGCCCCCTCCAAACGTCGCTCATAACCCCTCCCCAACCCCTCCTCTCTAAAAGTACCCCCGCTCTCCCTCAAAATCCAACACAAAGCATTCAAAGCCCTACCCCTCCCCTCTCTCGAATTCAACCGCCTCTTCCCAATCGAAGCGATCAAAACCCTCCTCAAATGTTGTAAACTCAAACTCGTCTCTTTCGCGAATACCTCTTCCCCCTCTTCCCTATTTTCCCCCTTCTCCACGACTCCTTTAATCTGATCCTTGATCGTTCTTGTAGGTAAAGGTAATTCCAACGATCGAGGAATCAATCCAATTTGACCGGCCACGTGAACGGATTTACCCCCATCGACGATAACGGATTGTGAATAAGGGCCTATGTTAGCTGAAGCCCAATAAGAAAGTGATTGAACGTGAACGTTCTTTCGTTCCCTTTCGTCGGCGTTGATGAGGAGGGTGCTTGGTGTTGGTGTTGAAGTTCGTGGGTCGAGTGAAGGGTTATATGCTATACCTTCCAATTCGATACGAGGTGAACTTGCGTTCGAAGAAGGGGAAAGTAGTATTCCGACGCAAGCTCTCGTAGGAGGCGCCGTACCGAAATAAGTCGAATAGACTTGGTTGATCCTCGGGAAGAGCTTCATCTTTTCAGAGGAGAGGTAGAGCGTTAAATGGGTGAGGTGTAGGAGCGTCGAGGATTTTTGGGAAAGGAGCTCGATCAACGATTCGAAGAGTTGCTTTACTTCGGATTCGATTGGAAGTTTGGAGGAGGAGGGGGTCGGGGAGGAGAGTGAGAGGTTGGAAAAGTGTAACCATGGACCGATGGTCGTAATCGTTGGTGAGGAGGGGGACGGGCTGATCAAGATTTCAGCGCGATCGGATGTAAAAGCTCGTGGGTCGAGGGAAACGCTTTCGAGCGTGATAGAATTTCGATACGCTTCCCGAACGGCACGGTAGATCTTCAAGCTTGATCGATCCAACATCGCAGGAACGCTCACCAAGGATCGGAGACGGGCTTGAAGTTGTTCGAACGTCTCGTTTTGAGGATGATTCGGTTTGGGTTCGAGGATACATTCGTCGAGGTGGAGGTGTGCGACGGTCGAATACGGGTCAGAGTTGGAGATGATGGTTGTGGTCTTCTTACTGCGCGTCGGGGGAGATTGGCCAACAAGTGGTCAGCTGTCACCCCCGGGAATGATGAATAGAGACTGGATCCGACGGTACGCACAAGACGATACGCGATTTATAGATGGGGCAATCGACTGTAAAGGTCTCGTATTCCCCGCCTTCGCCGCAGATGTGTAGTTCGTATTTTTTGTTCTGCAGGGTCGCGAGATGCAATAGGCAAGTCAGCGCATATGACTTTGCACTCGGTGGGGAAGGTGATTGATTACCAAGCGGTGCAAGGTTGGTTCCATCTGCTTCAACGATCGACCGAGGTGTTCGACGCCCAAACTAGACAATTCCCAATGTGCCGGTTCAGTATTCCGACCTCGATCCTTTGGGTAAGATGTCAAAAACCTCACCCAGCACCAGCGACTTTGACCAAGACGCTCTCCATCCCCGCTCGGACCATCTCGCCCAACAAGTCGGCTTGATTCCTCTCCCACAAGTAAGCGATGGGCACGAGGCCAAGTCTCGAGCAACTTCATAGCAAGTGGGGGGGGGGGGGGGTACGATCCGTGAGTCAGCAGTTAGTTTCCTGCCAAAAGTGTTTTGTGAGGACATCACTCACACCTGCTCGACTCGTACTCGCTGATAGTTGGAGAGGATGGCGCCGACGGCTACGCCTTGAACGGTCGGTTCTTTTTCCTGCATGATGAATCACAACGAATCAGACCCCGACTTTTCCGCGTAATCTTGATTCAACGACTGACCTTGACATCCCTCAACAACTCGTACATATCTTCCGTCTCATCCTTCTCCTCCCCCAACTCGGACTCGGAAGCCAAAGTCGATGCGGAGCTCAAAGGTTGCCCACTTCGAGAACCGTACGAATTGCCTTGATTGATCGGCGTGCCTGTGATGATGCGGGTGTAGAAAGGAAGGGACAGGGATTCGGCGACGAGGGATAGACCGGAATGAGCGACGGTTTGGTACATGTACGAGTCGAGTTCGTCTGTGATCAAGCCCCGCGAGAGTCGACGGGAGGGAACAAGGAACCAGGCAGTCGAGTGGAACGGAGAGGTAGCGTAGGGAAGTAAATCAAGTTCGAGTGTAAACTTTTGATCATCTCAGGATTGTGATGAATGCCCGACGTACCTTTGCCGTTGCCCGGTCCGAGGGAAGCGACCGCGATCGGTTCGTGTCCGTTGAGGATGCAATGCAGCACGTTGTAGATCGAGTCCTTGCCGCCCGAGAGGAGCGCGACGACCTTCATCTTGCTTAGAAGCCACTTTGAGCAACGTGGCGTTCAGCTGATGAGGGGCGGTGAGGGCGGTGAGGGCGGTGAGGTGTCGAGAGCGCGAGGTGGGGCAGCGGCGAGCGGCGAGCGCGACAGAGCGACAGAGCGACAGAGCGCGACACTGGGAGACACTTTGCAAGCTCGAACGCCGAAAAGCGCAGAGGAGGAGCGCAGAGGCGCCGCGAGTGCAAACTGTTTCCTGCGGTGGGTGGTAGGCCCAGGCTGGAATATTGGGCAGGAATCACGTGTCGCACGCGCCACCACCACTACGGGAGACTACGTGCGCGTCGGAGCGGCTCAAGAGCTCGTTCGTCCTCGGTCCGCGTGCGCTCGACCGGATCTCACTCCCGTCCATTCCCCAACCCATGACCATCTTCACAGCCGCCCCGTACGCGATTCCAACCACCTCGACACCGTATCCTTCCCGACCCAGAAGAGGCCTTCCAACGCACGTGTCCTCCTCCCCGTCGACCTCTCGAGCGTTGTTGCGACGCCTCAACGCGCTGCTCCTTAAAGAGCACCTCCACCCTCCCCAACCTCGTACCGCACTTGCACCCGTCTTCTCTTTGGCCGAGTTGACGCCGGATCATCTTTTGGGGCTACTCGAGGTCATTTTGGCGACGAGCTTCGACCTTGGTCCAGAGCGAGAACGCGACGGGGACGATCGAGGCGATGAGAGTTGGCAGTTCGTCCTCGATGATGATGATGATGATGGTGGTGGTGCAGGAATGGACGAGCACAAACTTCAGGACGAACGGATCCTACGCTTCCTCATACTGGGTTTACAACAAGCACTCGAAACTACATCTTTACCAGAACGTGAGATTAGAACGATGCTCGACGTCCTACTCGCCGAGATCGACTCGTCCCATCGATTCGGAGGTTCGAACTCGACGAGGTCCGGCGTCAAGCTCATCCAACGGAAAGAACACATCATCGCGTGGATCGTCGCGGGCTTGTTTGAGATCGAGGATCGATTGCTCGACCCTCTCGATACGCAGCTCGGCCACTATACCACCGTCGACCGAGGCCAAGACTCGTCGCACATCGTCGCCGAACTCGGGATCGCGACGACGGGGTCAACTTCCCGAGGTACGACATCGGCCACGCCGACCACTCCCCGAAGGTTGCTCTTTCGTGATTCGCATACGCAGCCTCGAACCACGATGACTTCACCCTTGAAGCAAGCTTTGACAACGTACCTCCCTCCCTCACCTTCGCCTCGACTGGAAACCACGCCTCGTAAATCCATCGTCGGACTACTGCGAAGGGACAAGCAAGCAAGAGCGACGAGCCCGAGTCCCAAATCCAAGAGGCAGAGTCTGGAAACGTCCTCGTCGTCGTTGGTGTTGGTCAAGCCCGAGATGGAAAGTTACGAACGGTCGAGACCAAGGGCTTCTTCGATCGTTGGCGTCAAGATGGCTCGTAAGAGGGACGTGTCGGACAGCACTGGTGAATCCGATTTGGATTTGAGCGAACGCACATGCGACTGCGAGACGGAGGGATATCGGGAGACGGGTGAAGGGGATCAGACAGAGGCCGAGTGTTCATGCTGTACCCACATGGATGACGGAACCGAGACTCAAGAGGAACTTGTCGATGCCGTCCCGATTCAGATTGATCGCCTTTCTGATCGACCGCTCGATGCGAGCGCTCAACGTCCAAACTGGCACCTAACCGTTCCCGAAGAATCGAACGCCAAGCTCTTCCCTCCAGCTCGTTTCGTCGCTACACCGCTGAATAGGCACTCACCAACCTCATCTTCGTCTTCATCGAACGAGGACGAATATGTCGTCAATCTGAGGAGGAAAAGGCAGCGTGACGAGGTGGAAAAGATCAAGTTGAGGTCGTGTGGGCTGGACACGGATTTGGAATGTGGGCCAGGCTGGGTCACGGGTTGGTCAGAGAAGGAGCTCCGAGGAGTGGGAGCGAGGAGATGACGTCGGTGGAATCGGTTCCGTTGATATACGTGTTTTTTGTTGTTGTTGTTCAATCATACTCGAGTTTGATGTTTGTTCTCTCTCATCGGGATGCTTTTTGCTCGAAATTGAGAATGCTTTCGCGGACTGGATCACTCCCCGAGCCCGTCGTCTTGGTAACGGATCAACGCGTTCTGGCATTGCCTTCCTTCCCACTTTGGATGCTTCAAACACAGTTGTTTCTCTCACGGTCATCGAGTGAGCCAGGTGACGGGTGGAGTGTCGATACAAGTCATTGCTCGCTCTTCGTGTGCTTCCTGAGCCTGCTTCAGCGCGGTAAAAGGTTCCAGACGGCTGAACTCAGCAGAAGTTGACGGCGCTTGCCCGGGTTCAAAATGATCGTCCGAAAAGACTGCAGCTGCTCTCACCGAGAACGGAAGCAACGACACTAGTGTCATCCGTTGTGATGCAGTCCAATTGATTTCATTAATATTGTTGATGTTGAGTAAAGCCAAATCCGGGAGTCGTCTATAAGCAGCAGAATCGCAGTCCGCCGCCGATCCGATCCGATCCGATCCGATCCGAGTCGCCTTTCGCCTGACCTCTCTTGACACCTTCCCGACTTAGTTCTCGCTCTCGTTCTCCCTTCCCAAACCGTCTCACCCGGACTCTCTCTCAAAAAACATGCCATCAGACCAGCCACGATGCCGATCGCGCTCCCCTAGCTCTTACTCACGCCATCACTCCTCTCACCGCAGCGGCCAAGCCGGATCGTCATCATCATCTCGTCACCGTTCCTCTCGCGACGACGATGATGATCGAAGGAGATCACATTCATCCCGATCCAAGTCCCATCGAGATCGATCACGATCACGATCACCATCACGGACAAGTTCACCTGCACCTCGTCGAAAACGAGGAGAGGACGATGATGAAGCGAATGACCGGTCAAGTGGGGAAGAGTATCCTGGACCACCGCAAGGCGTCGGCCAACTCGATGAGAGCGACTTTTACCTCAAGAGCAACGAGTTGAGGCTTTGGTTGCTTGAGCAGAAGAATAAGGTGCGTGTTGAGGGGCAGGAGGTGTGATTTCGTATGAAGCTGACTGTGGTGGGGTTTGATTGGATAGCGATTCGATACGCTGCGAAGCGAGGATGCCAGAAGGTACGTCATCACCTCATTCACCAACATACTCGGATCCCCAGTGCTGACTCGGTTTTCTCTACAGGTACTTTCGCAAGTTCATCAATAAATGGAACCGAGGACTGCTACCAAGTAAGCCAAAACCGAACCGAACTGATCGAGAGAGCCGGCCATCAGCGCTGATCCACATACTCTTGTCTGAGCTTTCTTCAGCCAAATTCTACCAAGGCATTTCGTCCGCCTCTCTTCCCACAACGGTCTCTTCCTCCCACTCGTGGTCATTCTCCAAAGCTACCCAACGCGAACTCGACGACGCGTCCTACATTCGTAAATCCATCGATACCGGTCACCACAAACCTTTACCCTCCACCTCGACCTCGGCCTCGGCTTCCCGATCCGTCGTCGTCGGTCCCACGATGCCTCCGGTTACTTTGGGACCTACGATGCCTTCCTCCCGATTGGATGCACTGAGAAGTAATCGCGAAAGGGACGCGAGCGAACGAGAACGGTCGAAAGCGCTCGACAAGGCCGAAAGGAAGAAAGCGGCGAGGGAGGCGAGGGAGGAAGAGAAAGATGGGAGAGCGACGGGGAGGGAAAGGCAGTTGGAGAAGAAGAGGGAATTTGGAGAGATTAGGAGGGAGATCAAGGAAGGGAAGGAACCGGGGATGGTGGAGATGAATGAGGAGGATTTGGGATTGGTCGGTCCTGGAGGTGGGGGCAGCTTTGCGGCGGCGTGAGTTGCGGGTGAAGTGGTTGAGGTCTCGGACGAAGCTCGAGTACTGATGATGCGTTGCATCCAACAGTGTTGCGGCAAGGGATCAAGGGCGAAACAAGTACCAAGGCAAGAAGATGTCGATTCGGGAGGAAAAGCAAGCGGAAATGTGAGTCACTCTGATCCCGACTCGACCGTTTATCTTGTGGCTCGACACGAGGAGCTCTCGTTGACATGCTCGATCCTACAGGCAAGACAAGTTGCAAGCGATGCGAAGCAAGGAGGATCAAACAATGGCTTTGTTGAAGCAGATGGCGGCGGAACGGTTCGGGCCGAAGTAGTTGAGGTCGGGTGAAATTGCAAACCCAAGTATTTGGGGCCAAGCTCGAACCAAGCCCACAAAAATCCACCCGACGTGGTCACGTGATTGACAATTTCGAGGTGGCACCTTCAATTTTGAATGAGGACTGCATGCGGTGAATTTTGTTTCCTAGTTAGGTAAAGTTCCCTACCGCTTTTTCTTCGTTGATGTAGGTACGCGCCCTGAGCCTCTGGAAATGGGCATTCACGACTCGGAGCGCTAAACCCGGAAACTCGTCTCATGCCACGCCGAGGCGATTAGGGCTGGGTCACTAATTGTTTTGGCCCCGTCACTAATAGGTGACAAAAGTCGGACCCTCGGTCACTTATTATTGTCACTGTCACTTATGTCACCAGATTTTCGCCTGTCACTAATGTCACTAAGTCCAATATTTGGTCACTAATGTCACTAAGTCCAATCTTGGTCACTAATGTGACTGAATGGAAACGATGTACATTGCACTGTCGGAGGCAAGCTCTAGCACTCAACATAACAAAGTGCGCCAGAGAGACCACGTTACATGGTCATCTCGTCATCAGGTGACCAAAGATCCATCGCTTCGTCTTCCTCGTCGTCCAACACCACTGCTGGGAGCGGAAGCGATGTTTGTTCGCTCCTCAGATGCTTGGTCAGGATCTGGAAATCGACCCACTCGAAGATATCCAGCTGGGCCGGAGTCGTGACCCGGCATTTTCGTGTTGGTAAATAGCATTCCAGACTTGTCATTCACATTCCAGGGTCGCCATCAGGTACAAGCAAGTAGACCGGGTCTAGACCGGTACCTAGTACCTATGGGTACTTAGTGACATTAGTGACAACGATTTCTGGGACCCCCTTGTCACTAATCCGTCACTAATTCGTCACTAATGTCACGTCACTAATGTCACCTATTAGTGACCCAGCCCTAGAGGCGATGCATTGCTGACGCCGAGGCGCCCAGTCGCGCACGCATGCCTTCCCCACGGACGCGCGACGAGGGGCCCGCAGCCGAACCTGAGCGCCTGCTAACGCCTGAGCCTGCCTGAGCGAACTGAGCGCGGATAGGCGCGGATGTTGTGCAGTGAAACGGGTTCTGGCTTCTTGCCTTCAGTCCGTCTGTTCGTCCGTCACCCGTAGCGTATCCCTAGTCCCCAGTCCGCTGTCCAACCCCTTGTCACTCTTTCCGAGTTCTGTGTTCTGTCCCCTTTCCTTCGTCCCTCCTTTGCCCCTTTTGGCTCAACGCCCAACGTTCAATCAACCTCAAAGGTTAGTCGGTCGCCGTGGACGCCGTCGCGAGCTCGCACCACCGAGTCGAGCAGTAACCGATCACAACCATCACCTGCACTGGGCCCTCCGTGTCGGCTATGGTCATTACGAGCCCTATGCTGAACCTTTGCTCGTGTGTGCAGTCAACCGCAACAACAGGATGCTGTTCCACTCCACGTTCCTCTCTCTCGCCTCGGTCGCTCTGCTTTCGGCCTCGACCGTCTCTGCCGAATCGGCGGCGAACGTTGAAGCCTCCTCGGGCGGTCTCGAACGTCGTTCGGCTATGACCAAAGTTGTCACCACCTGCAAGAACGTGAGTGTCTCAGCTTCATCTTTCAACGTCTCTTGTGCGATCCAGGCCGTCTCTCGCGAGAATCTTGACTGATCGACGTGTGTGATGCTCAACCTTAATTCCTTAATTCCCAATTCCTAATGCCGATCAATCAACGGAATATCCTCTCCGGCGTCGACTCGCTCTTCCCGCACCAATTTCAATGCGGTCTACGACAGCGAGGTGAATTTGCCATGACCTTCGATGATGGACCTGTAAGTGTGGACTGTCACACATCGCATTCTGGGAGATCTTCGACCCGCGTGAACTTCATGCCGAGGTAGTCAGAAAAGAGCCGAGCCTAACATACCCCGAATGTCAATTCGACACCAGTATGGCTGGGGATCCGGCATCGCGAAACTGTTCACCAAGTACAACTCGCATGCGACCTTTTTCGTCAATGGGTAAGTGCGCGGTCGCTCCATAGAGGGTGTGGCTTTCGTCGGGTCACGTGCTTAATTCCCAGCACCTCCGTCGGCGAACAGTAACAATTACGACTGCATCTACGACGAAGCTGACGACCTGATCAAGCGTTACAAAGCCGGTCACACCATTGCGGTTAGTAATGCGGAATCCGCTACCTCGAAAGAGAATCCTGTTCACCGGGCTGACTTTGATCTCTCGTTTCCGAACCCCTCTCCATGCAGTCCCACACCTGGGGCCACACCGACGTCACGAAACTGACCGACGCCCAGCTCAACAAGCAGTTGGATCTGGTGAGTTGCTGCTTCTCTCGAAGAGGTACCGTGATCGCTGGCATCTGACATTCGTACGTCACCACAAGGTCGAAACCGCGCTCAAGAAGATCCTCGGCATCAAGCCCAAACTGTTCCGTCCCCCCTATGGAGCGATCAACGAGCGCGCGGCCAAGCTCATCGAGTCGCGAGGCTACACGATCGTCACCTGGGACTTTGACTCGAACGACAGCGATGGACACACGACCGGACCTCAATCCGTCAAGCTGTACAACAAGCTCGCCAACTCGTACCCCAAGCCTCACATTGCGCTCAACCACGAGGTCTACAAGAGCACCGGAGAGACCGTCGTTCCTCAGGTTGTGCCGATGCTCCTCAAGAAGGGTTACAAGGTCGGTTCCGTTGATTCACTTGCGATTGAATGACATGCTCTACGTTCAATCTAACGTCACCTTGTGATCGAACAGCTCGTTACGGTCGACGCTTGCTTGGGCATCAACCCTTACCAGGCGGTCGGCAAGGCCAGCAAGAGGGACAAGACCTGGACATGCCGAGGCACGCCCGGACCAGGCAAGGCCCAATAGCGAGCAAGACCACAGCTGTTCCTTATTGTCACTTCGAGTTCCGCCGGGCATGCCTTAGACTGGGGTGTGCATCTCCGGCCCCTACTTCGTTCTTCGTTCCTTCGTTGTTAATGCATCAAGTCTTGTGTTGGGGTGACTCCCAGCTTGACGTCATATATCCTGACTTGATATGACGAGTCTTTTGTAAAAAAATTACACGTATATACACTCTTAAGGTTCTACCGCGTGCGAAGTGCGCCAACCAGCTGGTTATATCCGTGGAAATCGAGCTCGCCGATCGGCTCGTCCCCGGACGGGCTAGAAACAATAATCGCTTCTCTATAATCAGCAGCCACAAGTACAAAAGTTGGCTCGTTGTTGAACGCCTTCATCAAACAACATTCAAAGCGCCAAAATACGACATCGCGTGCTCGAATGACTACGTTTTGGTGCGCTCGACACGTGTGATGCGGGTCGCGAAGTGCTGCTGGTCAGTCGCCGAGCGCCCCGCCCCCCTTTTCGACGATCCGTGCTGGCCGTCGTCCGCTCGCAAACGGAGCGATCATGGATTTCGGGCGCAAGCTTTATTCTGATCTTTTGGTTGGTGCCGGAGTAAGTCTACACTAGCTCGTAGGACCGCCTATATCGTCCACACGCAGCAAATAGGAGCTAAAAGATTCCGAGCGGATTACCCATTAGGAACCTTCCTGACCTATATTCCGCTGAGGACCGAAAAAATAGTTCTCGAAATAGCGGGACCGACCCTACTAGGGAGGTACCTGCCTACGTAAAAACTACACCTACGGTGATTGGTAACGGTACGTTCTGCGACATGGTTGTCGCACGCTTGTCAAGCAAAGTCTAAATTGATCAAACCTGCCTGCGCCCTTGAGCCCCATTCCGGCGCACGACAGGCGGGCGACACAGGACTCGGACGGGGTTCCGACTCGCAGAACCGGCAGGGCCCCCCGCCGCCCTGATCCACCGAAGTCTACCGGTGCCTAAAGCTCGCTGAAAGTTCACGGCCTCTTGCCTTCGGTTTCGCTCCATCTGTTTGTCCTTGCCCGAAAAAGTCTATTGTCCGACCCCTTGTCACTCGTTCCAAGTCACGTTACCTTTCCTTCACCCTCCTCAGTCTTTCTCCCTTCGTTCATCCTCATTGATCATCCTCAGAGGTCAGTACGGTCAGTCCTTCAACTCCGAGTCGGTCGCCGGAGCCTGCGCTCAGGGCGGCTCGTATTTTTAGACGGCCCTCGCGATCGGAAAGCAGGCAGCATCTGATCCCGAGCTTTCTCGTTGAATACCGGGACACATGTCCCCAGGCCCATACTGAAGAGAAGATATGCTCCATACCCGCAGACCTTCATCGTGTCATTATGCTCTTCCACTCGACGCTTCTCTCTCTCGCCTCGGTTGCCCTGCTCTCGGCCTCGACGGTGTCGGCCGCACCAGCGGCGAACCACGAGTCGGCCTCCGCAGGTGACCTCGAACGCCGTTCGGCTATGGCCCAAGTCGTCACCACCTGCAAGAACGTAAGCATCCCACTTCTGCTCCGTCGTCTAGAACATCTGCCAAGAAACCTATGCTGACTCCTTGAAGTTTTGTCATCATCGCCGATCAATCAACAAATTCGTTCCCCGTCGTCGACTTGCTCTGGCCCTCTCTTGCATTACGCTAGCGAGGAGAATTTGCCATGACCTTTGACGATGGACCTGTGAGTGTGAATTGGCATGGGGTGTGGACGTTGTCGAGCGGTGTTGGCATTGTGTGACTTCACGCAAAAGCTACCCAAAATAGCCCAGACTCATTTACCGGCTTTCGATCCAAAATCAGCACGGTTGGGGATCAAGTATTGCTCAGGTGTTCACCAAGTACAACTCGCATACAACCTTCTTCGTCAACGGGTGAGCTTGCGTCCGCTTCTGTCGGTAGAGAACGTGTGGGCCCTGTGCTGATCCAAAGTCGCTCACCGCCTCCGCAAAAAAGTTACAACTACGACTGTATCTATGATCAAGCTGATGATCTCATCAAGCGCTATAACGCTGGTCACACCATCGCCGTCAGTCTTGGACTGGGCCATATCGAGAATCCGACTTTTGGGCTGACCTCCTGTCTCACCACCGTTCCCGCGCGCAGTCCCATACTTGGAACCATTTCGACGTCACGCAATTGAGCGACGATCAGATTCACCAGCAATTGGATTTGGTCAGTCCACCAAACATTTTGTGTATCATGTTCGTATTTGTCTGACGGTGCAATGTACCCGCAGATCGAAACGGCGCTCAAGAAGATCCTCGGCATCAAGCCCAAACTGTTCCGTCCCCCCTATGGAGCGATCAACGAGCGCGCGGCCAAGCTCATCGAGTCGCGAGGCTACACGATCGTCACCTGGGACTTTGACTCGAACGACAGCGATGGACACACGACCGGACCTCAATCCGTCAAGCTGTACAACAAGCTCGCCAACTCGTACCCCAAGCCTCACATTGCGCTCAACCACGAGGTCTACAAGAGCACCGGAGAGACCGTCGTTCCTCAGGTTGTGCCGATGCTCCTCAAGAAGGGTTACAAGGTCGGTTCCGTTGATTCACTTGCGATTGAATGACATGCTCTACGTTCAATCTAACGTCACCTTGTGATCGAACAGCTCGTTACGGTCGACGCTTGCTTGGGCATCAACCCTTACCAGTCGGTCGGCAAGGCCAGCAAGAGGGACAAGACCTGGACTTGCCAAGGCACGCCCAAGCCCCACGCAGACTAAATCCTCACTGTTGATGCTCCTTGTATTTTGCCTATTCGAAGCCGGTTGTACAGCCCAAGATGCTCTCCTTGCTTTTTTTTTCGTCCTTTCGTTCTCCCACCCCCTTTTTCCGGGCAGAGTTCGTGCATCGCTCTAGGCTTCATGTCGTTTACCTTGGCTTGAGATCATGAGCCACTTAAAAACCTTAAATATCAAAACCTCATTGTTCCACTGGACTCTGGGCCGCCCTACAGCTGCATTCGGCAATTCAGGTGCTCTGCGACCAGCGTCGTTGCCTTGCGCCAATGCTCGGACCCCCGCTCGTTCGTCGCTGCTCGACTCGGAGGGGCTAGTTCCGAAAGCAAGAGACCCGGATGGGCCCGCAAGTGTGAAGAGTATTCGTTACTGAGGGCTTGATTCGGGAAAAAAATACACATTTTGTTCCTACACGGGCTAGCCGTATCCGATGCGAACTGGTACATCTCGCTCAACTGCTGAGCTAGGAAGCCGGGAAAACCGGGCGCCGCTTTTCTTCGGTTGATCGAGGGTGCCGCCGACCTTGTTTCGGCTTCATTTTGAAGGCGTCATTCCATATTTTTAGCAGACGGGACGTTGACAATGCCTACCACCTACCTAGAGTTTCTTCTTGTATATGCGTTGCCAATTTGGATGTCCTGCCCTACTGGGCGGGCCAGACTAACCTCGGTCAACGGCAGCGGCATGGGAAGCTGGAACCCTTCTGCTCGAAATAGCCATTGGGTGCATCGGCGTCCGCAAGCAGGACGGGCCTCGGACCGCCCAGTCGTATTTACCTCCTCCGGCTTTCTATGCGCCAAACTTGGGATGCGCCCCTCACTCCGCCTTTTCTCTCGCGCGCCACACACAGCAGCCCACGGCTCCAGCGCTCCAGCGGGCTAGCACAGCATCATGCCAATTTTGAGCGGCAAAAGCATTGCCAGAGCTAGATGTGATATTTCTGTATGCTGTTCAAAGTTTCGTCTGCATGTTCGGTCTTCGCACATCCCTTTACCTTCCCATTAACTCGTGCTGCACCGATTCTCGTGAGTTCACCGTCGGTGTTTCGTGTCTCAAGTTCAAAAGGGCAGTCCTTGTCGATCCCTCGATCACACTCGCGAGGTCCAGGCCATTATTGAAGCCACGTTCTGTCGCCGCGGACCCGGAGCACCGAAACGACGGCTACGCGACCAATTGCGAGACCTCTACCGAAAGGGGAGGACCAGTACCAGATGGGATCTCGTTTTCTTCTTACCTACGCGTGCATAACAACTGAAGCTCATTACCGTGGACTGTAGTTGACTATCTGGTACATCGACATGTTGCTTGGCTCGTCGACGTCGCTGCTCGTCGGATGGCTCGCTTTCGCGACGGCAGTGCGAGGCCTCGCGATTCCTGGATATCCCGTTCACAGTCCCTTCGGCGCGTCGGGGGCGTCGAAACATGCATTGGTTACAAAGTGCAAGAAGGTAGGCCAAGTTCGCTTAGATTGATTATTGTTGTGAGGGCTCGTTCGCTGACATGCACGACAAATTTGCCATCCTCAAACTCGACCCCACTTCAATCGATTCATTCGCTCTCGGGTCACGCCATTGTTGCACCGCTCGGTCAAATCCTTGCCGATTCTGCCGACTCCGGGGACATCCGGATCCATTTTTCTCGCACTCCACCGGACCCAACACACCAGCCAAAACAATTCGCTATGACATTTGATGACGGACCGGTGAGTTGAAGCAGGGTATCGGTGGCCTACATGCCAGGTCGAGTCGGCTGACCCGTTCTGAACGTTTCATCGAGGCAGGATCACCCTGGGGCTGTGATCGCGGATCTCTTCACTCAACATGGCGTCAAGACAACGTTCTTTGTCAACGGGTGCGTGTAAAAACTCGAAGGTAAGAAGAGCTGAAAGCGAAATCGTCGGCTAATGACGGAGATACTCTCTGCTTTAGGTACAACTGGGGGTGCATTTATGATTTCGCCGACGAGATCATCCGAAGACACAAGGCCGGTCACACAATAGCGGTGAGTTCGTAGGCGAATCGATCGGGGGAAAGAACCGCCTGACTGAGACGCATGAGAGCCATCGCAGAGTCACACTTGGAGTCATGTCGACATCACCAAAATGGCGCCCGACGCCCTCGCCCAGCAACTCGACCTTGTCGACGAGGCGCCGTGGAAGATCATTGGCGTCAAACCCAAATTCTTCCGGCCGCCTTATGGGAAACATAACGCCGCCTCGATCAAAGCCGTTAAAGCGAGGAATATGACGACAATCATGTGGTCGTTCAGTTCGGAGGATGCGGTTGGCAAAACGCCCGAACAGTCGCTCAAGGAGTACGGGTCGTTGATGAAGCATTTCCCCGCGCCGGAAATTGCGCTTAACCATGAGATCAAGGAAGGGACGGCGCAGACGGTCGTGCCACATATCTTGCTGCAGTTGATTGTAAAGGGTTACAAACTCGTCACTGTCGATGAGTGCTTGGGTTAGTCAAGCTGCTCGTCATCTGCAAGTTTGATTGCGCGTACTGAAGTTTTACATCCTTTCTGGGCCTAGGTGTCGAGCCGTATCGGGAAGTCGGGACACCCGGGGTGCGGGATGCGACATGGACTTGCTGTAAGTACTTCACGCTGGCCAAAGTAGGTCCGCTGTGATGAGGATGTCCAGCTTATGCTTCCCGAGGCTTTCTCTCTTCGTTTTCTGCAGCTGGGACACCAAGGCCGGGACAGAGACGATGATTCAAGACACAATGTTGCGATTTAATAATCAATAATTAAGTTGTAATCGCATACTGCATTTTGAAACCTCACCCTCGGTTTGCAAGGTCATTGCAAGGGTCTCGTGCGCAGGGGCTCTGGTCTCTGAAACGTCCGCGAACTTCGTTTTAAACATAAGACCGATTGAAACCAGTCGCAGGAGGGTCTGGGGAGCTTCAATGTGCTAAATTCGACTCGTTCAAAGTCCAAGCATGCTTTTCTATAGCCGACCGACGGAGCCAGGCCTCGACGGAAGATCGACAGTGACCTGTCGGTCACCCGCATGACCATTCAAGAGACAGCGGCGACTCTGAGTGCGATCATCGTGCGCTTGACCACGTTACTGCTATGCTAGCCCCAATCACTTGGGAGATCTCTGTCCTTGTCCTGCTACCAGCAAGGAAATCTATGAGCTAAGACTCAAAGGAGTGTCCGCCTTGACCGCGATTAGAGCCGTTGAGACCCGGCCGCGTCCGTCGGACCGTCCGTCTCAGCTGAGGGCGGCGATCCCAATTTCGAGTCAGCCAACGAGGGGACGAGACGCTTTCGATGGATCTACCTCTACGTCGCTTGTCTTTGTGTTCATCACTTCTCTCTCCTCGTATCAACTTGACCCTCTTCCACCCACTCTCGTTCTTCCAAGCTCCATCCTCATCTTCTGATCGGCCATGTATTTCCGCGCCTCCTTCTTTGCGCTTTCGCTTCTCGCCGGATCCAGGGCCCTCGCCAGCGACAACGCGACCAAGCTGATGGTATCCGCTGGATCGAGCCTAAACAATACCAACGGCACCGGGCAGGCGGACGAGTTGATGCATTCCGCTCTGAAATCGGGGAGAGTCTACAAGAATTGCAAGGACGTAAGTGACTCCTTCCCACTCGAAGGGATGATGTGTTCGCTGTTCAAAGAAAGGGAGACCCCTGTTTTCGGCTGCCTCTCCTCTCCCCAGGGCTGATCCTTCCTTAAAACAATCGTGATGCAGCCCAAGAGTTTCGCCCTGACGTTCGACGACGGACCTGTAAGTACTCCTGAACTCATCCGCGGTCTTCTCGGGATTGTGTACAACCGAGACTGACCGCCGTCTCACCCGTTCCTCTCGTTCGTGCGCAGTACAAGTTCGGCGCCGAGATCGCCAAGTACCTCAACAAGCAAAACGTCAAGGCGACGTTCTTCGTCAATGGGTCAGTACACGCATCCAAAATCCGTTTCGATTTCAGTTGAAACTCAAAAGGTTTTGTTTCCGTCTTTGTTCCTCAGCTACAACTATGGCTGCATCTACGACTACGCTGACGAGCTGATCGCAAGGCACGAGAAGGGCCACATCATCGCTGTCAGTATTCAACCTCGATCACACTCCCTAACATAGCACTAAATTTCATTCGCGTGTGTAAATCTACAGTCGCACACGTGGAACCACGCCGATCTCACCAAGTTAACGGAAGCACAAATCCATCAGGAGATCGATCTGGTCAGTTACTCGGCTTCAGATCGATCGCTCCGCGCCGAAGGAGGAGAGCTGATAGTTCTTGAGTTTAATTTTTTGAAAAGGTCGAAGAAGCGCTTTGGAAAATCTTGGGGATCAAGCCTGCTTTGTTCCGAGCTGTAAGTCGGACGTGCGATAGTTGCCATCGAACTAGAATCTTAGACCAGCCTTCTGACCCATCGGGTGAGCTCCTCGCCGCTATTCCCCCCGACAGCCGTACGGAAATCTTAACGACCAAGCGACGGAAATCATCACTTCTCGAGGTTACCACCTCGTTGACTGGGCCTTCGACTCCGGAGACTCAATCGGCGCCGCACCTTCCAAATCTATCCAAGACTACGAAGCCCTTTCACCTTCGAAAGATAAAGGTCCGATCGCGTTGAATCATGAGACGCACAAGAGTACGGCCGAGGAGGTCATTCCTCAAGTCGTGCCAATGTTGTTGAAGAAGGGGTATAAGCTCGTTACGGTTGATAAATGTCTGGGAGTGGAGCCTTATCAAAAGGTCGATTCGGGTAAGGGAACGAAGAAGCTTGGTGGACCTGAGGATAAGGATACGCAAAACGAGGCGCCCGACTTGCAACAGGAGAAAACTCATCAGCGTTGGGCTCGTCATAACCAAAAGGCGCATCCTCGTCATCATGATCAGCTCCACGACAAGAAGGGGTACAAGTCGAACAAGGGTCATAAGGGGGACAAGCATCACAAGGAAGACGGGCACCACGGCCACCCCAGGGACCACAAGGGACATCGCGACTCGCAACACGAGGCTGGTCATTCCAGAGCTCCTAGGGCCGGCTTCCAAGGGACTCCCGGAAAGAGAGACGAGACCTGGACTTGTGGTGAGTGCAGAAATAGGCTAGAGCCCTTCCCTTGACCTGATCTAAGAAACTGATTATTGTCTTGTCTGTGTTGTCGCCAGCCAACACCCCAGCTCCTGGCTCGATGTAGACGGATCAAGATTGATTAAACTTCCTCACAGCCTGTGCAGACTCGAGCCATTCTGCCATTCAGTAGACACTATCCCTCATTTTGTAATTCCATCCAGTCCATCCTCCTTTCTATACATGCCCTTATGCAAAGCGTCCGGCTCACTCCTTTTCGTCGAAAAAAAAATCTTCGATTCGCCCCCCAACTCCGCCGATCATTGGTCCTTCTCCGCTCTCAACTTTCTCACCTCCTCCCCCAACTTCTTAACTTCCCACAACACCTCGTCCAACTTACTTCTGTCCAAATTCGGTAATTCCTTCTTCAGATCTTCGAACTTGACTTTGGAAATCAACATCCCTTCCGGTTCACTGGCTCCTAAATCGTCTTCTTGCGAATGGGGTGAGGGGTCTTCGTCCGAGCTGGTGAATTCGTCGGGTTCGATGGTGAGAGATTGGTAGTCTGATGAACGACGCGAGGAATGCGTGGATTCAAAGAGCGCGATGAAGCAGCTGTTTACAGTCATCGTGTGAGCTGCTGGTTAATTGGCGCAAGGGGTGAAGCGCTTTTTACGTACAGGGGTATGAAGAAGACGATGCTCATAAGGATGCGGTTTAGCTTCTTGTACGCTTCTTTCGATAAGATCATTTCGAGAGGGAGGATCAAGAGCTCGATCACTTTTACATGCCAAACGACAAGTCACCTGATTAGTGAGATCCCGAAGCACGAACGACTCGGGTCCAGGCACGAATTGGACTCACAGTTGAAAGGGGCCGGATATACGTATTGATCGGGTGCGCGAATAGCCGAGATGGTCTTGCCCGAGAAGAAGGCGAGGAAGGTCGGTACGGCCTCGTCGGTGCATTCAGCATAGGCCGAGCCGAACAAGGCGACGAGGATGTTGAGTAGGATCACGAGCGTCAGGACGGACCATGCATACTGGGATCCAAATATCGCACTTTGAGTCAGTAGTTTATAAAGGGGCTTCCAGGGAATGATTGAAACCGACTGACGTAGAGGATCATCCCGAAAGGGTACGAATCCGCACCCCTGGCGTAATCCTCAAATGTCGGACTTCCCAACAGCCCTTGAACGAGAGAATGAATGACTGCCTCCGTTGAGGCATTGCTATCGGGTTTGGTATTGTCGAGGCCGGTGAGGGCTTGTCCGAACCCGATCGCGAGGAGGGCAAGCAGCGTGAAGAACACGGCGGATTCTTTGAGCATGCGGAAGGTGACTGCAGACGGAATTGGTCTGGATCAGTTACGTCTAGTCCACGGGAGTTTGACGTGAAGGAAGACCGACCAATTTGCAAGGTGCCGAAGTATTGGACTGCCGCACCGCAACAGTAAAAATAAGCTCATCAGCCCCTGTTGTCTACTCAATCGTCCTGAGCCTCCAACTCCCAACTCACAAAGATCGAAAATGGTCAACAACTTCATCCAAATCAACGGCGCCGCACTCGAAAGGAACTGGAAGCTCAGCAGACGATAGACCTCGGACTTGTGCGCGTCGTGGGTCATGGTATCGGCGACGCGGTAGCAGAAGGCGATTGCAAGGAGGGTGTAGATGCCATAGTTGACGATTTGCCAGAAGCCAAGTGCCGCGAACCAACCGATTTTCCAGAGCTGTTGATAAATAAAGGTGGAGGGAGGTCAGCTTGTGCGAAGAAAAACGAGGAACTTAGTCCAGGTGACGCACTTTTGTGAGATCTTCGAGCAGGTAGCCGAGCAATTGGATATCTGGAAACCTCAGATCCAGTTCAGCAACACGATCTCAAGAACGTGTCGCCTTTTTCCTCCAACTCACAAAGAACGAAATCCTCTAGTCCGAAACCACGATCGGGGGTCTGGATCGCGATGGTGTAGCAGACGAGGAATAGGGCCCACAAGCAGATGCGGAAGAAGAACTGGTAGCGAGGGACACCGACACGATCTGGGTCGAAATGAGCTACGAAGCCCGATGCTTCGATGGCGGGTTTGTACTTTTATAAAGAAGAGTTCAAAGTCCAAGAGATTCGGGTCAGCTGGCTCCCGGTAGGTTGGGATGTGCGTCCGGAGAGGGACTGACGGGCTCGTAGACGTTCGTTCCATCGGTGCTGATACGTTGAACGAGCAGACCTTTCCACAACGCAAATACGGTGCGTTGGGATTCACCCGACGAGAGGAAGAACGTCGCATGCTGATCGACAGCCGATTCGAGAGCTGAAAGTGGGGACGGAGGGGCTCCTTCAGCCACTCGTCTCGCGTGGGAACCCAGCTATAAAACTCGCCTGAGAGAGGTAGACTCTCATCTCCATCGGCCTCGATAACGGTGAATCGACTGCTCAAAAGGCGGTACTGCTCCTCCATCGCTATGAAAGAAACCAACACGTCTCAGCTCTTTCCCATCCGGCTCCGCTCCGCAGACCCGACTCACGGGTCCTGTTGACCAACTTCCTTGCCAAAGCCTCGCACGCCAACTTTCGAGCTTCGTTCTCATCCGAATCACTCGGGTTCAAATACGCCTGTGAACACGCTCAACCCCATCAGCAATCATCCCCCCTCTGCCAGACCGCGCGCCAAGCCTTTTGCCTCCCCAGCGAGCAGCCATGTGGGGGCCGGCGTGGGTTGGGCAAAAAACGAACCTGTTGGCGGAAATACCTCCTCGCTTCGAGCAAGGCGAAGGGAAGACATTGGTCAAAGTCTCCGGCGATCTTGGAGTAGGCTTCGACGACTTGTCGAGTCAGGATAGCCGAGACCGGACTGGTCAGTTCGTCTGGTTCGACGTAGAGAGGAGACGGGGGAGAGTAGCGAAGGAGCGTCAGTCAGCCAGCCAGCCCGCCGAGCCCGCCTACGCGGTCATCGTCGGCGTCATCGAGAAGACGACTCGACCCCAACACGGACCCCAACACGGAGCACGCGCTCACCGAGGTCGACCTGGATGGGCAGCAGCTCGAGGGTGAGCGCCTCGATACGGCGTACGATCGCAGTCACCGTTCTCGGATGGTACACGGGGTCATGGTCGTGGTCGGCCGTGGCCGTGGCCGTACGACGGCTATGGCGAGACCCGGCGGAGCGGAGCAGCAATGGAGCCTCGAGAGCCGAGACTGGCGACGAAGAAGAGTGTAAGAGTGTCAGAGCTCAGGACATGTCGGCAGCGCAGCACCTCATGGGGTACTCACTCGCTTGTTCAGCTGAACGCATGGCGTGTCGATAAAGGCACAGTGGGCGCTCGTGCGACCGACCGAGAGGACAGGAGCGAGAGGTGGTGTGCGCCGCAGAGAAAGGGAAGCTGTTCAGATTCAGATTGATTAGATCGGTGATCGGCGCTTCTTCTCGGCCGTGACCGAGGCTACGATACGTCGTCACGTGTGGGGGAACGGGCATTCGCTTCGCCCGGAATCAAGCCTGTCGGCTAACCAACGCGACTTGTGGATTAAAATTTGGAAAAGCGTTCGCTTTCATGCGGTCATAATCGAGAGAAAAAGAACTTCGACGACTCCTTGGAGACCTGTACGTAGAAATTGCCGTCGGGCGACCACCGATCGCTCTGTGCGTGGATCGGTATCTTGAAAGTTTCACTCTACTTTTGACTACTGTGGTATGCACCACATCGATAGTACCTAGTTCCATCGAGCAGTGAAACAGAAAGTGGCCCACGTGATGAAAGGAGGGAGAGAAGTGAAAGAATCGAGCCGTTCGTTTGGCGAAGTCTTTTCCGTGCTGAATCTGGACAAGCCAAGTGCAAATGGGCACCGGGCATGCGTTGGTGCCTCGTAATGTCTCATAACGATAATTATTCACCTGCCTGCCTAACACTTAGATGCTCATGTAAATGATTGCCTCTGAACATAGGTACCGAGGTAGATACTGAGCATTTCCGACTGCCGAAGCCGTGTAGACCTAGCCTCAAGGCACCGAGTTGCCGAAAAGGGGTCGGTTGTGCACTTCAGGCGAGTCGCCGGTGTGAACCTGAGGTTCGGACGACCCTCGAATTTCGAGTGGTAGCGTTCAAGTCTCGACGGTGTTTCATTCAACTGCTGCCAGTCGAAGATGCACGGTGTAGTGCCTGCGCGCGCCGAAAGCGATGAAGCGTCGCGCAGACGTCCGAGCCCCTAAGTCAAAAATGGGTCACCTATCATCAACATCAAGTCGTTGAGAGTCTCGGTAGCTTTGGCTGATTCAACTAAGATCTTCAACGTCTGGGGTTGAAACTGTGGAGACGCATCTGCGGAAGGCTGATAGCAGCGAACCATCTCGGAGAGCTGTAATCCTTTTGTCCGTGGAATGGTCAGTGTCACGTGATCTGCCGTTGCCGTCGGCGTGCCGGGATCGCGGAGCCGGGTCGATTTTCTTTCCCCGGCGCGGGCGTCGTCAGTCTTCCTCTGTTGAGCTCGTTCAATCACCACCGCGGTACCGTCCAGTCTCGAATTGGTCCCGTGCCGACTTCGAGTGGTCAAGCGCATCTCTCTCAAGCGACGAACCTCGTGGGTGGATCTCGACGCCATCTGCAACTATACCCGGCCTGAATCGGACTTAACAAGCTCGAGATCGCCTTCCGCTCATCGCATCGGGTCCCATTTCCATCGACACGCTTACACGTTGTGATCCCCAAGATGAAGCCCCGGATCCCCTCACCTCGAGTTCTCCTACGGTGCTCGTCCCTTCACGCCAGGACTACGCTCGCACGCGTGGTCCCTCGTGCGATCCCTCGCCGCTCTCTGTCCTCATCCTCGTCCTCCCTGCCCGCGACGCACAACACCCCTCTACACCAACTATTCGACGTACCCCTCAACTCCTACGCCTCCTCTCCCACCTATTCCTCCAATCCAACCGGTCTATTCCTCCAACCGGTACTCACAACCCCGTCTTCCTTCCCCGTTCTAGCGCATCGCACGACCCTGCGCGCACAAATCCTCGTCCAACGAATCTGCGACCCTTCAACCTACGCCCAAACGACCGTCCAAGACCTCGCCCAAGCCGAACATGCCTTCTTGGCGATGGTCAAAGATCTCGATCGATTGAGCGACCTCTTGTGCGGGGTGATTGATTTGGCCGAATTGGTGAGGAACGTTCATCCCCAGGAAGAGTGGAGGTCGGAGGCGAATGAGGCGTATGAAGGGTTGTATGCGTATATGAACGAGTTGAACACACATGTTGGACTCTATCAGGTGAGTTAAAATGTGTTGACTTTGGGAGCAAAGGCATGAGCTGTTCACGCTGAAAGACTACTTCAGGGCCTCAAATCACTTCACTCGCTCCTCCCTGCGACGACCCCTCAAAAATCACCTGAACTCTTCGCCGCTTATGCAGTCGCCACGCCTTTCTTACGTGATTTCGAAAAATCAGGCATACACCTCCCGTCTCTCCAACGTACAAAGTTCGTCGACCTCTCAACGGAGATCTTGCAATTGGGGAGGAAATTCTTGATCAATGCCGGTGAACCTAGGGAGGGCGTTCAAGTGGGCTTCAAGGAGGTGGAGGAGGGGTTCGGGAACGCTTTTGCACGGAGGATCTTTGGTGAAGAAGCTCAAGGGAATGCGGTTGGATTCGTTGATCCGATCAGTTGGGAAGGTCGCGTTCTCGCTCGACAACACCCTTCCTCTGAATTGAGGAAACGGCTCTACCTCGCCACGCACCGAGCGCCAGATCAGAGTCATCTAGAAACGTTGGACAACCTCTTGATCAAACGGGGTGAATTGGCGAGGTTGGTGGGCAGGGACTCATGGGGTCAAACCGTATTGGAGGACAAGATGGCCCAAGATCCCGAGAACGTCATGGGCTTCCTGGACGCTTTGGATGCGCATAACCGACCTTTGGCGCAAAAGGATCTCAAGAGGTTGCAGGATCTTAAACGACAGATCGAAGGAGGTGAAGGAAGGATCGATGCGTGGGATCGGGACTTTTATTCAGACCTCGTCAACCAAAGACCTTCACCGATCCCGGATTTGGCACCCTTCTTCTCCGTCGGGAGTTGCTTTTCCGGCCTCTCCAAGCTCTTTGAACGTATTTATGGGATACGGTTCGAACCCGAGGAAATGCGACAAGGGGAAGGATGGGATCCGAGTGTTAGGAAATTGCGCGTTGTCGATGATCAGGAAGGGGAGATTGGGACCATCTACTGCGATCTCTTTGCGAGGGAGGGGAAACAACCTGGAGCGGCGCATTATACCGTGAGGTGTTCGAGGAGGGTCGATGATGATCGACGTGATGTGGATTTCGGGGGCAGGGAATTTGTCGACCTTCTTGCAGGGGAGAGGGTGTACAAAGCTCAAGCGGAGGAAGGTTTGTTGGACGTCCCGACCGTCGAATGGAATGGGAGGGAAGGGAGGTATCAACCGCCTATCGTGGTGTTGGTGTGCGCGTTTGGTATGGAAGGGGAGTGGCAAAAGGCGACGAGGACTTGTCTGCAGTGGCACGAGGTCGAAACGCTGTTCCATGAGATGGGCCACGCGATTCACTGTGAGTTCTCGATCCGCGGAAGGGCATGGTATCTCTCGGCCGAAGAGATCACTCATCGTTCGTTGGAAATGATGTCAATGTTCACAGCCATGATCGGTAGAACCTCTTACCACAACGTTTCCGGTACCCGCTGCGCAACCGATTTCGTCGAGTTCCCTTCGATCCTGATGGAACACTTCATCACGTCCCCTTCCGTGCTCGACCTCTTCGCACATCACCCTGCCTCCGGTCGACCTATTCCTCGTTCGATCCTAAATCAGATGTTGGTCGATCGCTCGACCTTCTCGGCGTTGGAAACGACAAGTCAAATCATGATGGCCGCATTGGACCAACGTTACCACTCGGGTATCGTAAAAGCCGGTTTTTCCTCCCGCGATGAACTCGCTACAGTAATGAAGCGGTACCACGTCCTACCACCACCTTCGGACGCTCAAGCCGATTGGCACCTTACGTTCGGTCATCTCTTTGGCTACGGAGCGACGTACTATTCCTACCTGTTCGATCGGGCGATAGCGGCCAAAGTGTTTGGGCAAAAGTTCGCGGAGGATCCTTTGAATCGGGAGAACGGGGAGGAGTTGAAGAAAAGTGTGTTGAGGTGGGGTGGGGGGAAAGAACCCTGGGAGATGATTGGGGAGTTGGTAGGGGAGGAGGAGGTGATGAGGGGTGGAAAGAGAGGGATGGTCGAGGTCGGGAGGTGGGGCATCGAGGAGGCCAAACAAGGCAAGTAGGAGTAAGTGGGACTTGTAGACGGATTGTCAAGATGTTGTACCACAAGAAACAATCGATTTTCAAAATCTGATTTGTTCGGAAGAGCGAGAACTACGCGGCAGGTGGCGAGTTGATCATCTCGAAGACAAGTACAACAAGCTTGATTGCGTGATCATCACATACACTCGGGTTATCCAACAAAGAAGCTCCTACCACTCCTCAAACCCTCCACCTCCTCCTCTTCACAACCCCACCCCCACCTCCACCAGCCGTCGTCGTATTCCCCTGCAACCCTCCCACGACCGCCACCCCTCCATTCGCAGCCATCAACGCCTCCTCCAACGCACTCTGGTCAATCTCCGTCGTGCCCATTTTCAACTTCCAAACCGGTTTATTCCTCCCCTGTGCCGTCGGGTTCGCGATCTTGTTCGCGGAAGAGGAAGCGAAGATGGGTTGACTGGCCGTTTTGGAGGAATACCATTCGGTCGAGTAATCGACCACGTCCAATTCTTCGCCATTGCCAAGCAGTCCTATTCCGTCCGATCCGTTCGGCGCGGAAGGGTTGAAGACCGATTGTTGAGGACGGGCGGATGTGCGTAGGATGAGGTTGCGTAAGGAGGCGGCGACTTGGGTCGAGTCGTTTTGGCGTGATTGGAGGGTCGCGAGATGGGCCAGGGCCAGGGGAGAGGGTTCTTGGGGTTTGGGATGGTGCGTTAGGTTCGGTGGGACAAATGGAGCTGATAGAGTTGGGGTAGGGTAGGCCTGCGAGGAGGAGAGCGGCGGCGAGTGGGTTTAGTGTGATAGAGGAAAAGGCCGAATAGATCTTTTGAGTAATGTACTGGAGTGACTCTGAAACTATGCTTGTTGGGCAAAGCAGGCAAGCCCGGGAGGTCACTGAGCGCATCTGACGTCCTCTTTGAAGCGATCGTTTGCCCCGTAACGATACCGGATGCAATCGCTGCCGGCGTCGAGTTGAAGATCTTGGTAAATTCCTTCTCCCTCTCCTCCCTTTCGTTCTGTTCGCCTTCGTCGTCGGAGCCGAGCAGTGGTCCAGACGGAGACGAGCGCCGCTTGGTCGAGCGTTGGAAGCGCAGTTTGGGCCATTCCTCTGCATCGCGCAGGATAAACAAAGGTATGAGTACAGTGTATCAATCCTTGTACCCGGTCATGGTCTGACCTGATGGACGATGCTTGGTACGCTTGACCTCCTGCACGAGCTCGAGTTCGGCTCCGACGCCTAGCCTGCGACAGCTCTCGACAAGATCCTTGACGTTGGGTCGCACGCGTTGCGCATGGTTCGCTAGATCGTGTGCCAGTAGCAGTGCACTACCAAAGACTGCGTGTAGAATCGAGGGAATACGGTGAAGTCGTTCGAGGCGGATCGAGTCAGCTCTGGGTCTTGCTCTCCCGCTGATCCGATAGCCGAATCCAACGACATCGCCAACGCACAAGTGAACAAGCACGCCTCGATCTCTTCCCACGCGTCCTGTTGCGCACTATCAAAGCCCACGTCCTGCAGTTCACGGGCGACCAAACGGCGTACGACGTTGGCCGCGACGGAGGGGGGCAACGTCGTCGTTTGGCCCTCGTATTCCTCGTGCAGTGTGGAGGCAGTTGAGGAGGTGGATGAAGTGGACGCTGTGGGAGATGGTGGGGCACTGTCCGCGTCCATGGTCGCGATTGGGGCGAGCAGGAGAGAGCAAGAGAGAGCAAGCGCGCTGGCGTCCTTACGCGATGAGCTCACATCATCCGCCCAAGCCGGACAGAGCAGGACCGAGCATCAAGACGTCCAAGCGCAAAAATCGGCCCCGGAGAGAGAGAGATCGACCGATGACGATATCGCGGAGGGATGAACTACGACTGAAAAGATTCTCAGTAAATGCCGTTCCTTGAACAAGAAAAGTGCCAAAGGCCGTCACAGTCGATCGGTCAGCTACTATGAGCCTCTCTCGACAAAATCCCAAACATTACATTACATTCATGATTGAGCCCCGACGTAGCAAGTCAATCCTCTTTGCTGAAGCGAAAAGTATGTTCCGTACTGTGCTTGATCGAAACAATCTGTGTTGAGACCAAGGACAAGGACAGAGTCCCGAGACTTGATCGGCGGCCGGGGCAGATCAAGCTCCTGAGATCCTGAGCGTGGGGGGGGGGGGGGGGGATTCGCCGAGCGGAGATTATCAAGCTCTCGCCGGGGCGGCCGGTTGCGCTTCCGCTCTTATATTGTGCACCACACACACACTCTTGCTCCCTGGCTCCTCGGGAACAGATTCGCCGGAGTAGATGAATCCTTGTATAACGTCGGTCCCCTACCCATTGGAACCTGCGTTACACTCGCTGCGTCGACCGGCGTTGCTGCAGTGGACACTTGAAAACGTGCTTCGATGTCGCCGATGCTTTCGATTTCGATCGGCCAGCCACTCTCACCCGAGGCACTGGCACAGATGGCCGAAAGCAAGTGTTCAACCTCGATGGACCCAGCGACGCGCTTGGCTCGTTTAAAAATCGTCATATACTGGCATAAACATGAACCGCTTGCTTGGGACCGCTTCGTCGAGTCGATCGAGCGCAGCATCTGCAACGTTCAAGCTCTTCAAATCTGACCTACCTTGGCGTGCAACAATTCACCGCCGATGAGGACGACAAGTGTCCTTACCCGATTCTGGGGATCAGACTACTATATTTACTTGAAAGCCAAATACGAGAGGGAATCCGGCGACAGGTCGGACGAGTTGCGATGGGTTCACTGCAGGTGGGATGGCGTGAGTCATGCAAGGAACGAGGGCTCGAAGTCGTCCTTGAGTTGGTCATCAGTCCTGTGCCGGTTTCGAACAGCAAGAACGCGTGGTCAAGAGTCGCTTGGAATGATCTAGAATCCGATCAGACAATGTTTGACTTCGAGAACGACTCCGAACTCGAGGAGTCCGAGGACTCCTCGAGGACTCGGAGGGTTATAAATCTGGATGGGAATGCATTTCGGGAGAACTTGGGGAAGAGAAGGAAAGCATACGTGAAGATATGGATGTCTAGACCTTTGATGAAGCTGCATTGGACATTTCACACACTGAGTTTTGGCTCGCGAGGCGCTTTCCTGACCGTGTTGAAAGTGCTCGACGTCATGTGGGGCCCCGCCCAATCCAAGCGAAGGATCGACTCTTCAACGGGACTGCCCGTTCACTTACTGACAAGGCGTTTTCTTCTAAACTAATTCTATCTCGTCATGTCTAGATTAGCCAGGGTGTTGTCTGAGCACACGCTTGGGGTCCGAGCTGGACGAGCCAGGCCCATGGGCCAGGTTGCGATCAAGGGCGTATGCACGCGCGCGGCGAGTCCCTTGTCATCTCTTGCTATTGCCCAGCTCGCGAACGAACCAAGGTGGTGTCGACCTCTCTTAACGTACAACAACAAGTTCTCGTTTCCAACTTTCAGTTCCACCAAGGTCCTGATTTCCGGATGACGACCCGACTCGCCATCGCGCAGTGCCTTCCGACCGAGATCATCGAGCACATCGCCCTCTACGCAGCGCCCTGGCGGGTCAACCCTCCGTACGCCGAGTACATCTATGCTCAACACAGCCCCGAGACAATCAAAAATGCTTCCATGACCTGCCGATCTTGGAGAGCGGGTTTCGGGCGTATGAGGTGCCACACGGTCTTCTTGAACGACAACCCATTCACTCAGGCCGACGCTCACGACTTCGTGCGGTGGCATCAGCAAGTCAGGCCGTATCCGGTGCGAGTCTTGATCTCCCGATCCTTCCGTTGTTTCGATAGCTTGGAGGAAAGCCTTGGGATCGTGCTGCGATGCGTCGGTACGACACTGCGATCTCTCGTGCTGTCCGCAGACCCGCTACCTCGCCTCAGTGCAGACACGTGGGGCTGCTTGCCGCGTGAGTAGCACGCTCCGGGTCACCGCTCTACAGACAATCTGATGATGATAACGCTTCTGCTCCCTCTCTTTCTGCGCTCCGACCTGCGCCCCCGTTTCTCACCTCAGAGCTCGAAGACCTGATCTTACACGGAAGCACGAAGGGATACGATTGGGACGGGCTTCGAGCTGTGGAACTTCCCTCTGTTCGGCGGCTCGTTGTCCGGAGCTGTTACTGTGCAAGCATCGACCAGTTTTTGGAGCACTTTGAGTTGCCTGGACTTGAAGATCTCACGATGGTCCTGGACGAACCTCCGAGTTGGGAAGAGAAGGAATATGAAGTCGGTAACGTCATACCCTTGTTGGAGCAGCTCTTTACCGGATCGAAGCCGGGCATACGACGCGCCAAGTTCGAACTTTTATGGGATCCGTGGAATCCGCATTCTGCATGGACCGTGCAACTTGCTCGAACGATCCGTCTCTGCACATCCACTTTACGGGACCTCGACTTGGAGATCACGTCACACGAGTCATGGCATCGCGAAGACGACCCCGCGTGGCCCGACGATTTGGATCAAGTCCTCGATAATCTTGGACCGGACAGCCCGCTCGAACGCTTACGAATTGCCCTACCAGTGTGTAACATTTCTACATGGCAAAGGTTCATTACCTTGATTGAAGACAAACTCGACAATTGTCAAGCGCTGCGACGGCTCGCCTTCCTCCTTGTCCATCAATCCGTGGGGGGTACGATACGCAACATCAGGACCACGCCGGAGGTTTGGCACCTCGGACCCGGCGAACATGTGCCAGATTGCCGTTCGAAAGGAGCCAGGGTTAGTCCGAAGAAAGTGGGTATGCTTGAAGGGGACAGGTGGGATCGAGTGCGGGAGCAGTGTAGAGAACGAGGGATCAAGTTCGTGCTCCGTTCGAGCATCGATTACTGAGTATTTAGCACCCAAAGGAGAAATCTGAAGCAGCGTGGCTCAAGATGGGGTAGAGTTGGGGCTTTTACAATCATTAGCTAGAGCCATCATGAACATAATTGAGTAAAATTTGTCAAAAAATGACTGAGAAGGCGGCGCAACAGCGGGGAATCGTAGCGCCGTAGTGAACTGCGGCTGTGCGCCATGTTCAGTCGAGCGCCACACGATCGGTGCTAATCAAAAAACGCTGTTTGGGGAACACGGCGACATTCTTTGTCTTCAAAGTAGACTCGGTGATAGATTACCGGCTGAAATCCCGCGTTCCAGATGCAACACTTCATGCTCGTGTCGATCACGGCGTGATAGCGATCGCGCCAAAGCGCTGGTAGTTGGCGATCCGGCTGGGAAAGGTCGTGAGGTGTGTAGGATCTCAACATCAGACTTTGAGCGTATCGACGTCATTGCTGCAATTGACGTGCGCAAGAGGGCTGGCGCGTGAAGCTCGCACCAGCGCAAGGGCCATCCAGTGAAGCTTCGACCCTTTGGGTTCGAGCAGATTTGCTTGGCTAGGGGCGACTCGATCGTCTGCTTACGTTGTCCAACGTTTGACATTACACTCCTCATGGCAGGTCTTTTGTCATTTGAATTGGTTGATTTTGACCTAAGAAACGGTGGCTTAGAGGTCTACCAAGTCCTCTACCGTCCAGCTCCGACGTCGTCACGGCTTACCGTCGGCAACTCAGGGGTCATTTGGGGCCACTCCCACGCGCCGTTCAAGCAAATTGCCGATGCATACGCAGCCGACGGCAAACTTCGGGGTTGTGTACTTGTAGGGACTCAAAACACAGGAGTAGATCTTGTATGATATATGCAATTGAATTTGTTAGATTCTGTCTTTAAACAAGACTAGCTGGAATATATGGATTAAAACTCTGAAGCTCGGCAACTCGGTTAGAAGGCGCGGTCTCGATTGCCGCAGAATTACTTAGGAGCTGCGGTCGCTATCGCAAAACAACCTAGCTGCACAGCCCATTTACTTCTCCTTTCGCCAACTTGCCGCGTACCTTGTAAGCCCAACTGCGCAAAGCCTACGAGTGATCCCGGAACCTTGCTCCGGCTTTTTCGCTGCGAGATAAGCGTGGGCGGCGCCGGCCCGCCTCGCCCGCTGGTGGGGGAGTGGCGCGTGGGGGGGAGGGTGCCGCGCCCGCGAACACTTGGACGTTCGTTCGGAGACGTTTTCGAATTCGTTCCTTTACTCTTTTCACCCACCAAATCGCCCAAGGAATTTACCTATCAAAACTGTACACTTTCCTTTCGAAAAGTATCAATCGCATCTACTAGGATGACTATGACTCCGCTTCAGCTCAAGGTCGAACCGCTGACCCATGAGGCGTGGGCTGCGTTTGGTCATGTGATCCAAGGCGCGGAGGACTCGAGCGCGGTTCCGCAGGGGATCGCCGTGAACAAGATCTCGCATACAACTCGATTGGTCAGTAGGATATTTGGATTCGTCATTCAATCGGATCCTTTTGCTGAGAGACACCGTGCTGGGATCTCTGCAGGGCCACAAGTTCAATCGGCTCGCGCCCATCACGTCATCCTACCCCGCCTCTTCCTCCTCCTCGACACCAGCAGCGGACAAAGCCGTGACCTCCATCTCCCTGGCCCGAATAGGACCCGTTCCTGAACTCAAGTTTGGCACCTCGTTCGAAGTGAGGATGTTGGAGCGACACGCGGCGTCGAGCCAAGCTTTCATGCCGCTTAATACGAGTGGGGACGAATGGACGAGGTGGAATGGCGAGAAGGGGTTGAAGGGGCAGGAACAGACGCCGGGGGGGATGTTGGTTATGGGTGCTTTGTGTGGCGAAGGTGAGTACAGGAGAATGGTCGCGTGCTGGGCAGATGTCACCGATGGAAGGGCTCTTTCGCAGATGAGGAAGCAAGTCCCGAGTCTGATCCCTCGCTCCTCTCTTTGCTAAACAACAGACGACAAGCCCGATCTCAGCACTCTTCGAGTGTTCCTTTCTTCCCCATCACAAGGTCTTTCGTACAACGAAGGCGTGTGGCGTAAGTCCGAATTCCACCGTTCAGCTCTCGGAGAACGTGGCTGACCGAAAATTCGGTTCATCGCATCCACCTACAGACCACTCGGTACTCTCGTTCAACTATGCCGACTACGCAATTGTCGATACTCAGATCACGACCGATTCGAGTCTCAAGCTAGACTGCGAGATCTTGCGACGAAAGGTCGGCGAGGAAGCGCCGTTCGCTGTGGTGGAGGTGCCGATGATTCAGTGAGAGGGGTTATGCTCCAGTAAAGGCACGGGCGTAATGGGGGTCTTTATGTTCGTCGGTTTTGCTTCGTGTGAATTGCAATGTATTTATCGCATTGATATGTGCCTATTCGTAGAGTAAGGCTTCGATGTTTGCGCAATCGGGGGTTCGGCGACGTTCGATCCGAGTGAGGTCAGATTGTGGCTGTGCAGATTCGATTTCGAATCTGATCGAATGACATCAACCGCGCGCGCGCGGTCGACGCACAGGTCGAGTCTTGCCGTCTCTCTTGTCCTCTTGCCCCCACCTCCGACCTCGTTCTCAGCTCAAAACACAACTCGCTTTCAACCCCCCACCAGTTGCAACCAACTATTCAATCCGTCATCATGGTCAGTTGTAATGCTGCCTCCCCCTCCCTTGTACACTGCTGCTCGGCCTGGAAGCCACGTCGCCCCTCTTCGCTCACCTCCTATACTCACCACCCCACGCCACACTCCTCGGGTCGGCCACTTTGCTGAACTCATCGGTTTCATGGCATGCAGGGACTCGCAGCAAAGATGGCAGCCGCTCAAGCCGCCGGCAGTGCCGCTACACCGGGCTATGGATCCGCAGGAGGTGCCGCCGCCGCCGCCGCCGCGCCTGCTTATGGAGCCCCGCCTCAGCAACCACCGCAACAGGGCGCGTATGGTCAACCTTCGCAGCAGGGTCAGGCACAGAACGGTCAGCCGCAGTGTGAGTGGTGGTGGTGTAGTGCTGCGTGTTGGGAAGGTGCTTGATGGAACGACGTATTGGGCTGGAGGGATTTCGATCGAAACGCCAAGCTTCATGTGGGGCCGCGCGGAAGAGAGAACTGACCAACCCCCTCGCACGTGTCTTCGTTCGCATCGACGCTCGGGCAGATGGAGCTCCCGCCGGTCAGACGCCTCAATGCGAGTACATTCAGATAGTGTAGATTAATCGTACTGAACGCTGACGATCGACAGTGCTATATACGCCACACAGACGGCGCCCCCGCTGGTCAGCCGCCCTCGGTTCCGGGAGGACGACCCGCTCAACCTGGTCAGCAGCAAGGTGACTCCTTTTTCAGAACGCTTGTTTCCCTCCTCGGTGTTCGAGACTAATTCCGAACGTCATCATCACAGGCCAATACGGTCAACAGCCACAGCAGTCTCAGTACGGTCAGCCGCAACAGCAGCAAGGCCAGTAGTTTGGCGCAACTTCATTGCGGTCAACGTGGTGACCGATTCTGATCTGCATCCCCCCTTGCCTCTTTCACAGGCTACGGACAGCAAAGCTCTTACGGTCAGCAAGGTCAATATGGCCAACAGCAAGGGCAATGTGAGTTCCTGACGCAGCTGGCCTTGGGAAGACTTTGGCGCCGAGCTGAAATTGCTTACGACTTTCCTCGTACAGACGGAGCACCTCAGGGTCAGTAAGGTTACGGCGAGCAGATGTTCCACATCCAGCATCATGTTAGGTAGCTGAGGTTTGCTCTCGAGTTTGGCTTTCACCAGGCGCTTCGCAGCAAGGGCAATACGGCCAGCCTCCCCAAGGACAGCAGCAATGTAAGCTCCGATCGAGGCTCATGCGAAGATCGAGTCGTTGATGGTATGCCTATCCTATCGCCACAGACGGCGCCCCTGCACAAGGCGGCCAGTACGGAGCTCCCCAACAACAAGGCCAATACGGCGCGCCTCAGCAAGGTCAATACGGTGCACCGGCTCAGGGCCAACAGCAATACGGGGCCCCTCAACAAGGCGGCGCTGCCGGTGGCCCCGGAGGACCTTCCGTTCAAGCGATCCTCGACGCGCTCCGTACGGGTGTCCAAGACCAAAACATTTCGGCCTTTTACCCCCCCGGATCGCTCGAACGTCTTGCCGAGAACGTTCATCGCTCCGGTGCGTTGCCCAAGATTGCCGCGTTGTTCAAGATCCCGATGGAGGTCGCGATGGATCTCGTGCGCTTGGCCTTGTTCGACGTCGTCCTCTACGCCGACGATTCGGGTTCGATGTCGTTCGAGGACAATGGATCGCGCATCGAGGATTTGAAGATGATCGTTTCCCAAGTCGCTAGTGCGGCTTCGTTGTTCGATCAGGATGGTATTCAAGTCAGGTTCATGAAGTATGTCAAATCTCGTTGCCTCCTACGCTCTGGACTTGACGCTCAGGAAGAGATGCTGACCCTATCCCCATCCCCGCCCCCACCCGAACCAGCTCCCGCGTCGAAGGCAACAACATCAACTCGGACGCCGCTGCGTTGGCGCTCGTTGGTCAAGTCAAGTTCTCGGGACTTACGCCGCTCGGTACGGCGATGCAGCAAAAGATCCTCGAACCGCTCGTGTTGCAGCCGGCGAGGCAAGGGCGATTGCAAAAACCCGTGCTCGTCATCACCATCACCGACGGACAGCCCGGTGGAGAAGCTCGTGAGTATTTTGGCAGACGTGAAGCGGATTTGCCGAGCGGACGCTCGAAACTGAAACCTGGGAGCTTGAAATTGATCACACAGGTGATACGATCGTGCGCGTCATCAAGGCCGCGAGTCAGGAGTTGCGCTCGACGCGCTACGGCAGCGACGCGATCTCGTTCCAGTTCGCTCAAGTCGGCGAGGACCAGGCGGCGCGCCAGTTCTTGGAGGAGCTCGATGTGAGTTGAAAGAGTTCCGAGGGTGGAGTTGCGCGCGGTCAGTTGATGCAAGCGTTCTTTCGATGGATGTTGCTCTGATAGGTCAACCCCGAGATTGGTGGCTTGATTGATACTACTTCGTGAGTTCCGAGCTCGAGCGGACTTTGAAGTTTACCGCTTACGGGTACTGAACCTGCGCACGAAATTTCATCCTCATAGTAACTACGAGAATGAAGCCGACAACATGATGAGGGCGAACCCACCTTTGGACCTCTCGCCTCAGCTCTGTACGTATCGAGGCGGCATCCCGAACAAGGAAGGCTCTCAAGCGTTTCAAAGCTGACCGTACAGCCATTGTTGGATCTTACAGGGATCGTCAAGATGCTGTTGGGCGGTATCGATTCGTCGTACGATACCAAGGATGAGAAGTAGAGTCATCAATGGGTTTGTGGAAGCTCATAGCTGCGTCTGGTTCGCTGGCTCACGTGTTTGGCGAGATTGGATTGAGACCGACTTTGTCTTTTATTCTTGTGAAAATTTGATGGAAAATGAGAAAAAACAAGACGAGTTCCATGCGACGGGATCGGGTCGAATCGAACGGACGTGTCCCGACGTGTTTAAAACGTGTCGATCATCACTCATTGCCCCACATCCGAGCGAGCGCTTAATTAGTAGCTCGCGACCCCCGGTTGATCTCCCCCTCCCTTTTCACGATCTTCACTCAAATCACACCACCCCCCGAGCCGCGACGATGATAACGCACTACATGCTCGAAAATTCTCGTGCCATTCGTGTCGAATGGGCGCTTCGAGAACTGGGGTTGGAACATGAGACCAAGTGAGTTGAGTGTGCCGAGGAGCCGTAGTTACGGGTTCGATGCTTGACTCGTTCGAGCGGACTCGAGCGGGTCGGGCGGTGGTTCGTAGGGTGTTTTGCTCGCTGATGTTGGGTTACTTGAGTGGGTAGATGCTATAAAAGGGTCAATGGGAAGAAAGCTGTAAGTGAACACCACACTAACTACTAATAAGCTTGCCAAGTGACAGGGCGAGCTCTCAAATGGACTCGGAGGCCAGCACCGGTCGGATGTGGGGTTCTTTCAAGTTCGAGCGAACCCCGCTCATCTTCATCGGTCTCGCACATGAACTCATTCTTTGGGAAGTTGTATATGAATAGCCCCCAGAGATGAAAGAAGAATCCGGTACGACGGTGGGAAAGTCCCCGGCTTTGAGGGATGGTGATCTTTTGATCGTCGAGTCGTCGGCGATTTTAACGTACGTCACTTGCGGTGCCGATGGATCGGAAGCCGGTTTGGGCCGGTCCAACCATAAAGCGCAAAAGATCAGGATGGAGCGATTGATATTGAATTGAAGGTTGTGTGTGCATTTATGCAGGTACCTCGCGGAAAAATACGACGAGAGTGGTCGACTTTTACCTGGCTTGAACAGGGAGCAGGATCGAGTCGATACTTTCGCTTGGGTCGGGTTTGCCGAAGGCGCTCTGAGTAAGTCTTCTTTTCGCCTACTCGGGGATTGATCCTTCCTACGTAGTACGTGACTGATGGTTCAGTGTCGGTTCATGGGATGCAGTGGTCCATGCTCTGCCGATCACTTACGCGGCGTGGTTCATCCCCGACGAGTATGAGAAGGCCTGTCAAGGTTTTCATGAAAGCCTTAGTCAGTTTCCCAATTCGCGTCGGCGGAAGTAGCGGAAACCTCGATTGAGTAAGACCAGTATGACTTCTTCCCTTCAGAACCCAACATCATCAACGACCTCGACTACCTCGAAGCTGAACTCAAGAGGAACGTCGAGCGCTTCGGGAAGAAGAATGGCCAAGGTGCGTTCTTGGTCGGACAAGATTTGACGATCGCGGATATTCAGGTCGCTTTCCCCATCGAGTGAGTCGAGGGAAAGCGTTTGCCAGGATTAAGCTGAGCTGAGCTTGGTGATCACACTTCTTAGGTACATCTTTACGCACCCGACCATCTCCAAGGGATTGAAAGACGAGATCCGAGGTTACACGCAGATCAAGGCTTGGTTGAGATGCTTGGAAGCGAGGTCCGCTTACAAGGAGGCGACCAAGGTGGCGGAGTATGTCTTTGTTTTGCCTGATGATGTGTAGAGTCTTCAAAAGGGGGCTGGCTCTCAAACAATGCAGTTGCTAGCGTACTATCCTTGGGTGCGCCTTTTTCAGCGTAGCGACCGAACCTCGGTGAAGAAATTGTCCCGGAAGGCTCGAGCGCACCCATAGCCAGCAGCCGGGGTTTGGCTGACGTCGGTCTCGGCGAACCGAGTTGCCGGTCGGGGGAGAAGCGCGTGAGGCCGCGTTCAATTCAAGTTCTGACTTTAACCTTCCCTCCTCACGCCTTCCCACCCCTTGACTCTAACGGCTCACACGAACGAAAGCTCAAAAATAAAACCCCCCTCGACGCCATGTCCCGAACGGCGTTGATCTCATCCGCGGTCAACTTCCTACGTGACCCAACCACGGCGTCCTCACCTCTCGCGCAAAGGATCGCCTTCCTCGAATCCAAAGGCCTCACATCGCAGGAGATTGAAATGGCTTTAGCTCAGGCTAATGGATCTGCACCGGGTGGGATGGGGGGGCCGGGGATCAGGATCGGAGGTCAGCAGGGTTGGGTGGTCGGTGCGAGGAGGGAGTACGAGAGGGATTGGCGCGATTGGTTCATCATGGCCGTTGTGGGAGGCACGGTAGGCTATGTCGCGGTCAAGTTGACTCAGGTGAGTGAAAGTGTGTGTGTGTGTGTGTGTGGTGGATCGTTCTGAGCGTGTAGCGGGTGAGGGTTAACACGGCGGCGGTGGGGTACGCCAGGCGTCACAGTGCGCTTTGGGGTGGAAGTCGACCACGGGGAGGCCATAGGCGCTTGCAGAAGACAAGTTGCTGACGTATACCATGTTTTCGTCCTAGAAATTCATCGTGCCGCATCTGCAACCGCCTTCCGAGTCCGAACTCGAAGCGGCGCAGAAAGCGCTCGAGGCCAAATACGACGAAGCGGCCGAGATGCTTCTCACATTACAGCAATCGACCGATGCGTTGTCGCAATCGCTGGATGAGCAGAAGAGTGCGGTCGAGAAGGAGTTGGACGAAGTGAGGAAGGCCGTCGAGGAGATGCGGGAGGGGGAAAAGAGGAGGGAGGAGTGGAGCAAGAAGGTCGGCGATCAGGTCGATGAGGTCGTCAGAGGGTTGCCCGGGGTGAGTTTATGGCTGCATACACATACGTATGAGTTCAAGAATACGATGCTGATGCGCGGCCTCTTCCGGACTTTACAGCTTTTGGAGAAGCAAGCCTCGGCGTCGGCGCAGTCATTGACGGACCTACAGACCGAGCTCAAGTCACTCAAATCATTGCTTATCGCTCGTCGTCCTACGCCTTCAACATCGACCTACACGCCTCCCGCCACCACCGTCGCCGCTCCGATCGCGAACGGCTCCTCCTCCTCGTCGACTGCGGGTCCGGCCGCGATCCCGACCGATTCGGCGACGACGTCGATGCCGTCGACCACTGCCGCGAGCGGATCAAACGATCCCACACCTCGATCTTCCAGCCCGTTCCCCGTTCGTAAGCCCGGCATTCCGGCATGGCAACGCTCCGGCGCCTCGTCCGCTTCTCTCGCTTCGGATTCGTCGATGTCGTTGGCGACTGCGGCTGCGGAGGGATCAGCGTCAAGCTCGGTGGGAAAGGTTAATGATCAGGACCCGTCCGCGAGTGGGGTGTTGGTGGAGAAGGAGGATGCTGCACCATCGGTAGTGGCGGGAGGTCAAAGTGAGGAGGCGTCGTCGAAAGCGACGACTGAGGATGTCAAGGAGTGAAGGATGGAACGGTGCCAAGGGCGATGCATGCTTCACGTTTTTGTTCGATGGAAAGCAGCCATCATTGTAATCGAGCAAAGCTCTCACGAATCATCTAGTTTATGTCTGAGGATCTCCAAGCGCACCCATCGAAGGTCGCGGTTAGCTTGCGCGCAGGCATCTCGCCGAGCTGAATTCAAAGCATGGGGCAAGCTCAGTGGAACATTGGTGTCGCCTAGCTCGTGGTGCAGGAAAAGCCACTTTCATCAACAAAGTGTCGAGATCTTTGAGAGCCTCAGTTTTTGATGGTCAGATCAAAGATAGCATCCAAGTCGCAACATGGCCCCATCACGGCCGAGGTCTGCAGTGTTCTTTCTCGGGGAGTGATGACTGCGCGCGTGGGCCTTTGTGCGAGCGAGCATGCGGCGCGGCCAATTTTTGAGGCAGGTGGGATCAGCCTGACGCGCGCTTACGGGGGTATACGGGCTCTTGCTCTTTCTCCCCCGCCCTTCCCACCTCTCTCAGACACGAGCGTCGCCTCCTCGTTCGCTACAGCTGACAACCGATCGTACCCGAGAGTTGATCGACTTGATCGATCGACCGTTGCTTCATACGTTCACCTACTCCCGAACAGCTCGATCCCGGTGCGCTCTGTGGGGTGTCAGTCTCAGTCGGCATCGCATCATCATTTGGCAGGGTGTGACTGACAATCGCGCTCTCTCCGCTGACTGCGCACCGCCGGTCCCGCCTCCGCCTGCGCGTCGCCCTGCGCGTGGCCCACCCACGTCGTCCCACGTCAGTCGAACCGGTTCAAGTCCGCGCGCTAACCCGCCGGCAGGTGCAAGAGGTGCTCCCCGACCCGACCCCCGGTCCTCGGCAGTAATCACCCAACGCCACGCGCACCATCGTCAACATCGATTGTGGCTTTACGTTGTAATACCAATCGGCGAATCCGCTCCCCTCAAGTCGCCTCACACCGAGCACACCAGGTCACTTGTCTCGTCTTGGTCCTCAACGTCACGCTTTCGACCTCACACTTGGACCGGGCGGCGTCGTCGTCGTTGCGATCACCCGCCGAAGCTTCCCCATCAGGCACCCCATCGACTGATCGGCGCTTGGCTCTAGTACTACACCAGTCTTCTTTCTCTGTGAGTGTCACATCTTCTGAGGGTTGCTGTAGGTTGTGGGCCTGTTCGGGACCGGTACACGGATAGCATCGTTGGACCGTGCCGGGGAACCCGGGTCACCTGCCTCCGCAATGCCCAATTCGACCTGCGGAGGGGGTCCTTGCATGCCTTTGACGACGACCGGGCAGGTGGTGAAGCTACCATCCGTCTATTTGGACCGGATTGGATCACTCCCCGTCCCCACTCGGGGCTCTGTGTACTTTGCATGTGTCGCTTCGGGCGCCGCTCACCGGTATCGCGCAGCAGCTAGTCACGTTTGACCCGCGACGACACCCCCGTCTAGCAGCAATACTGTGCCCGCGTCATCATTCGACATCAACTTGGTCATTATACACGTGCTGGACACTACCGGGACCCAAGCCATACCTTCAGTACACGCGCTAACGTCATCCCCCCCAGTCTGTCCTGTGCGCAGTCCCCCTTCTCTCGCTTCTTTCGAACCGACCCGGTCGAATCACTCAATCATCATGGCTCGCACACTTTCGGATCGTAGCAAGGAATCTCGTAAGCTCAAACGATCGGACGCGATGCCTCTAAAAGCTACGCGTCCTGACTTCACCCCACCCCCCCGGCAGGACCAAAAACGAAGCCCATCGCTTCGTCCATGACCTCGACCTCGGAGCCGGTCTCCACTTTTGGTTTCGCTCCTGCACCACCCACGCCCGTTTTCCAGACACCCGTTCCACTCTCACACGTCATCGAGAAGAACGTTTCTCAAGCGACGAGTGCCCATTCCGTCCAGCCGCCACCACCCCCGGCGCAACCTGAGCCTCAGCCAACCGTGGGCTCTGATCAACTCGTCGTTGCTGAACCACAAGAGGAGATGTTGTTCGACCCACCTTCTCCTTTCATGAGACCGCACGAAATCGAGGACCGAGCCGAGGAAGCGGAGGTTGAAGGCTTGGTGCTTGCTCGGGTTGATGTCGCGAAGACTAGTGGGGTCAAGGGGCCTAAGAAGTCGGTCGGGTCTTTGGGTACGACTACGAAGGCTCGTGGGACGGGAGTGAAGGTTACGAATGCCAAAAGGGGAAAGGCGAAGTCGATAATGGCCAAGCAAGGTGCTAGTATGGGTAATCATCCGAATTCGAGCCCGGCCGCGGCGAGAGGACGTGGACGTGGACGTGGACGTGGACGTGGACGCGGTGCCAAGGCCGTCGTAGGGAAGAGAGCGGCGACGGGCACTGGTACTGCTACGAAAGTTGGTTCATCGGCCAAGGAAACTGCGGCGAAGAATGACAAAGCGAAAAAGGTCGAGGCTGTGCCGGCGCAGGAAGTCGTACCGCAAGCGACGACGAGTGCCGCTCCGGCAGTGACGACGATAGCGGCAACTCCAGCAGCGGTGGAACAACCTCTCGCCGTTGCAGAGACAGAGATGCAAACCCAAGGGCGTAGCAAGCGAGCTCGACGCGTCGAACCGGGTCGTTATGCCGAACCGGCTTCGCCTCCGCCGAAGAAGATGAAGCTGGGCAAGGGACCGAAGAAGGGGAGGAAGCGCAAGTTTGATGATGATGAGGATGATGAGGAAAAGAAGCGTTATGTGAGTGTGTGCACGAACGATGAGGGGGGGTTTTCGGTTCGATCATAGGACTGATCGAGGGATCTCTTGTTGTCGACAGGTCTGCAATCAACCGGGGTGCGACAAGTCGTTCGCGAGAAACTTCAACTTGAACGCCCACCTCGACACCCATCGAGGTATTCGTGATTGTGAGTCTATCGATGCTGGCCTTTCCTCCCGTTGATGTATCGAGCCTTTTGACTCTTGAGCTGACCTGGATTGTGGATGGCTAAAAAATGCATCAGACGCCTGCCACGAATGCGGCAAGCTCTTCTCGCGGCGCCACGACTGCACGCGCCACTGCGTCGCCGTGCACAACGTCGATCGCGAAACGGGTAAACTAGAAGTGCTTCGCGTGACGCCCGAACGAGCGCCGCATCAGAAACCGGGCGTGCAGAGGCAGCCGTCCCCTTTTGCGACGAGTGCGGCGTGGGCGAATAGTGGGTTGGCCGCGGCGCGGGCGAGTGGGGCGGGCGTGAGGAAGAGGAAGAGTAATAATGCCTTGAACGAGGGGAAGGACGGAGCTCCGAAGGCCAAGAAGGGGAAGAAGGTGGCGGCGAAGGCAAAGGTTAAGGCCAAGACGGGTGGGGGGACGGCGGCGCAGAGGTTCAAGAGGAACGCGCCGAATGGGCATGGATCGCAGGCGGGGTTCAAGACGACGGGGTTGCCGATTAGGGGGAAGCCGAGGAAAGCCTTGGCTGCTTGAGGTCGGAGGGGGAGGTGATTGATGGGTGGCGGGTGTGCGGTGCGCCTGGGGGGGGGGGTGACTTGCTTGCGATCGAAGGCAGAGATGGTGGTTCTCCCGGCTCGATGTCGGGGATTTTGATTGTGAATTGCGTGTGCACGTGTTGTGGTTTGCTCATAATATGGCAGTGATTTTTTTTTTATCGTTGAACATTATTCGGTGTATGATCGTTCCGGCTTGATGTAATCACGTTGCTGGATGCGAGTGGTCGAGTGAGCATAGGCCTCGTCGTTCCTATTAATCGAAAGCGAGTCGATCGGGCAATGAATGCGCCTCCAAGCGCGCTAATCTTCGCTAATAGTCGCAACTGGCGCGTGTGGGAGCCAGCGTGTGACGGTCATGACCGCCTTGCTCTCTTTCACTCCCACACTCAACTCGGCCTGCGCGCACGCACACCCGCACCTCTCGCACCCACACGCCCAGCATCGATCATGGCACCACCACCACCCAAACCCAATACGACCTCTACCGCTCCCGCTCCCGCCGAAGTGGAGTTTGAGACGACGACGCCCGCTGATTCGTTCGAGGAGCTCACAGACGGCCCAAGTGGTGCTGCTCGTCGTCCTACGCCATCGACCGTCTCCGTCTCCGCCTCCGCCTCCACCGCATCCGTGCCCGCGACGACGACGACCAAGATCAATGGTCTAGGATTGGAAGGGGGGATCCTGACGAGCTCAGCTTTGAATGTACTGTTATCGCATGACACCGAATTGGAATCCGGATCGGGATCGGGATCAGCAACGGGAACGACGACGGGAACGACAACGACGCAGCCGACCTCGTCCAGCAGCGGTGCGATCGCCCCTAGCCCATCTTCAGCCCCACCACCCACTGTAGCAGGTTCAGCGACGACGACGACGACGACGACGTCTGTGCCGGCGGTCAATGTTGATGCTACGCCGCAGGTCGCGATGAATCATGCCCAGGGGGGTGTCGGCTCTTCACCACGTGAGTCTTGGCGAACGGGGGGTTCGATGTTGCAGTAGCAAGGGAGGGAAAGTCGGGAGGGAGATGGGCGACAGAAAATGCCAGTCAGCCGGCGTGTCAGCTGGTCCGATGAGATGCACGGTGATGCTCGTTGTGGTGTCGATGGGCGGGTTTGCATGCTGACGTATCGCCTATTCCCATCGTCAACCTGCCCCCTGTCTCCCCCCTGTCTCGACGATCGCCGTAGCTTACACCACTCGCAAGCAACAACCGGCTCGGACACTGGGCACGAGTCCATCCAACTCGGCCTTTTCGTCCCTCGACGCTTCTCCCTCGTCCCCGTCCGGGTTAACGATCCCCACACCCGCCGGCAAACCGATTGCCTCGACCTCGACCGCGACGACGACGACGACGACCTTGAACCCCGCCTCCTCCCCCCTCTCCGCTCCACCGCTCCTTCCCTCTCCCCAAGCAGCCCCTGCCCCACCGATCGTCACGTCCTCTACACCGCCACCGTACCCAGCGCTCCACCTCCTCCCTTTGAACGAGACGTTCGTACCGAAGCAAATCTCGCTCTACCCCCCCGGTCAGAGGATCAAGATCGGTCGACAGACGAACGCCAAGACGATCCCGAACGGTACGAACGGCTACTTTGACTCCAAGGTGTTGAGTAGGATGCATGCCGAGGTTTGGGCCGAGGATGGCAAGGTTCGTTTCGTTTCGGTCTTTTTCCGGGGATTTAATCGGCTCGCGATAGATATCGATCATCATAGGGTCTCGTTAGGCGGTACTGATTCCAAAGGTGTGTGTTGTGTGTTGGGTCGGCGCAGGTTCTTATCAAGGACGTCAAGAGTTCTAATGGTACGTTCATTGATGGTCAACGACTATCACCCGAGGCTGCGGAGAGCGATGTATTTGAACTTCGAACGGGTGTCACCGTCGTAAGTCCCAGCTCGGAGCCAGGTCACGCATTCACAAGCGGGAGAGAGGCTGATGGGTTTTTTTTTCTTCTTTTTTTTCACGTTCAACGTTCCAGGAATTCGGTATCGACATCGTCAGCGATGATGGCAAGTCGATCGTGCATCACAAGGTCTCGGCCAAGGTGTTGGTCGTCATGAACGCCGAAGATGCCCAAGCCAGTTCTCGGTGCGTTGTCGTGGACGAGTCCATATATGGAACAGTTATCGAGTTGGAAGTTTGAGCTGATTTCGATCGGGACATTTTTCACAGCGAGTTCAATAACTGGTACCGCTACATCGAACAACAACCGGCGCAACGACGAGGGATGCGTCAGATCGGCACCGGCGGCGCCCTGGGCGGCAATTCGCTCATGGGCGGTGGTGGAGGCGCGTCGCACCAGAACGCGCTCAACATCGATCACTTCCTAGGCAAGCTGCAGACCGAGCTCGCCAAATCGCGCGAGACGGGTTCGCACCTCGGCGAAGTGGCGACCACGCTCAATGACGTACAGGATACGTTGGGGGGTGGAGTCGCGAATGCACCTTTACCACCTCCTGGTGCTTCGGCGGCGTTGTTCTCGAGGGGTTTGACCAACGGTCAGGTCAATGCTCAACAACAAGCTTTGGCGCATCAACAACACACGCAATCGATCACGCAGTTGCAGAACCAGCTCCAGGAAACGCAACAATCCCTTGCCGGTCACGTAGGCAAGATGAAGGACCTCGAGGGGCTCTTGGCCGAGCACGAGGCGATGAAGAGGGAGGTCGGCTCGTTGCGACGGCAGATGGAGACCGACGTCGGTGCGGTGCATCTTGCGAGGAGCGCGCCTGAGGGGCAGACGTTGCCCCCTTCTGCGAGTGAGCGAGGAGGGAGGGAAAGTCCGATCGCGGCGATGTTGGAGGCGCAGGATCGGGCGGACCGCGAACGCGAACGCGACGAAGTGGAAGACGACGACGACGACGACGACGACGACGACGACGACGACGACGACGACGACGACGACGACGACGACGACGACGACGACGACGATGATGCGAGAAGCGTTGCATCGGTCGATACGGTCGTCGGAGGTGCTTCCGGTCGACTTAACGGACGAGCGACGTCGAAACGCTCTCCAGGCGACGCGACGAGGGAAACCGAGCTGCAGGAACAGAACGCGCGCTTGAGCGCTCGTCTGGATCAACTTGCGTCCGAATTGGACGAAGCGATCAAAATGGGACAGTCGTTGCGCTCGCAGCAGGAACAAGCCGCGACGACGATCCGGAAATTAGAGCAGCTCATCTCTGGCTTGGAGAAGAAGGTCGAGCGACAGACCGAAGCTGCGATCAATCCTTCACGGGCCGTTCCTACCGGCGCTGCCGGTGTTGACGAGAAGCAGCTTGGCGATCGGCTCGAGAGTCGGTGGATGGGCTGGAAGGAGATGTTTGAAAAGAGTTGGGAACGGGAGAAGAGGGATTGGCAGGTCGAACATGACAAGTTGAAGGTCGCCGTGCAGGAATGGGAGGAACGCAGGAGGGCTACGTCCAGCGATGATGAGCAAGAGGACGCGGCTGCGGTCGGTCGGACAGCGGTCGGCTCGACGGCTGTTGCGGGTGCGGCGGCGGGCGTCGCGGGTACGATCGCTACGAGCAAGTCCAAGAAGAAGGCCAAGCGGAGACGGACGAACGTCGCTATCGCTTCATCGTCGCCCGGGGCCAAGGATGATACTACCTCGAAAGGTCTAGCGACATCGGCCGCCTCGAATTTACCGCCTTTGTCATCTCTCGCCAAATCGTCGTCGAGCTCGTCCGGTCCAAATCGGTTAACAACTCTCGCCAAGAGCTCGCACATCGACGATGCAGCGAGCGACTCTGATTCGACGATCGGCAGTCGAGGGACGATGCATGACGCAACGGGTGAAGCGACGATCAAACGCGGGCAGAGGAGTGGGGTCTCTGAGTGGGTTGGAGGGGAGAAGGATGGTGTCGAAGGTGCGGCGGGTCGGAGTGCGGCGACGCCGTATGGCGGGGGTAGGAAGTTTGGTGACCAAGGGTCCGGAGGCGTCATTATTGTGAGTGCCGAGACTGAGCTCATAGCTGTGCAGTCGCTGGTGTTGATTAGGCGGCTTTGTATTGCCCGCTCACAGATCCAGCAAAAGCACGTCACGTCCGCCGTCGTGGTCGTCGTCGGCGTGCTCACCGCCATGGCCGTATCGCTCAAACTGAAAGAGTAGTCCGTGATCGCCTTTACTCTTCCATCTTTTGTACGATGACTGCTACGAGGTTTTTTCAAGCCGCACCCTAGGAAGAAGAGTGCACTTTGGGGGGTTCCTTCTTGTTTTATCTCTCTCTCTCTCTCTCTTTCCTTTGCGCGTTCCAAGATTTTTTCTTTTCTTCTTGACTTCTTGATGATGACGACCCTATACTTTCTTCTTCTGAGGAATGAAATGCACTTGGATTGAAGAACAGTATTATTTGCGACGTTGGGATGAGGCCCCCAACTTGGGCAGCGGAAGATGTGAGCGATTTCGAGATCAGTGTCACGGTCAGGCTCGTCCAGTCCAATTCGGGATCGAAAGAGGTCTTAACCCTACATCCATCCCCGGCCGAAGGGTTCTAATGATTCCATGTGCTCTCGCGAGGTAGATCTTGATGAACGTAGTAAGTAGTTCATCAGCGTGAGGAGAATCGACGCTGATAACGACAAGTAGGCCCCGAAAAGGAGTTTTCGACGATTCAAACTTGGATCGTCGATAAAGTGTGTCGAGTAGTACGAAGCAGGCAGTCAGTGTCAGTAGTTAGTAGCCGCAGAAATCGCGGGAAGTCCATTGACCATGGGGCAGGCAGGCCGAAGGTCGACGCGTGGGTTGGGATGTATAGTCTAGTCTAGGGACGACTGTCCAGTCCAGTCGGGTAAATTCATTCACGAATCGAAGCATAGCTTTGAACCAAGGAGCAACTTTCAAAGACGCTTTCGATACTTCCATAATACCCTCACCAGCTGACCAGACCTCGAAAGCCGAAATGGGCCGAGTGAATGATGTAAAACAGAAGAAAACAAACGCGATCGAAAACATTTCACCGCCAAAAAAAAGATCTCGCATCGTACTCAAAACTCTGATCGTATACCGCATTCCCTCCTCCTCCTCCTCCTCTTCTCACTCCCAAGCAAATCCTCCCTTGCTAATCTGGTCGATGTGGCGTGTAGGTAGGTGTGTGGGTGTTTTTGTTTTGATCTAGTTCCCGTAGAGCTCTTCCTTGAGCAAGACGCCGAGCTCTTTACGCAAGGGGGCGGTCTCGGTCACGTAGGCTTGGTATTGGGTCGCGTTCTCCGTCTTCTCCTCTGTTGGAGAGTGTCGGTGCGGGGGAGGGGGGGGGGGGGGGGGGAAGTGGAGGTGCAGAGCAGTATTCAGCGGGGGTCGAGGAGGAGGTCGGAAAAAGTTGCGGATCGCGGCGCGGCGAATTGACGGAGGGAGGAGACGTGTGAGATAAGGGAGGCGGGCACGATTCAGAAATGATCCTAGGGCACAACATCACGGATAGGATCGTTGGTACTGACTCAGTCCCTCGAAAATTCGGACGGCGGTCGAGTAGTCGTTCACTCGGCGAGCGGCCTTGAGCGCCTCCTCGACGACTGCAAGAGGCGCGGAAAGCGTATCCGGGTGGAGAAGGTGGGGAGGGGGAGGTTGAGCGAGTCAGTGCGAATTCTCCGGAGCATCAGTGCTGTGCGGATGTTTCGTTCCTGATGCCGTGTGATGTCGTCCCGCGGTGATGATCGGAGTGTGAACCACATCGCGCCATCCACTCGGCGAGATCCTCTGATTGTCGCACTCGAACACGAGTTATGCGCCAAAGTCGATCTTTGATCCTGTAGGTGATGTCGATGTTGGGATCCCGATGCGAGCTTGTCCCCCGACGCGGACCGAACCGCCCCATCTTACGACGACGCAAGCCGCGCTAGGACGCTTCAAACCCACCGCGGCGGTACACTGCCCCCGCACAAGTTGAATCTCGCACTCACCCTGTTGGGAAGGCACCAAGTCGTACGCGAAGCAGTTGTTGAGTCCGCGCTGAAGCTCGAACAGGTCCTGCGCGTTGGCGAAGAAGTCGGCGTAGCGGCGGTTGAAGGACTCGTAGTCCTCCGCGGCGGCGTGCGACGAGTGGCGCACTGGGGTTCGTGGAGGGGGGGGGGGCGGGGGCAACAAGGTCGGTTCGGTCGAAGCGGTGTGATGAGTGTGGGTAGAGGGGAGGGAGTTGAGTTGTGGGTGCGCGGAGAGTGGTCGTGCGGAACGGAACGGATCGGATCGGATCGAATCGAATCGAATCGAATCGGTGCGATAGTGTTGTAGTACGTCCGGGTGAGTCAGGCGAGTGAGCACGTCGAGAGTATGACATGGGGGAAGGAAAGGAGATGAACGAGGTCAGCGGTCAGTCTTGGTCATTTGATGTAGGATCATGCTCCCTTCGGCGTGCGCGTTCTCTCCCTTTCTCTCTACAACGTACCGGCCAATGGAGCGACGATCGACCGTTGCTGGCGAGCGACCGTCAGCAGAGGTCGGGACGAGGAGCGGAGCGTGTAGAGGCCGAACATGCTGGTCGTGATGAGCGTGGTCGGTGGGTGGGAGAAGTGGGTCGGAGAAGTGGGTCGGAGAAGTGGGTCGGTCGGTCGTACGGAGATGAGCGCAGGCAGGCGGGCGACGGGCGGGCGGGTCCGCGCGCGCGGCTTCAGACTGGCTTCAGCTGGGCACGAGGCAGGCAGAGGCAGGCCCAAGCATATTTAGATTCGCAGTTGGGATTAGGGTTCGGACTAGTAGCCGCAAATAGCAGTTTCACTCTTGAACCTCGCACGCAAGTGTCGCTCGTTTCCCCGTTGATCCCGAGCTCGATCCACCGCACACCCGCATCGCACCTACATCCAACCGACCGCAACCATGCCAACCATGCCAACCATGCCACGGATACCAACCAGAACGATCCGCGCACTCGTCGCGACCCCATCCCACACGAGCACCCCCCTCGTCCGAGCCTACGCAACCACCGCGGCCCACTCCACTTGCTCCTCCTCTTCCACTTCCATTCCCACTTTCTCATCGCATACCCAACCACCCCCCACCCACGCTCGAACGCGTCCGCTCCCCGCTCGAAAACAACTCTTGTACGCCTCCCACGCGAACCTGCTCACCTCGAACGAGCTCGTACTTTTCCTGCGTCAAACCGACTTTACCGCGCACGAATACAACACCTTCAGGACCCAATTGGCCGCTCTAACCGGAACCGGAACCGAACCAGACCTGACGTATACGTTGACCGTGTTGAGACCGGGTTTGTTATCGGCCCTGTTGAGGGATCCGACTTTGGTACAAGCGATCGAAGCGATTTTTTTGGCCGAGGATTCACATACCAAAGGGGCGTTGAGCGTGCTCACCGCCAAGACGTTCGATCCACCTACGTTCAAAAAAGTGCTCAAGTTGGTCAACACGTATTCGGCATTACCTTCCGCGAATCAACCCCCTACGGAGGCGGCGGCAAAGGGCGGCGTGGCGGAACCCACCCCGGAGAGGTTGAGGATTCTGTCCGCTTTGGCCGAGAGCAAGGCGATCGAACAGGAACGTGTCAAGGGTCTAGGCGAGTTGCCGAAGTTGCACACCTTGCGCGCTCAGTTGGTCGGTTTGTTGTCGAGTCCGGCGGGGAGGATCGTGGGTGTCTTGGGAGCGCGCGCCGACGAGGTCAAGAGGACCTTGCAAGGCTTTCAGTTGGCCTTGCAGGAAAAGCACGAACCGGGCAAAAAGGAGTAGCCGGGTGGAGGTGTAATAAAAAAAATTCAATATCATCCTGGGTTCAAGTTGATGTGGGAGAGCAAGCGATTTTTTTTTCCTCGGATCGGATCGGATCGAATCGAATCGCAGTCCAGGTGACCCGATTGAACAGCCGCCGCAAGAGAATAGTCTGTTGTAGTCGACCATTGCTATTGTTGATCTACCGCACGCCGAGTCGATCGGGACAATTCTCATCTGTTTTTACTCGCCATCGTGAGTTGGTGCCGAGCTCGACCCGCCCGAGTCGCGTCGACGCGCCGCCGGTGTTGCTGCTGCTTCAAGCTTCACTGCTTGCGCTCCCGACCCTTTTCGCACTTGCGCATCCACCGGCAACTGCACTACTACTGTACTCGCTCACCACGCGTACCGACTCCTCGTCATGGCCACGAGCACCGCGCCACCCATGACCGCGTACGCGCAACAACAGGCACTGCTGGCGCAACAGGCGCAACTCGCCCAGCAGGCGGCGGCCCAACACGCGGCCCAACACGCGGCCCAACACGCGGCCCAACACGCGGCCCAACACGCTTTGCAGCAGCAGCAGCAGCAGCAGCAGCAGCAGCAGCAGCAGCAGCAGCAGCAGCAGCAGCAGCAGCAGCAGCAGCAGCAGCAGCAGTATACTCAGCGGGGGCATCCTCAGGTCCGTTTGAAATACTGCCTTGCCTGTCAACCGCGTGCAGAGGCTGATGTATCTTGCTTGGACTGGGGGGGGAACCGCACAGGCGCAAGCTGGTGCTGCACCACCTGCGTCAACTGCTCAACCACCACCACCGCCTCCTCCGCCGCCCAACTTTCAGCAGTTGTCCGATGGCAACGATGGGCTCAGGCAGGCAAAGTGAGTCAAGTCAAGCGAGCAGCCCAACTCAAAACTCGGGGGACACTGACTCGCGCCGTCGTCTCGTCGAACTCTCTCTCTCGTGCGTGCCCGCCAAGGCGTCGCCGTCCAACGGATCGAACGCTCCCTTCGTTCGATTCCTCATCCTTACCGACCATCGACGGTCCTACAACCACCAAACTGAACGAGTCGACTCGGACCCTCAAGGCGCTGGCGGAGGGTTACAAGGCGTTGCAGGAGGTTGAGCGCACGTTGGATTGGAACGTATCCCGCAAGAGGATCGAGCTGCAGGAGGGGTTGGGCGGGGGGAGGGTCCCTGCCGTGCGTTTCCACAACTTTGACGCTGATGTTTTATATGGCGGTACATGGAGCTGACTGGTATCGTTGACTTTGTACAGACCAAGCGAACGCTAAGGGTTCATCTCGAAGTCGAGGTCAAGGACCAGCCTTGGCAAGCGACGACCGCGCCTCAGGAGGAGCAAGCGATCGACGTGGCCGATGGAACGACTGCACCATCATCCACAAGAGCGGGGGGAGCAGCAGCAGACGCCGCGACGGATGAGAGACCCAAGGTTGACTTTGTCAAGGGAACGGGCGTGCCCAGATTCATCGTCAAGGTCTCCGGCGCCGTGTTGGATGTACGTCGACGAGGGGTAGCCATACAACGGATGATTCAATCTGATCTGTGCTTCTCTCCCTTGTCTGTCGTGCAGGAGCCTACTAAAGGACCATCGCTGCGACGGCCGCTCACGGCCCTCGTTTCCCGCGTCGTTCTCGATACCGATCGCGATCCGACGCTGCATGACCGAACGGGCGCCATCGAGGTGAGCTGGAGACACAGAACTGTGATCCAAGACGATAGTATTGATGTCTTCTCTCTCAAACAGTGGGTGCGACCGATACCGACCGCGAGCACACCTGTGCCCGTCCTGCCCAAAGCGCTCTCCTTTACGATTCCCTCTTCGCAACCGACGACGTTCAAGCTCTCGCTCTACCTCGATCACCGACCCGAGCGATTCGCTTTGGTGCCCGAGTTGGCGACCATCTTGGATATGCGCACGGGCGACCGAGTGGGCGTGTTGGCCGCGCTGTGGAGCTACATCAAGATGCATGGCCTTCAAGATCCGGATATGAAGCACATCCGCACCGACGATCAATTGCGAAAGGTCGGTTTCCCCGGCCGTGGAATTCAGTCTTTGACAGTCGGGCCATGTCGGGACCACTGACACCGATCGTGATGCTCGGACCCGACAGCTCTTGTCAGGCCAGGAACGCGTCCCCTTTCACCACTTGCCCGAATATACGAACCGCTTGCTATTGCCTCATCCACCGACGGTGATCACGCACACGCTCTCCCTCTCCTCTACGGAGCCGACTTCGCAACACCTTGCATTCGACATGCCCCTCCACATGGAAGATGCGTCGCGCTACGAACTCGAGACCATCCTTCGCTCGTTGAACGCACCACAACCTTCGATCATCCAGCTCGACGAAACGATCGCCGCTTCGGCGTTCGAGGTCAAGGCTTCGCAGTTGAAGAGGAACTTTTTGGTCGCGTTCGCGAGTGACCCTTCGGCTTGCTTGGAGGATTGGCTCGATTCGCAGGCGGAGGATCTAAAGGCTATTCTGCATCCGGGTATGGATGTGAGGGGGAGTAAGGCCTTCGTTGGGGGTTCGGTTGGGTGGAGGGAGGAGTTCAGGAGGGGCGTCAAGTGGGACGGCGAGTGGGTCAAGGAAGGCGCGAGTGTGTGGGCGCAGAGAACTTTCGAGGGCAGGATCAGGGAACAGGTTGGAGGTCCGAATGCGCCGACGACGGCGGGCGCGCCAGCTGCGCAGGCGGCGATGCAAGGTGGGGTTGGGGGTGGGAGAACCGGTAGGAGATGAGCTAGCGTCAGTGGGTAGGATTCGCGGGTTTGACCACGTAGACGATCTTTTCTTGTCGTGATGATGTATTGAATTCGGGGAATTCGTTCGAAATGACGCTGTGGGGGGGTGAGATCATGCGCCTAGTAGGCTCCGGGTCGGTAAATTGGTGACGTCTCGTACGAGCGCGTCAACTTGCTTGCTATGTACCGCCTTTTTGTGAAATCCTGGGCAAGTATTTTCTCCACGATTATGGCGCGTCCAAAAATTGGCGGTGACGAGGTGTGGTAGCCCCGATTTTTCCACTGAAGCTTTACGAGATTTTCACCCATTTTAAATAGGTCAAAAAACACACACTACCTGAAGCTTTGGTGCTCCCGTCTGGACTATGCAGACTTGCTTTCGTTATAGCCCGGCCGCAATCCCACAGAAGCTCGCTCCACTCCTGTCGTCGATCGTTTTGGGTTCGGCAGGATGATGTCGATTGAGGTGCGCATGCGGGATCTAGGAGTTTGATCACAACGCGTAGTACGAAGTCTAGTATTACATTCAGATTCTTTCGTAAAGATTGCAAACCAGGAACGCAGATGTCGAACTCGGTTCTACTTGCAAAAGCCTTGAAATCCGCCTGGACGTGTTCATACGACGTCTGATCGGAGTTCCAACGCGACGCAAATTCTTGCTCTACCTTTGATGTGTCTCCGTCTTGATAAAGACCAATACAGCGAGCAAGTTTGCTGCAGGACACTCGGAACCTTTTCTACGCCAGACCAAGGAGATGCGCATGCGTCCAGGAGCTCCCGGAAGCCGACGTTCAGAAGCAGCCAGTCTTTCCTAGCTGCGGCATCTTCAGCATCCCACATCTGCGAGTTGCACGATACGCGTCAGCAACCCTAGTCAGTCGGTCATGGACTGTGATCAGCGTCGCATGGTGCTCCATCTCCTATCGCTTCGCTTCTTGCACTCACCTCGCTTGGGGTTGACGAACTCGTTTGGCAGTCACTAACCGAGCAAACGTCCGCGCGTGCCTTCAGGCTGAAGATCTTTGTTTCCTCCACACCTTGTGTGCACTCTCGCTCATGTTTGATTTTTCATTCGCTCCACCAGGTCTCATATTTCCGTCTGCGCTCAACTAGACCCGCTCGGATCGAAACCGTTTCTAGCCCCCAATGCGTGCGTCACGGTGTCCGAGAAGCTTTGGATCTTCTTGACCGATTCTGGCCGGGTTCAATCCCTGCGGCCTCCGACATGGTGCTACGGCGAATGGCTATGGTATAGCAAAGCGGTCGATCAAGATAATATGAAATGATAAAGGGGAAACGATGGAACCGAGACCGAAGACGAGGGAGACGAGATACGAGAGAGCGACCGGAACGGCCGAGAGACGAGAGACGAGAAAGGAGCCCAAACCGAGAAACGAGACCGAGTACGAGAACGGAACGCTGAGACCGGAGACTGGAGACGAGAGACGAGACTTGAATCACGCAGAAAGTGAGAACCAGCTAAGATGCTGTATTGGATCCTAGAAGTGGTCTACCTAAGAACAAGAAGCAAACTCTCCTCAAACGTTCCGGTCATTCAGGCCGCTGCGCTCCTTTCATTCCCCTTCACTCCTTCATCCGCGCATCCGGCCCGGTCTTCCACTCAAATCCTGCCACATGATTCGTTGCTGACGGTCATTCCTTGAGTAATCGAAGTGCTGAGTTTACTCGGGACCGCTTTATCGCTGAGTGAAGTAAAAGTGCACCACCTATAGAGGTGGCAGCGGTAGGACGATACGCAGCAGTGTCAGAACCGATAGTTGAGGAACAAGTGATTAAAGAAAAGCTAAACAAGGGAGTCCGCATTGCGAAGGCATAGGCCCACGCGCAAGAATATAATCCACTCAGACACTAAGTTTAATCCACTGCCTTAAAACCAATCGAGCCCCTGGGCGGACGCCGCGCCTCGTTACCGATGGCCTACCACCTAGACAACACTGAGAAATCTGCCGAAACCGGTGTTTGATCCTGCCCGAACCGGTGTTGACCTTGACAATTTGAAACGACTCCGGAACTCGGTCCCGCTACAACCGAAATGACGCCTGGAACTCGGCCTCGCCACAACCGAAATGACTCCTGAACCGGGCCGGCTACATCCGCTGCTTCTGACGGGATCCCGAGTACCACAGTATGCTTTGACAACCCAGACCACCCTATCAATTCTTCCGTCAGATTCAAGGTTTCATTTCTGACAGTCCTTTCTGGAATGTCGAGGGATCACCATTGATCGCCCCGCGAAAAGTAAAGGAGCCGAGTTTGCGCGATGCGATCAATAGCCGACCTCATTACGCAACTTTTCAACCCCAACTCGGACTTCAACACTCACGATAACTGGTCGTATGAGATGGAGACCGTGCGGCAGGAGGCCTCCCGCACGCCGACCGGCCGCACCTACGCGACAAGTAGCGAACGCCACTCTGGAGGACCCTCCGCCCCTGAGGGAACAACTTCGCCTACAGGCGCAGCAGGCGAGTCATCAGCGGCAGCAAACCGGCCAAGCGGAGTATCGACGTATTCAAGATCAGCAAGCCTGCGTTGAACGCACTGGCAAAACAAGCCCTCAACAACTGCCGGGATCCCCCCTCCGAGGGGCGGTGACAGTGAGCGCTGCAAGTTTCGCCGCCTTGCACCACACGCCCCAGGGCACCCCTACCCAAAGTCCATATATCACTCCAGGGGATTTGTCGATGCCGCTCATCGCCGGCCCCTCCAACGCCCAGGGCACCGAAGCACTTTTGGGACCAAGCCCGAACCCGCAGACGCTGGCCGGGCAGGGCTCACCGTCGGCATCATCGAATTACAGGCAGGCCCCGACGCCTCCACGGGATTATTGAAACCCCAGGAGTAGAGACGCTCTACTCAGCGGGGGACGATGTAGGCCCGCCCCTCCAATTCACTAATACTCATCAGAGCCGTTAGCCTCCATTTCCTTTTCCTGTCTCTCTCTAGCTTTGCCGTTGAACTCTCCTCTCTTTTCCTCCCCCCATCCATTCATTCTCCCCGAGTTCACACGGATCTACCTTCGATAATTGCTCGACACCGCTTATCGACTTTCTTCACTTCACTTTCCTTTCTCATCAAATACAATTCAAGGACTTGTACCGTCTTTCTCTTGCCGTTCGATAGAGAGGGTACAACCTGGGCTTTCCGCTTTCGACTTCAACACGATCTGGGAAGCCTACAGCTTTTTTGACGGTACAGGTGCTGTAGGCTTCCCAGATCGTGTTGAAGTCGAAAGCGGAAAGCCCAGGGCGGGCGGCGGCGGGCGGGAGAATTTCGCATTTGGTATTTGGAAATTGCCCACATAAATAGGTCGAAACACACTACTGAAGCTTCGGTGCTCCTGTCTGGTCTATGCAGGCTTGCTTTCGTTATAGCCGGGCCGCCGCATTCCCCCTGAAGCTCGCCCCACTCCTGTGGTCGATCGTATCGGGTTCGGCAGGATGATGTTGATTGGTATGCGTATGCGAAATCTAGGAGTCTGACCACAACGCACAGTACGAAGTCTAGTATTACATTCAGATTCGTCCATAGAAATTGCAAAACAAGAACGCAGATGTCGAGCACGGTTCTATTCGCAAAGGGCCTTGAAAGCCGCCTGGACGTGTTCATACGACATCTGACCGGAGTTCCAAAGCGACGCAAGTTCTGGCTCTGTATCGATGCGTCTCAGCCTTGCGAAAGACCAATCCAGCGAGCAATTTTGCTGCAGGACACTCAGAACCTTCTCCATGCCAGACCAACGAGATGCGCATGCGTCCAGAAGCTCCTCGAAGCCGGATCTCGTAGACAGCCCATTTTTCCTGCTTGCTGCATTGTTGAGCTTTTGGGCGTTCCACGCGTTCCAAATATCTGCAGCGTCCGACTTTTCGAAAAGGGTCGCGTCGGAAGGTTCAGATTGAAAAGCCGTGCGGGACGCCACGTAGAAAAAGGACTCTATGTCGTGCCATCGCTCATGCACCACACTCTCGGTTTCGGGTACGAGCAGGAGTCGGGAGATGTAGGGAAGCGTGCCCTGTGGTTGATCATGGTACAGGGGAAGGGTGGAAAGGAGTTGGGTGAGACCAAGAACGTGTCGAGGGCTAGCACGGACGAGAGAACGTACCGAGCGGCTGAGGCGACACTCTTCTTCCGCCGTTCGAGCCTTCTTTACCGCCAGATTGTAATCAATGAGGACTCCAGCGCCGTTCCGGTCGACCATGACGTTGCCATAGGACACGTCACGGTGAATGAAGCCGTAGTTCCAAAGCTGGCGATGCCCTGTCACGCAAGGCAAAGGGTCGTCAGTGTTGGCACACCCTTCAGCGCGCTGTCCCGCTCTGCTCTGATCATGAGCACTCACCCTCAATCGCACCCTCGAGAGCGCGCGCGAGCTGCTTGGTGTGTTCGAGCGTGGCGAGTGGGTTGTAGCATTCTTCATGAATGACGACCTCCTTGGCCCGCGCGGTGATACCGTCGAGGGATTCGTCGCCGGGTAGGAACCCGGGGAGGGTCCTGTATTCGGCGCGAAAGACGCCGACCAGCGGAGCGAGCCCTCGAGGTCTCTTGTCTTGGATCACGTTGCGGATCTCGACCAAGTCCGAGTTGCGCGACTCCTCGACCCAAATGATCGTCATGGCGCGGGTCTTGCAGCTGGTGCCCTCGCCAGTGGTGATCTCGTACGTCGACGTCGCGCGACCGCACTCTCTTTGCCGACGGAACAGAAGCTTCTTGATGTTGGCGTTGGACATCGTCGTTGCTCCCCAGCTGAACTCTGAGGCCGCCGGCGGAAAGAAGTCGGGGCAGAGCGTGAAAGGGCCGTAGCGGTCGTCGAGCGAGGTCGTGGTGGCGAGAACGCCGTTGAGCCGATCGCTGTGTTGGACGAGACGGTACAAGAACGTCGAAAGCTCCCCATTCCCTTCGGTAACTGTTCTAGATTTGGTAGAGAACACGCCGCAAGCAGACATCACGTATATCTTGAGACGTTCGCCGCGAAGGGTGAACCCGATCGCATGTTCGCGAATCGGCGTCGCGAGGAGTGCCGACAACCGTCGGAACAACTGGCTCTCGGCGTTAGAGTTGCCGGCTTTGGTCTCGCCGACGGCGGCCACTTGCGTAAAGGAGCGTTTGGCCTGGTTCAGGTCCACCTTGTCCTTGGCCTTGTCCTTGGCCTTGGCCTTGTTCGTGCTGTCTTCTTCTGCGTTGTTGTCCTCGTCGTGATGCTGGCCCTTGCCGTTTTCGTTCGCGTTGAAATTCACGTTGGTGTCGGGGCCCGCATCGGCGTCGGGTTTCTTGGCTTGCGGATCGGCGTGACTGGGAAGGGCCCATACATTCGGGAGGGTTGGATCGTGCGCGACCGCAGCGTGGGTCAAGAGCACAACATCGGCCGTCTTCTCGGTCGTCTCCACGCGGTCACGTGCGACGCTGATGTAATAGGGTGAGTTGCTGCAGGCGACCAATCGCCGGTCTCCAGTCTAGAGGTCCAACAGTAAGACAAACGGCAATGGGAAGGCGAGTCAGCTCTCGAAGGAATTATTCACACACCATCGAGTAGGCCAGGCGTCGACTTACCTTGTTGATGACACCTGCTATGACCTCGCCCAGCGCTTCTTCGGTGCCTATCTTGGAGTCCTTGGGCCAGATCTTGTTGGCGAGCTCCTCAGCGGTCGGATGGCCGAAGAAGTAGGCCTCGAGGGCCGGACAGTGTTTCTGGTGCATCTGCACCGCCTTGGAAATCCTCTCGGCTCTGTCCGATGCTCGCTCGTTCGAGGCCGGCTGCCGGCGCGGTCGTAATGGGGTCGAGTTGCTCGACGATACCAAGGGAGGTAGTACGTCCCTCACCTCGGCAAGGTCGTACGCGTTGGGGGTTGCGTTTGACCTTGACCTTGAGCTCGAGGTCGAGGTCGAGGTCGAGGTCGAGGTCGAAGCAAGAGCCTGAGCGGGCGAGTCGGCGCCGTGTGCCACGCGCGTCGCGTTCTTTTCAGCGAGGCGCGCGCTCGTCCGAACTTGCTCAGTATATAGCTATCATAGGTGGGGTACAGCCCAAGTCTGGATACGTTTTGGAATAGAACCCCAAATCCTCAGTGAAAATGAAAAGTGGCAGTGCACGGGGAATTGCTCGTGCACTGCCGAAATCCACTTTTGCGACACTCGAAGCCGACCCCGGGTCAAAACCGTCAAATCGCAGTGCACGGGGAATTGCTCGTGCACTGCTGAAATCCGGTTGCTCGAGGATGGAAGGCGACACACCGAGTAACCCTGCCAAGCCCAGAGCGCTGAACCGAGATCGGATCCGAAACGAGATTCCCATTCGGAAATCGTCGGAGATCGTCGGGCTGGCGGCGTGGCGTGGGGCGGTAGACTTGCAGTGCTTTGGGTGCAGGTCAGATGGAGGCGGTCTCTTCTTGCCGGCTCTGTAGAAGAAATGTCTCGCCCACTCGTCTATACTACATAAGCCGCTCAGCAACACTTCGAAACTCGACCAAACTCGCACCCGGGCTGTAGCACGGTTTTAATGGTCCAGAAAATGCAGAAATGTTCGCACATGACATCTAATCGGAACGACGTTGATACGACAGGCCGCTGCGGCAGACTCAAAAGTATTCTGGTACATCCACTACAGGGCCGCAATGCAGCCAAAAACATCGGTTTTAGGTACATGGGTTGCGGGTCGACGGGTTCAGCTTTGGGACTTCGCGCGCTTGATGAGCTGATTGGCTTGACTTCACGGTCGCGCGCACCAACGCTCCTTTTCCTCTCCCCACTCACTCGCACCACTCGCACCACTTGGCCCGACTCGGCTCTGATCCCACTACACCATAACGTTATCCCTGTATATATGGGCAATTCCCACATACCACATACCACAGACTCCCGAGAGACCCTTGCAAAGAAGCTCGCACGAGCACCCTGTGCCATTTGACAAGCCAGCGCCTAGCCTGCAAAGAAGCTCGTGCGAGCTTCTTGTGCTATGTGATATCCGCGCGCGCAGCGTGTCAGATACCACAGACTCCTGCGCCTGCCTTGCAAAGAAGCTCGCGCGAGCATCTTGTGGTATTCGACAGCCGCGCGCGCAGCGTGTCAGATACCACAGACTCCTGCGCCTGCCTTGCAAAGATGCTCGCGCGAGCTTCTTGTGCTATGTGATATCCGCGCCCAGCCTGTCAGATACCACAGACTCCTGCGCCTGCCTTGCAAAGAAGCTCGCGCGAGCATCTTGTGCTATTCGACACGCCCGCGCCCGGCCTGTCAGATACGACAGACTCCCTACCACAGACTCCCGCGCCTCGCTTGCAAAGAAATACCACATGCCACAGACTCCTGCGAGGCGCTTGAAAAGAAGCTCGCGCGAGCATCCTGTGGTATTGGAGAGAGGGGTGGGGGCAGCGGCACTCTCCGCCTTCGGCCACCGGCGCTCGCGATCTCCGAAATGGGAAACCCATTTCGGGCTTCGGGTATCGCTGGAGCTGAGGCACCACAGACTTGAGGACTTGTAGACGTAGATAAGTTTATTGTGAATCTGTCCCGATCCCAACTGGTGTGTACATGCTTAATCTGTGCTAATATGGCATTGTGCTTTGAGTATACTCAATTACACTAGTTGTTGTGGCCTTGAAGACTTTGGCACGCGCGGTCCACTGCCCCTAGTCCTTGGGCCAGAACAAATGTTCAGACATGTCCGTCCACTTGATTTTAGGTACACATCTAGATCCGAACAATTATATGAGTAGAATCACTTTGAATCTGCAAGGAGAACATGATAGCATGTGTATTTTAGTACTTATGATGATTCGAAATTGCCATGTCCGTACCGCAGATCTTGTGTCCGTACCGTAACCCCATGTCCGTCCACTTGTCGGTCGGCGTTGCGGACACGGCGGTCTGCAGGACGGACATGTCCGTCCCTTGATTTTAGGTCCATAATATCAGATAAAACTGATGCTGTTGAACAATTATATGAGTGGAATTAATTTGAATCTGCAAGAAGAATATGATAGCATGTGTATTTTAGTACTTATGATGATTCGAAATTGTCATGTCTGTACCGCAGATCTCGTGTCTGTACTGCAACCCCACTGCATGTATAGGCTTGACTTCACGTTCGCGCGTGCCAACGCTCCTTTCCCTCTCCCCACTCACTTCTCACTCGCACCACTCGAGTCGGACTCGGCATTGATCGCACCATGCCACAACTCGACGTCACATGCTTTCACATCGCTCGCATGCGCCATTCAATCAGCAAGATGCAACTCGATTTCTCTCAACTACAGCTCGACGTGTCACCTCAAGCCGACTGAGGTGGGCACGGTGCGACGTCGCACGACATGAATATCAACGACTCCAACATCGTCATCTTCAGCAAGATACGCTGAACAGGTTGATCTGAAAGGGCGTGGTCACTTTCAGCAGCGTGCTAGCCTTGCGTCGATGCATCGCTCGAGTGTCCTGGGTCGCACACGTGCTCGGTCATTGCACCGGCTCGATCACCCCGATCGCCCACTCGCTAGTCGACCGATGAGTGTGGTGAGCTCTTCATTCAAATAGTACTCAGCTCTTGCCCCATTTGCTCACTTCATGTTTATCTTTGCTGCTCATCACTCTAGTTCAGATCGCGCGTTGGCCGACTCGATGGCATCCGAGCTTCGCACCGAACCGCTCTGTGACTTGTACGACCATGCTCGCGACGCCAATGTAGCTTTCTCATCAGCTCCATCGAGGAAATCTCAGCTTCCCGCGGTCTTAAATCGATGCACACATCACTCGATCCTCGTTGCCCCACCCCGAACAACACTGTCGACCTGTGAGGATCTCCTCTGCCACCCCCACATCGTTCACCCGCGTCGTCAATGCCAACCACTCACACGAATGCAATCCCTCATCTCTTTCTTGATCGAGTCGCGGAGTCTCATCGACGCCGTGAGCCGGGGGTTTGTCGGAACATCTGTTGCACGACTCGACTGATTTCGTCGATGTGCAGTCCGAGACCTTCATCGGCTCGAGCACCTTCACCTGTCTCGACCGCGCCGCGATTCACTCAACCTCCCGCGTCCGTCATCCAGCTCGTCGAGTCATCCGTCCAAAGCCACTTCGTCTCAACTCGTCGTTCCAAACATCCCCCGTACTTGTTTGGCAGTCACAAAGCGAACAAACGTCCGAACGGTCAGTGAGTGCTTCAACTTGTCAGCTTTCCCTTCCTCCACACATCGCGTATTGCAAGTCTGTACCCTCTTGTTTATGTTTGACTTTTTTTCCGCTCCACCAGGTTTCAGATTCCGGCCTGCGCTTCACTCGACGCTTTGAACTCCGACCTCGCTCGAAACCGTTTCTAGCTCTCATGGATGAATGAGTGTCGACTCTTTCGGATCAAGAATCGGGACCCTCTCTGCGAAACTTGCTTTGCTCAACCTCGATCTTCTCTCGATCGACCCTGACCTCAAAACTCAACTTGGTGCGATAGATCGCCCGTCGAGGAGCGTGCAAGCTCTTATCTTTGCCGCTGCTGCCTCCGCCGCCCACGACTCGTTATTAGCCGATCTCTCGCACCACTCGTCTTTTCTCTCACTGCGCGAATACACGACCAAGCACAACCTTGCCGTCATGGTGAAACGTCACTTGCCCGGTCCTCCTCTTGCGACAAGTTCCCATCCTGCAGACTAGCGTCGACGTTCTCGGAGATCCGCCGGCCAGCAGCTTTCAAAGCGCTGCGTGCGAATTACTCAATCGCCCGCGCTCGTCATCTCGATTTTCAAGTCATCACAGACCGTTACGTTTCAACCCATGGCTCTAAACATCCGCACATGCCTTCCTCGCCATTCAAGTTGACCGGACTTGCGCGCTGACTCCCAACCTCGTCGATCGCTCCGACCGATCGACTTCACGGCACAGCTCCTGAGATGTGCCACGAAACACTCTCATGCGTACAAACGTTAACGGTTGTCTATGTCTCAACCCATCATGCCAAACATCCCACATTCCCGCTTGTCTTCATTGCCGTTCAACTCGACCGTCCTTGCACACTGGCTTTCAACCTCGTCGATCACTCCGACCGATCAAGTTCCCAGCAAAACTCTCGAGGCGTTCCACGGCACACTCCCCATTGCTTTGCAACTTACTCGAACTCCATCCTACGTTGCGCACGTTGAAACATGAAGTCCCGAGTCGGGCTTCTTCGGACCACTCGCCGCTCGATTTTGGCCTCGGACCGTGACGGTCCTTCGCATTCTCAATCCAACTCGGCGACTCGCTCGACTGGCTTTATTCGTGCGATCACCATCCCACCTCTGCAAGATGCACGTTCGTACCCGTTTCAGCAGCCCTGGTCATGCGGTCATGGACCGCGATCAGCATCGCATGGTGCTCCATCTCCTCGCGCTCCGCTTTGCTTCTTGCACTCACCTCGCTTGGTAGCGACGAACTCGTTTGGCAGTCACAAAGCGAGCAAACGTCCGGAAGGTCAGTGAGTGCCTTTAACCCGAAGGCTTTCCCTTCCTCCACACCGCGTGTTGCCCGTATGTGCACTCTTGCTTATGTGTCACTCTTCTTTCGCTCCACCAGGTCTCAGAATCCGGCCTGCGCTTAACTCGACTCTTTATACTCCGACTCGCTACAAACCGTTTCTCGCTCTCATGGACGAATGATCGTCGACTCTTCCAATTGAGGATCCAGACTTCTTCGGCGGGACTTGCTCTGCTCGACTTTGATCTCCCCTCAATCGGCCCTGACCTCAAAATTCAACTCGGTGCGAGAGATTCGAGGAGCGTGCAAGCTCTCAACTTTGCCGCCGCTGCCTCCGCCACCCAAGACTCGATATCCGCCAATCCCTCGCACCACTCGACACATTCGTCTTTTACTCTCAGTGCACAAACACACGACGACGCAACATCTTGCCGTCACGTTGAAACGTCACTTGGCCGGTACATGCGGCTCGACTTTACTCGACCCGGCACTTGAAGTGTCAACCCGAGCCGGCTGAGGCAAGCGCGGAACCTATTCAGCAACTGCAGCACCATCAACATCGCCAATCGGCTTTCAACGAGTCGATAACGAGCTCGAAGGTACCTACATTTGCGTCCGGGCTATGTCAATTGCTCACTTGAGCCATCGCGACCGGAACTGCTCGACCTCGGACGACTCGCTCAGACCGCCCACAGTGAGCTGTTTCGATCTGAGCTCTCGCTTGCGACTTGCACCCCTTGCTGATGAGACGAAGATATGCCGTGTCACTGCGCAGTGTAGATTGTTGGTTACGAACAACCCGGAATGGGAGCGCTTCCTCGAATGGAGCTTCGCCCCGATTCGCTCACACGCTCGCACGGCCCACATCCGAATTCATTCATTACCATTCCTCGGTTTCTCTTGCGACAAGTCTCCAGCACGCAGACCAGTTTCGGCCTTCTCGCCACGGAGATTCGCCGGGGATCCTTGCTCGCCCAGCGGCTTTCGAGCCGCCGCGAACGAATTGCTCAATCGCCCGCCTTCGTCATCCAGCTTGTCAAGGCATCCCAGATCGTCTACGTTTCACCCCATGGCACCTCAACATCCCACATTCCCGCTCTCCTTGCCGTTCAAGTTGACCGGACTTGCACGCTGACACGCTACTTCGTTGATCGCACCGACCAATCGACTTGCTGGCAAAGCTCTCAAGATTTCACACCGAACACCTCCTCATTCGTTCACATCTTACTCGAACACCGTCTTAGGTTGCGCACGTTGGAATCAGACAGCCAGGACTCGGGCATCTCCGGACCACTCGGCGCTCGAATTCGGCCTCGGACCGTGACGGTCCTTTGCATTCTCAATCCAACTCGGCGACTTGCTCGACTAGCTCTATTCGTGCGATCACCATCCCACCTCTGCGACATGCACGTTCGTACCCGCTTTAGCAGCCCTGGTCATGCGGTCATGGACCGCGATCAGCGACGCACGGTGTTCCATCTCCCCTCGCTTCGCTTCTTCATGCATTCACCTCGCTGGGTGTAAACGAACTCGTTTGGCAGTCACAAAGCGAGCACACGTCCGAAAGGTCAGTGCATGCCATCAACTTAAGAGCCCTCCCTTCCTCCACACCTTGTTTTGCAAGTAGGTGCACTCTTGCTTATGTTTGACTTTTCTTTCGCTCTCAGATTCCAGCCTGCGCCTAGCTCGACTCTTCAGACTCCAACTCGCTCGAAACCGTTTCTCGCTCTCATGGATGAATGATCGTCGACTCTTTCCAATTGAGGATCCAGACTTTTTCGGCGAGACCTGCTTTGCTCGAGTTCGATCTCCTCAATCGCCCCCGACCTCAAAACTCAACTCGGTGGGACAGATCCCTTGTCGAGGAGCATGCAAGCTCTCGTCTTTGCCGCTGCTGCTTCCGCCATTCAAGACTCGACAATCGCCAATCACTTGTGTGAGGAGGCTTCGTCAACCATGCGAACTCTTCTGGGCGACCTAGCGTCGTGCGCGCTCGCCTTGACATTGAGAACGAAGGACCACCTTGACTCTTTGGTCAACTGCTCGAGCGACGTTTGCTCCTTTCACTTCTTTCCCTGCATTTCTGGGGTACGAATAATTGAGGATGTGCTCTTTGATGCAATACCAGGTGGTCTTGAGCTCATATGTGCATGTCTGAGAACCTTTGGATCTTCTTGCCCCATTCTTGCCGGGTTTTCCTGCGGCCTCGGACATGGTTCTGCCGCAAAGACCTCTATGGTATGTTCTTGTATCAAATCCGACATGAACTCTGGACTGCCATCTGCTGAACGCAACTAAAACTATCTCGGAGTACGTCACAGTGACTCACTGGATCGATGGTATGTGTTGCTCATGCGTATGCGTCGCCCATGGTGACGGAGCTGCAGTGACATGCCGCGGTCCGTTTAGAGTGGGCTTCAACTTTGCAATCGGATCCGTAGCCTGTGTCCTATAGACTTTTTACGACTGTAGCAAGTAAATATGTGTGAAGAACAGCTACTTGCAGAGGTATGCCGTGATTCGACAGCGAGGGGCTTCCTCGATTTTCACGCAAAGTCGAAACTCTGCGGCCCGCATCCCTCACCGACAATCATGACTGAAAGTATGCTTTGACACCGCAAAGCACCGCATGGATTTTTCCATCAAGATTGAAAAAAATCCATTAAGAAAGTCCTCCATCGTGTGTCGAGGATCACTATCCGATCGACCCGCGAAAAGTAAAGGAGCCGAGTTTGCGCGATCGAGGGCCGACCTCCGAATCCTTGCGCGACTTTTGAACTCCAAATCAGCCTTCGAAATTGACTTCAACACAGTGACCACGATGTAATAGATCTCTTCAAAA